GCTGAGGCTCTGAAGATGAAGTGAGTGAGGCGGATAGATTCGTATGTAGCGGGGTAGCACTCGTTGGAGATGGCAGTGCTTCTGGATTGTTGTTGAGAGAAACATTGCCGTTTCCTAGGCCCTGGCGTTGGATGTACCTATGCTCCAGCTGAAAACCAGCATTTCTTGACCGCATACAACGGAGAAAGCAAGTTGTTTCTCGCTACCAGAAAATTTATGCAAGCGTGCGAATTTTGGTCAAAGTCAGTTATTTTATAAATGCAAGGGACAAGGAGGAATAAAACTGTCAATGTACTCTTTCTCTTGGTTACCAGATCGTAGACCTTAGTTGAGCAACCATAGCACAAACACAGCAGAAACCCCCAGGCCGTGGGACAAACAAGAAACACAAGAAACGGGAAGGCAGCAAGGCCATGCATCATTCCAACAACGGATAGTAAGAGAGTCGTTAGCCACATCTTGTAACCCCCTCAAGCATGACATAAACTATGTACACAACCAAACTCACGGCCCAATCCCTACACTCCAACCCGCCATGCATCCTCCTGAGCCTACGCGCGGCTGATAGCATTTACATATGCACATGCACATGCACATATCTTGTAGGATTCCAGAAACACATGACGGCTGATAAATAACGTGCTTGGGGCCTTAGATTCCGAATCCCCTCTCCCCCAAGGACACACCCCATGTACGCCATCAACGCTACAAAAAGCGAGAGCCATTAAGCAAGCCAGATTAAAAAAAAGGGTTTTTTTGTCGCCAATTACAAGGTAGACGTTGTGTACAAAAAAAAAAGAGGCCTTGGGCGCGAGTAAGTGCAAGGGGCGCAAAGGGAGTTGGGTGTGTCGTGGGGAGATTTTTTTTTACCACTTACTAGCGCAGATGTCGTGCTCGCCCCATTGTAAATCGATCACCAAGGGGCGTTTTGAGCCGCAACCTTTTCTCAATCAGTGCCACCAAACGGGGGGTGGGGACGAAAAAAAATTGGAGAATGGAATGCGTGGTTTCTAGACCTGCCAAGAGGAGAAAAAAAAAGACGGAATGGAATGGCTTTGGCCTTTTTAATTTGTCTCAACAATTGGATGGGATGAAAGTTTTCTTACGTACTTGATACTTGGTATACATATATATTCGTGAAGCCCCCTTGTCCATCTAGTTACTTGATCCATCTTCACCTTTGTTTTTTCTTTAGTTCTTGCTTCCCCACATTTGGCCAATCGACAATGTCGTCGGCATCGTCGCTTTCTAGCCCCAACAAGGGGTCTGGTCCCTTTTTCCGGTCGGTCCCGTTCCAGATCCTCGTGGCATGCGGAGTCTCGTTTACGGCGCCGGGCATGTGGGATGCGCTAGGAGGACTGGGAGCCGGAGGAGCGGCAAAGCCGTATGCCGTGTCTGCAGCCAATGCCCTGGTGTACGGACTCTTCGCCATTGTGTGTGTTGCGGCGGGAGCGATCAACAACCGGATTGGACTCAAGTATGGACTCGCGCTGGGAGCGATTGGATACCCGCTGTACGGCGCTGGACTGTACACCAACAATGTGTCTGCGAATACCTGGTTTATGCTGTTTGGATCTGCCCTCTGCGGAATCAGTGCGGGATTCTTCTGGGCTGCCGAGGCGGCCATCATCATCGGATACCCGTCACCGGGCGACCGCGCCTTCTACCTGGCCATCTGGCAGACGGCAAAGGCACTGGGACCGATTGTAGGCGGATCCATCAACCTGGGCTTGAACGCAAACAAGAAGACTGTGGGCTCGGTATCGTCGACGACGTACATTGTCTTCATCGTCATCATGTGTCTGGGTCTGCCCGTTGCTCTGTGCCTCAGCCCGGCAGACAAGGTGTGGCGACGCGACGGCACGCGGATTGTGACTGAGCGTGCAGCTACGTGGGGAGCAGAGTTCAAGGCGGTAGGCAAGCAGTTCATCAGCCGACGGATCCTGCTGTTGCTGCCAGCCTTTTTCATCAGCTACTTCTACAACGGCTTCATGAGCACCTGGCTCACCACCTACTTTACCGTCCGCTCCCGCGCCTTCTCCAGCTTCTTCACAAACTTTGCCGGAATCTTCTCGTCCTTCATCATTGCGTTTCTGCTCGACAACCAAAAGATGCACATCAAGACGCGTGGGCGCATTGCGTTTTGCGCCATCATTACCATTCTGGTGGGAACATGGATCTGGGCGACTATCCTGCAGAAGCAGTTTTATGACGCCCCCGAGGCCCCCGTGTTTGACTGGTTCCGAGGCGGATTCGGAAAGAGCTATGCACTCGTCTTCTTCTGGCAGTTTGGTGGTCAGGCATTCCAGCAGTTTCTGTACTGGCTCGTTGGACAGTACGCTACCGATCTCTCCAACCTGAGTCATCTTACTGGCATTCTGCGGGGTGTTGAGGCACTGGGTCAGACTGTTGCTTGGGCGTAAGTTTTCGCTGTGATGATTTTACATGGCACTGCTAACATGCAACACAGTATGCAATCAGAAGGCGGCGCCAACCACTTTGTCAGCATCGGACTCAACTTTGGCATCACGGTCCTGTGTGTCTTCCCAACATGGATTATCCTCTCCGAACTGGAAAGGAGCCACGAGGTTCAAGTGACGGTAGATGTCGACGACACGTTGAAAGACAGTGCATGAATGTATGTAGTGAAGAAGCAAGGGAACGTAGTTGGATAGTTAATCATAATATGTGCATATTTCAAACTAGTTTCACTCACACCACTCACCTCTGGTTGGATGCAAACATGGCATACCCTAACCCAGTAGTTCCATGGCCCTGCATATAGGCTTGGCGATTGTGAACCGAAATGGCGTGAGCAGGAGCAATGACATCGTCAGCCCCACTGCAGACTACTTACCCCACCCCAGAGCTACTCCAACGCCTCCAACAGCTGGTTTAAAACACACGAGGGCATGACTAGTTCCTACACGAGCGCTTTGCGCATAGGTCTGAGCCCCGCCATCAGTTGTTTCCTTTTTGCATTTCGTTTTTGCATTTCCCAACTTGCGGCCGTTTGAGCACAATGACGTCGATTCTCAAAAAGTCGCTAAAGCTCGCGCTGATCCAGCTGGCGTCGGGGGCGGACAAGGCGGCGAACCTGACGTCTGCGCGGCAAAAGGTGCTCGAGGCGTCAAAGGCCGGGGCGAAGCTGGTGGTGCTGCCGGAATGCTTCAACTCGCCGTACGGAACAAAGTACTTTGACAAGTACGCCGAGACACTGCGGCCGTCGCCACCGTCAGAGTCGCAATCGCAAACGTTCCACGAGCTGTCGAAACTGGCGCGCGATGCGGGGGTGTATCTGGTGGGAGGAAGCATACCCGAGCGCGACGACCAGGACGAAAAGAAGCTTTACAACACGAGCCTGACGTTTGCGCCGAGCGGAGAGCTGATTGCGACGCACCGCAAGGTCCACTTGTTCGACATTGATATCCCTGGCAAGATCCGGTTCAAGGAGAGCGAGGTGCTGTCGCCGGGCAACAAGATTACGCTGGTGGAGCTGCCCGAGTATGGCAAGATTGCGATTGCGATATGCTATGACATACGGTTTCCCGAGCTGGCTACGATTGCGGCGAGAAAGGGGGCGTTTCTGCTGCTGTATCCCGGCGCGTTCAACTTGACGACTGGACCGCTGCACTGGGAGTTGCTAGCGAGAGCGCGGGCGACGGACAACCAGGTCTATGTGGGACTGTGCAGTCCGGCGCGGGACATGGCGGCCGAGTACAATGCCTGGGGCCACAGCATGGTGGTGGATCCGAATGCGCAGGTCATGGAGCAGCTGGACGAGAAGGAGGGCGTGTTGATGCAGGAGCTCGAGGCGGGCAAGATTGACGAGGTTCGGAAGGGGGTGCCGCTGTATGGGCAGAGGCGGTTCGACGTATACCCTGATGTCAGCGAAGGCGGCAGATTTGAAGAGTAGAGAATGAATTCAAGACGGCGACTTGCTCGTGGTCGTGCTGAACGGCGGCTGTTGCAAGGCTGCCGGTAGTGTGATGAAGCCGAAAAATGTGCGTGATGTTGGCATCCTGGCCCTGCGGCGTGCGAGGACGCGCCAGAGGCAGCATCAGAGGCCGGGCGCGCGGTTTGGGCGAATGGGTGCAAGAGGACGGGGGGGTGGTGGTAGGTGAGCAGTGGGCGGCCCAAAGGCGCCGAAGGGAGGCGGCGGGCAGGGGCTGTGGCAGCTGTGGCAGCTGTGGCAGCTGTGGCAGCAGCGGCAGGCAGCGCAGCGCTGGCTGAAGGGCGACTTGGCTGCACAAGGCCAGACAGAGTAGGGATGCAGTGCACAAGACAACAGAAGCTGGGCAATTGCGCGCAGTCAGAGGCGGGTGGGTTCTTCATTAATTTTCTTTCCAGTTGGAACGCGCCAACGGGCCAGCTAATAAAAACAGGCATCTAGCAGTGCATGCCGTCGAGTGCAGCGGTGCGGCGATGATGGATGCGCGGCGCATACGAGATGGACAGGCGGATAGATAGACAGCAGGGCACGCGTCGCGCCAGTTGCGGGCGAAAAGGAACAGAGTGAGCAGGGCGAGTGCGTGTCTGCGGCGGCGGATGGGCGGCGGATGGGCGGCGGACGGGCGGCCGACAGCGCTGGATGCAGGCCACGGGTTAGCGAGGGCCGCCTGTCACTTAAGCCCCATGCTCCCCACTGCCCGCCCATTTCCTCGCCCCCGTCCCTCCCCATCTGCCCTCGCCGCTCGCCGCTCTCCCCCCTCAACCACCACCCCATCGTCCCCATCACCCCCCAACCCGCCATCCCAACGCCCCCCATTCACCCGCACCATGGCGCCCCCCACCAAGAAGAAGGAGGCCACGGGCGATCTCATGATCTCCACTGCAGAGTACAAAAAGACGCGCGACTCGGTACGTTCCACGCCCTTCAGCTCTTGTTTTTCTCAACCCGCGACGCGCCTGCCCTCAGTCGCCCGGTCGCAAATGCCACCACCCACCCCCCGCGCCCAACGCCCACCACCGCGCCACCCACCCTTCTCTCCTCCTGCCTGCTGCCATGATTCCGGTCGCCTCGTCTACGCGACCCAGAAATGCCCGCGCTTCTGCCAAAACCTCGCCCCCAGCCGCAGCCTGTCGCGACTCCGCCAGCCTGCCCTACACCTCCCAAACCATGGAGCGCAGACAAACTGGCCATGGCCAACCATGCATCAAAAGCTTACTATCATGACCAGGTCATTGCCTCGCTCCACAACCTGCAGGCCGGGCTCATCCACGTCCAGCACGGTATTACCGACCTCTTGACAAACTATCGCAAGCATTGTGCTTCTGTCCTCGGCGGCGAGGAGGGCGAGATCCCCCCTTTCAATGATGTAGCTGCTGTTGCCGCCTCTGTCATGGAAGCCGGGAGGAATGCCGTTGACGAGACAAAGCAGGTCCTTGCACCCGTCGACAAATCCGCCGAGGCCAGCAAGGGCAAGAAGCGCAAGCGCGAAAAGAAGGAAAAGGACCCCAATGCCCCCAAGAAGCCCCTCACGGCTGCTTTCCTCTACCACCAGCATGCCCGCCCCATTGTCAAGGCCGATCTCGAGGCTGCCCTTCCTCCGGGCGGTCAGATTGAGAAGAATGCTGTTCAGCTCGAGGTAAACAAGCGCTGGAACGAGCTTCCCGAAGAGGAGAAGGAGGTCAGTCATCTCGGCGCAACCCAATTTGCAATCTTGTGCTAATCGTTCCCCAGCAATGGAAGGCGTCCTACCGCAACTCCATGGAAGAGTACAAGGCCGAGCTGGCCGAGTACATTGCCAACAAGGGCATCAAGGCTACTGAGCTCGTCGAAGAGGACGAAGGCTCTGACGACGCCGACATTGAAGCCGAGGTTGGTGCTGCTGACTCTGATGCCTCTTCAGAGGACGAGGAAGAGGCGCCCGCCAAAGCTCCCTCTCCACCCGCAAAGACCCCACGCAAGCGCCAGAAGACCACTCCTGTCGTTAATGGCAACTCTGCTCCTATTTCCATTGCCCCCGCTGCCACAAACTCGACTCCTGTCCCCCTCCCCAATGCACGCGCATCACAAGCCCCAGCCCCAGCCCCAGCTCCTACTACCACCGCAGCTGCTGAAACACCCGTGAAGAAGGACACCAAGAAGAAGAAGGAAAAGGCCGCGCCCCAGCCCATCGCCCCCGCTCCCGCCTCTTCTCACGAAGACGAGCCTGCGCCCGAGGAAACAGTCACCACCAAGAAGAAGACCAAGTCCAGCCGCAGCACCCGCAACACCGAAGCTGACGGCGACAAGGAGAATGCCGCCCAAGAAAAGGCTGAAAAGGCGGAGAAAGCTGAAAAGGCTGGTAAAGAGAAGAAGCGCGATCGTTCTAAGAGGAAGGCCGATTCTTCCTAAGTCTTGCTCATGTCCTTGTCCTTGTCCTTTTTTTGAGGCGGTCACCATGGGATTGAAAAAAAAGTTCTTCTTTTTTTATCTTGGCAAAAAAGGGGACTTGAGGGTGCTGTGGAGTATTTCATCATGGGTTGTATGATTAGGGGACTCTTTTTCTCCGGGGAGAGACCTTACTGATACCAAAAATGACTTTATTTTCTTTAGAGGAGCGTTTGGGGTAGCATGTTCTTTTTTTGTTTTTTGTTCGTCTTCGCATCGTTGGATGCCTATGTTTCTTGACTTATTCTTCTTTTGAGGGGGGATATGTCGAGTGAGAGATAGGCGGGCGAATGTGAGCGGGAGATGTGTGTGTGTATGTGTGTATTGACCTTTGTTACCCCCCGGGGCTGTGTTTTAAGTATCAGTGTTATAAGATTTATACCCCTACTTGCACCACTTACCAGTCCTAACTATCATCACCAAAACGCTTCATTCCTGAATTTTCAACGCGTAGACAATCGACTCTTCATTTCAACCTACCCCACGTTACTCTACCAAAGACACAGAAGACGGCAAAGACTAAACAAACGCTACAAAAAAAAAGGTCGCAATGTACTAGATAGACACACCCGACCTCAAATCAAACTCCCCTCCTCCGCATCCACAAACTCATCCTCACTTCCCTCGACACTCTCGACCCTCGGTCCCTCAACCGCTCCAACCACGCCCTCCCCACCCCTCACCCCGGCCATCATCCTCGCCCCATACGCCCGTCTCTTCTCCCGCACATCGAGCAGATAGTCGAGCGTCAAGCGCGCACACTCCTCCTTGGCCCTCTTCTTCCCAAACACATTCCGCACCTCGCCAATGGGGCCCTCGTGCGGGCCTGCGTCGCGGAAGAAACAGGCAACCGAGTGGAAGGTCGGGTCCGAGGGGTGCGCGGTGTACTTCCACTCGGGGGTGGGGAGGGCGAGGGTGGCGGCGAGGGTGGCGACGCGTTGGGCGAAGCTACTAGTACCGCTACCAAGAGGAGTCGGGCTTTGGTTTGGATTGGGGGGCTGGACGGGTGAGAGGACCGAGAAAGGGGGAGAGGCGGGTTTCGGTTGTTTCTTTTTCTTGATGCCCCCGATGGGCGTGTCTTGGGGCCAGGTGCCGAGGGCTTTGAAGTGCTCGACGGCGTGGCGGGCCGCGTCTTGACGTGCTGCTTTTTTGGATGAGAAGAGAGAGGTTAGCGTGCCGAAAGGGTGGGGGTGGCCTTCGAGGGTGAGGAGGCAGGCGAAGTGGGTGCCGGACTGGTAGTCGGTGTAGGTTGGCTGGGGGCCAGAGGTTGAGCGTTGGTATTCTGGTTTGGGGGGGATTAGTTGTGTTTGGGGGTTTTCTTGATATCATCTTTCTGAGCGAGGTGGATAAATCTTGAATAAACGACAAAGTGTATACGTACCAAGTAGCTTGCCGATATAGTTTTCTACTGGCTCTCTCTCTGTAAGACGCTGTTGCTGCTCTAGCTGCCCCCCTACACTCTTCTTCCGGTTCTTCTCAGCCTTCTTGACTCTGCCTTGCCTCTCCATCTCTTCAAGCACTGCCAGCGCTTTCTCACTCAATGCTTCCTTGGCCTCCTGCTTGCTATTGCATCGCTTATCCCCACTTAGCCCTTGCAGTTCCTCGACATTTTCAAGACCAGGAAAGCTAACGCTGGCAGCCCAGCTTGAGCTGCTGCTCCCCTCATAAGTGAACAGCGGTTGCTGGATACCAAGGGCTTGATACTTTTCATGCAAAAGAATCGTATGCTTCGATGACCGGGCGCCAACCGCAACGAGGGTGAACGGCGACGCATTTTCACTTGTCGTTGCCTTCTTTGCCGGAGGGCTAACAGTAGAATATCTCGCCTCACGCTGCGCTTGGTACTCGTCCTGGTTCTGCTTCATGAAATCTTCCATACTGAGAATACCTGTTGGCGGAGCTGCACGAGCCATCGGATCCTGCTCAGTATGCGCAGAATTGAACACGGGCAGTCGTGTAGGCGTGTCAATCTCCATGTTGGATTCTTCAGCCTTGCCGGTACTACCGCGAGTCGTTATACTTTCGTATTCCACCTCTGGTTCGAACCTAGAAATAGACGAGTGTGGTTTTGTCGTATGAGGGAGTATTGGATTTGAGGATAATGAAAGTGGTGCGGACGGTATTATCAAATACTTTTTGAGATCATCTCCCGCCGAGCCCATGGCAGTGAAGGCGAGCGCGTAATCGTTTGATGTTCCGGACCTTGGTTGGGGTGGGCGATTGTCTCAAGCGGCTTAGCGGGGCAACTTGTGACCTCGTGATTGCGTGTTGGCGTGTTTGTAGTAGTATGCGACGCGCCGTTGCATGCTCTCTTTGCTGTAAAAGTATCGACTCCGGTGATCAGTTAGTAAAGTACAAAGTAGAGTCAGCTTGGTTATTGCTAGATGTTATGAAGGCTCTGAAGCGAGAAATAATAATCAGTAGACCATTTGGTCCATACACACTACAGTGAACGTGACTCGTCTCCGTCTTCAGTCAGTTTTACCCCTCACTTACGTCACACTCACTCTCACCTATTCAGTTATTTTTACGTCAATTTTAACAATGAATTTGAGCTTTTCTAGTTTGTATTGTTTGTCCAACAATATTATTTTGGAAAGGTATGCCCTCAGCCGGTCATTTGCTATACGATTTCCATCTTTTAGACTTTGAAAAAATCACCACTGAATTACTTCCATTATTACCAAGCTGTAATTCTGGAGACTCTACATGGCCTTTAATGACGGATATTATGTGGATGTTTATCAAACACTCATTTTATCAGCAAACAACACGAATCTCATCTTCAGTTACCAATATTCTATATCCTTTGTAATGCCAACCGAGTCTATCACCACAATTCCCTCAAGTATTTCCAGTCCCCACCTCCTATCCACAACATCATCTACCAATATTTTCTTTAAAGCATAATTTATCCAGCAAAATTGATGCACCCAAGAGAGGCCTACATGCGGTGATTGCCATATGTTTGTGTATCATAAAAACCATGCTCGGTCGGACCTTTAATTCACGGACCTTGCAAATGGAAATCATCTTCAGCAAGCATTCCTGTACTTGAGAAACTCCGCCCTGATTTTCGCTGCTCAGGAAAGTTTGATACGGCTTTGTTGCTTTCTCTAGATGTAAGAACAGCTCTTGTCACGACGGTAATTGCTATCTTAGGGACTTTAAGATCTTCGTTAGTGTGTCTAATAGCTGCGCTTAAGTTACCAAGTTGTGTGGTAACCTAGAAGAGCTCTTCTGAAATTGTCCGCGGTCTTCTGTGAAATCTCATATCGACTAGCATTTGCACAGTGCCTGGTAGATGTCTGCTATATGCGCATCGTCTTCGAAGATCAAACCCTTGACGTAGGCGATGCTTTTAGTGCACCGTGAAAGTGAATAGTATGTAGTATGTATTGATTTGATGACCAAGAGGCCTGTAATCTAAGCTTGTATACGTAGAGTAGTGGGCTGATTGGTCGCTAGATGATCCACGTGACCATGCAATATGGGCCTTCTACGACTTCCAAAGGTATCCACAATCAACACGCTTAGTATTTCGGGTCGTGTCGTGAATATCGAGCCTACATACTTACCCCTTATCACATGCTGTAGTGTGACCAGATCCTTGGTGTTCAGACCTAACCTTAACAAGACTATATGACCGCGCCGCACGAGTGGGGCGGCGGCTAAGATGCGCAGCCACGTTCAGCTTGGTGTGTAGCACTTTAGTTATCTTTCAGCCTGATCGTGGGCATTCTATCCTTCTTGTTCCCACTTCGTTACGCATTACTTTTTGCCTCTGCCACATTCTAAACCCTCATATACTGACTACCCTGTCGTTGTTTTGAATCTATTCTCCAGCAACCCTGGTGCATGTAGTAGAGCAGTCTTGGGAACCGCTCAACCAACTTCTTTCCTCCTCCACACAAGACAATTTTTATTTATAAAACGGGAGGAGAACGCTGATGTATGATTGTGCTATAGTTCGCTGTATTACAGCTATCTAGCAGTAGTTATGTCTAGCGCTCTAGCGAAAGCCTCACCCTTAAAGCCTGACATACGTCTTGCTCAGGCCATTTCAGAATTTGAAGCCGATCTTTCACCCGAGCAAAAGTCGAAATTCCGAACGCTGAGCTCGCAGTCGCGCTCAACAACACCTAGCCCACACGATGTCATGCAGCTCACAGCTGAGGTTGATCGTTACACATCCAAGTTTGGCAGTGCATGTTTCGGGCCTCGCTTTATTAACTTCCTTCACGGAGTTCAGCAGTTCGCGACTGTTGGCGACGTTTTGGTCGGAGGATCGCAGCACTTGCTAGCATGTGGCGTGTGGTCATTGGTACGCATGTCGTTATTGGTTAGTGTCCTCTTCTTTCGTCATTGTCGTACTTAGTTGCTGATACGTCGCAGTCGATTGTAAACCTTTCGGCCTACGTCGAAAAGCTGTCCTCGCTATTTATGGACATTGGCCGCTCTGCCCCTCGCTATCAAGAGATTGCCCTGCTATATCCTCAGTCTTCGAAGCTACAATCGCACCTCTTTGAGTACTTTACCGTAGTGGTTGGCCTGTGCCATTACCTGTTCAAGTTCGGAAAGAAATCGGCTATCCAGAAATTTGCGTCCTCGCTAAGTGATGCGCGTTTAAAGGCCTTCCAAACGGATCTTCATAAGTGGGCAGCTTCCATCAAGGAGCAGATGGACGTAAGTGAAGCTCAAGAGAACTCTGGTTTTAGGGGTTTAACGCGGCAAATGTTTAAGTCTGCTTCATATGAGCAGAGACTTAGAGTTAACGCGCGAGTACTTGACTTTTGCTCTACGTACGATCATGAAGTAGCGTGGAAGCAAATTAGAAAGGCCGGTAACATGTCATTCTATAGACAACAAGCAGAGTATCAAGAGTGGAGGGATGGCTCGTATTCTAGCACGCTGCTGTACACAGGCAAATTGGGCTCGGGAAAGTCGGTATTGCTAGCCAATATCGTGGATGACCTTAGCCTCTCCGCTAAAGACCCATCCCTGGTGGCATACTTCTTTTGCAAACATGACATTCCAAAAAGTCTGCAGGCACGGACGATCATCGGTTCATTGGCACGACAGCTTCTGCGTACTGTTCCCGATCTTAGCGTACTTGCTAAGAGTTGCGAAAATACTCACACTATAGGCGATACTGAGAAGGTACTGGAAACGCTTCTTCAAGGCTTTTCCGCTCATACAAAAGTATATTTCGTGCTTGATGGCCTAGATGAATGCAATGATGAGGAGAAAGAGACGTTGGTGCAGGCAATCGGGAAGATCCAGGTGAAGCTAAAGATGCTAGTCTGTGCTTCTTTTCGAGAAGAGCCAAACAATGGTCTGCAGTCGATTACTGGCAGTAATCAACTTTTGGCCATTCGCGCTGTCTCCATCCCAGACGACAACCCAGATATTGACGCCTTTATCGAAGCAGATCTTGAGCGTTGCCTTCACCAAAAACGCCTAACAATTGGAGATCCAACTCTATTCGGGGAGATTCAAGATAGGCTGTCAAAAGGCTCGCAAGGAATGTTCCTCTGGGTAGCTCTTCAAATTCGGACTTTGTGCAGTATGAAAACCGATCACGCTATCCGAGAAGCACTAGCAGACCTACCCAAAGACCTCTCGGAGACATTTGCCAGGATTCTACGGAAGTCAGCAAATTCAGAAATGTCAGGAAGCTCAGATCTAGCACTCCAGAGGAAAACGCTACAGTTTGTGCTTGCAGCTTACCAGCCTTTAACAACGAACGAGTTGCGGGAAGCCCTGAGCGTTACTCCTGGAGACACAACTTGGGATCCTTCCAAAATGTTGAACGATGTTTACTCAGCACTAGCTTGCTGCGGATGCCTCCTTTCTGTTGATGAAGAGGAGCTTACCGTCCGAGTTATACATCACAGTGTCAAGCAGTACATCCTTAATACCAACTTTTCGTTTCAAGAGGCGCAAAGGATGTTTTCAGATACTGTTGTCACGTACCTTGGCTATGGTGTCTTCGGGACTGAGCTATCAAGGGTCAAGACCCATCCTATAGTAGCACAATCCGCACCATCTAAGATCGTGCAAGCCACTATTAGTTCGTCAAGCACTGCTCGTCATATGGCTATAAAGTTTCTCGAATCAAGACGGCAACATGAGTTTGATATAAGCAAAGCTCTCGCGGGAGCGCACAGCTCCTTCAATTCTAAGCCCGAGCACGCATTTAGATTCTACGCTTATGCAAAAATCTATTGGCAGGACCATGTTTTTTATGCATCTGGACACAACGCCGCCATTTTCAAGCTTTGTTCTAAGCTAATCTATAGTCGTGCGTCTGAGCTCAACAAGATGGACAAGGACTACTGGACACATTTCCAATGGGCTGCCGAGAATGGGAACAGGGATATTCTTGAGCTGTTACTACAGGCTGGGAAGGCTAACATTGAGGCGAAAAACAGCAACGGATGGACGCCGCTGATGCAGGCGGCAAGAGGCGGACATAGAGACACAGTTGAGGTGCTGCTTACCGCTGGCAAGGCTGACGTTGAGGCGAGAGACAGGGACGCATGGACGCCGCTGATGGAGGCAACAAGAGGCGGACATAGAGACACAGTTAAGGTGTTGCTTACTGTTGGCAAGGCTGACGCTGAGGCGAAAAATGGCGTAACGACGGCGATGATGATCGCGATAGCATATGGATATATAGACATAGTTGAGCTGCTGTTTACCGTTGGCAAGGTTGACATTGAGGCGAAAGACGATCTCGGATATACGGCGGTGATGCGGGCGGTAGCATCTAGACATAGAAACGTAGTTGAGCTGCTGCTTACCGTTGGCAAGGCTGACGTTAATGCGAAAAATAAAAGGGGATTGACGGCGCTGATGGTGGCGGCAATAAATGGGCAAAGAGACCTAGTTGAGGCGCTGCTTACCGTTGGCAAGGCTGACGTTAATGCGAAAGATAAAAAGGGATCGACGGCGCTGGCGCTGGCGGAGCGACATGGACATAGAGACATAGTTGAGGTGCTGCATTCATATACCAAACGTAAGTCAAAGGCATAACGGTTGGCATTCAGGGAGAAGTAGCCTCAAGCTTTAGAAATTATTTAGCAAACTGGAAGAAGCCTAATTCGACCATTCAGGGAACCTGTAATTATATACCGGCTGGTTCAGATAAAATGCCTCCGGTTGGAGGACTACGTGACAGCTTTACAGACATAGCGCTGATTGTCAGGTGCGATGCGAAATCCTCTGGGCCCAGAATTGTAGTGGTCAGTCAAAGTGGTAAAGTAGCCTTTACCAGGAAATCAAGGCAGTGCAATTTAGGTTGTGAGAAAGGCTACTTAATAGTGGCAGGTCTTACTTATGATTGAAGTGAAGATAACCATAATAGCGCTCTCATGTGCTATAATATTGTACACTGCGTGGTTAGCAGGGTCTATTCTGACGAGCCGACTCTTGGTTGATCAGCCTACAATGGCTAGAGATCAATGAGGAGAGCCACTAGAGGTTGCTCAACACAGTGACATAAATGTCAGTTTTCATGAGCAGCAAACTACGTCAGATCTGTATGATCGACAAACGTCTCGTTTGTGGCTTCCATACTTTAGAAGCGGTCTGAAACGCGCTGTACTGGCCGTGTCTGTTGATACGCACCGCTAGGCGTATATCCTGTGGAGACTTAGAAACCAACGGCCTAGATATCGCGTTCATGCGCAGTGTGGCTATAGCACACTACTACTTTAAGTATACTGCGGTCAAGGGCGACCCAACTTTCGCAACCGGGAAACAAAAGATGACCTTCAGGCCAACACATGTTGCGCACGCAATTCCTACCGGAAATTTTTGTGCTCAATCGTCTAGATCATCGGTGCCTGTAACGTTAAACTTCTTGCGACCGCCTTCTGTAAGGCGTTGGAGCGCGACCTTGTTGGCTTGTGCCCCAACCTTCTGCTGCATCTTCTCGAGTTCCTTCTCAGGATCATCAGATTCGGCCTCAGCAAATGCAAGGACTAAACGACGACCCAGCAAGTGGGTGTTCTTCAAGGCGTTCATGGCGTTGACGGCATCGCGTTTTGTAGTAAACTCTGCGAAACCGAAACCACGCGATGATGCATCGAACTTCTTGGGCACCCTCACAGACCGAAGTTGGCCGTAAGGAGCAAACAGAGCACGAACTTCTTTTTTCTGTAACTTTTGTTAGCATACACTTGGTCAAGAGGAAGGCTAAAAGTCTTACGCTCGCTTCGAAGGGCAAGTTCTTGATGATGATCTTGGTGCTTGCCGCCTTCTTTGCTGCATCTTCATTACGACGCTCTTCAGCAGCATCTGCGCCACGGTGGGAAGCCTTTATCTGTAGCTTATGTCCCTCCAAGTCATATCCGTCCATCGCCCGCAGAGCCGCCGTCGCAGTCTCAGGGCTATTGAACTCAACAAAGCCAAAACCCATCGACAGCACGCCTCGCTTAGGATCAACCTTTGTCTTGACCTTGGCGCTACGGAAGCCAGATAGAGGTTTGAATGCCTCGGTGAGGCGCTCCGTTGATGTGGAAAAGTTGAGGTTCCGCACATACAGAGTAGCGGTGTTTGTTGCTTCCGGTTCTGGAATGTCCACCAGCAAATCGGTGGCGCTGAGCTTCGTACCAGGCTGCGTTGAGGTGGATACTGAGGCTGATGGGGTGGTTTGCACAAAGTTCGTTGCTACGCCTTCCTTGAACAAATCCTTTGGTGCCTTCTCGAGGTACAAAATTGAGTCTTTCATCTTTCGGTATGACAGGGACATGAACGCAGCTTTTGCTTGCGCAACATTAGCAAATTCAACAATTGCCGTCATGCCTGTTGGTGGCATCAAGAATTTGTTTACAGTGCCGTGCTCCTCGAACAGCTTGCGGAGCTCATCAGCTGTCACACCGTGGGGAATATTCTTAACAAGGATAGCAAGATCACCCTTTGCACTCCTTTGGAAAGCTTCAAGGTCAACACCGTGCTGTGCAAAGTATGACTTGGTCTCCTGGATGATATGGGTCTCGGCGTGTGCCTGCTTAACCGCTGCATCTGAAGACGTAGGGTCAAGCAGCTCAGCTTTGCTAATACCCATGCGATCCGCAACAGTAGACATGACCGCATCAGCCTAGAAGTATGTGAGCATATTTCCCATAGACACGATTGAATGAACTGACATTCATGTAGAGCGAGTTCCAGTTGAAAACGGCTTTGGCAGCACTCTGCTTTCTCCTGATTTCCTTCTGCTTCTTTAGAGGCAGCTTGGATATCTCGTATTCATCCAGCTTGGTATCCTTCTTTGCTTTGGCAGAAATGATATGAAGAAGGCGGCCCTGGAATATGGTGTTGTCGTTGTCGAGGTATGCTTCGACTGCATCGTTCGGGTTTTGAAATTGAACGAATGCGAAGCCTTTGCCTTTGCCATCGGCCTTCTTCAAGGGCACATGCACCTGCAATGGTCAGCAAAGGTACGTCGACATAATCTCAAGAATTAACGAAGAAGTTTCCCTGCTATCAGAAAGAAAGTACATCTACTAAAATGCTTTCGAGAGATCACCTCAAATGCTGAAGCATCAGTTGTCCCTATCTCAGAAATCATCATTGCATGGGATGCAGAGTGGAAAAGAAAGAAATGCCTACTTACTTCCTCAAGAGCTCCGTGCTTAGAGAATTGTTCTCGAATCTCATCTTCTGTCACTTCGTAATGTAGATTTCGAAGATACAGACGACCAGTCTCGCGAATCTTGTCTTCTTCGTCAGGCGCAGCAGTCTCAGGCTGTTCCGCTGTTGGTTGTGGAGGCGATGGCTGCGCCTCTACTTCCTCGGCTGAGTCTTCTACAGCTCTTGGAGGCTGTGGTGCTGGCGCTTGAGAAGCTGGTACGTTTGCCGCAGGTACTTCGTCGTCTTCGATTAGTTCCAGAACTCTGTTTGTCCTTGAGCGTAACCAATCCATGTCCGAAACAGGCCCCTGCTCGGCAATTGGCGCTTCCTGTACATCTTCCATTGCTTCATCAGTATCTACCACCGCATCTACAGGATCCTTTGCAGGCTCCTCGGTAGGAGATGGCTGCGCTGGGGCAGGTGTGGCTGTGGGTTCTGCCGCAACCTTGGGCTTCTTCGAAATGACTTGATATTCGTCATCACTCTCCTCTTCTGGCACAGCAATCTCCGGAACGGCAGTATCCTCAGCAGTATTTGCCTCGTCTACATGGCTCTCGCCATTTGCCCAAATCTTAGTCTTGGAAGGCGGCTGGTAGACCTCGAGAAACTCCTTGAGCCTGGGATCCTGTTCAGTTTCGTCTCGTTTGCGCTTGAGTTCGTTTTCTTGCCGCAGTGGCGGTTTGTATTCGTCATTGGTAGGGGCGCTCTTCTCCAGCTTCTGCTGTCGTCGCGACTTGGGTAGTTCCTTGTCGGCAATCTGTGCAAATTAGCCCCGCTTATCACCGCCGTCAAGATGAGAGTGTACATACCGGGCGCGCAATCTCAACATAGATCTTTGTGAGTTTGATAAATGTCTTGTTGAAGTACTTGACCGCCTTGGCAGCGTCTTCTGGCGTCTTGTAGCCTACGTAGCCTATCCGTCGATGCGGAAAGAACTTGACGTCTGTGACGGGGAATTTGGCAAAATGCTTGCGCACATCATCTTCGGTGAACTTGGGAGGTAGGCCGCGGACGAAGATGCGTGAAGACTCCATGCTACCGAAGTCTGCGTCCGCTCTGTCCTGCTCAAAGCTTGATGTGCTGGAAGCGGATGCAACGAATGTTAGTTAAAAGTTCGCGTCCAGAAAAAAAGTCTTAGTACTCAGTTCTGCGCTAGCGCGCATGTGGGAGCTCGGGCCAACGGCTTATGGCTGCGCGAGCGCCTACTCAAACACTAACACACGCCTTGCAACCTGAGCATAGCCTCACTCTCCTCCATTATAAGACCGCACCTCTATCCGGACGATCAATCTCTTGAATACTAGTTGTGTAATAACTTGAACCAGCACCATGGCAAGCGAAAAGTCAGATACCCAGAAGCAGGATGGTAAGGCCCCTTTTGTTTATGCCGGGTAGTTTTGCCAAAGCACAAGCTGATATCATTGGCAGCCCAGATTAAGTCGGCGGACATGGTACGGAACATCCGGGATCGTTCTCTAGGGCTCTACTAACATGTGTGTGTGACAGAGCGAAGAGATGCAGCAAGAGGCCATTGAAGTCGGTGAGTTATATCCACACTGCGTGAGGCTGACAGAACAGCTGACATCTGGCAGCGCAATCGGCAATGGAGCAATTCACTATTGAGAAGGTGGGCCGCACTACCCACCCGACCCGGGGTCATGACAGGGCTTTAAACTAACATCTGGTGTGCAGGACATTGCTCAGTACATCAAGAAGGAGGTGAGAAACATGACCCTTGATGATTGTCATAAGCGCCCGCTAACGCCCAGGTAGTTTGACAGCAGGAAGGGTGCCACATGGCACTGCATCGTAGGCCGCAACTTTGGAAGCTTTGTCACTCACGGTAATTCTTCTTTTTAACCCTGTCATGGCCTGTATCATCTGACCTCGCATTAGAGACGAAGCATTTCATCTACTTTTACCTCGGTCACTGCGCAATCTTACTCTTCAAGACACAGTAGATGCACCATCCCGGGGTGGAGTTCATCGTCTATCTACGAGCCATGTCATCTCTCGTTGCGAAAGAATGCCTCCTGGTCCCAGAGTGAAGAAGACCGTCTAGTTTCAAGCCGGAGCTCAGAGTGTGTGCTCAACCTGTCTTCACTGTACATGTACGAAGACTGTATATTTTCTCGGCACGGGGCCGTTGTCTTTTCAACGGGACTCGAGGGCTTTCTGCGATGAAATGGCGTCCTACCACCTAGACACGATGAGATCACCGCATCCCAATCCTACGACTGCGACGAGTCTCCTTCTCTGCATCTTGATGGCTTTGGAGGTCAACCTAGTGATATCATAATGAAACGATTGTGCTCTTCTTGCAATGTATTGACCATGGCATGGAATGTGAAGTATGATCACGTGACTGATTACTACTGCCAGCCATCATTACGCATCTCACTAGAATGTGGGAATGTTTGAGAACGAATCCCAGGTTTGGGAGGGTGTAGTCTCTGTATATGCAAACAGAAGGAGCACCAGATCTACGAGTGCAAGTAATGTGATCCAACATAAATTCGGTACAGGTCATCCTGCATTTCCCCAGATACCCGGTGGCGCGGCGAACTCGGCCGCTAGTACCAGTTGAGAAAACGTCGCCAAGTGTGGCTGAGTAACCATTGATGACGCAGACCAGCTCGGCGCCAACACCTCCACGAATCCGTTAACCAAAGCCATAACATCACCCGACGTCTCAACACTTCACTTTCAATCTTCAAATAACCTGCCGCACACTCTCCATCAGTCTTCGCAGCACCAAGGACTTATCCAACACGTCACGAAGTTACGATCCAATAGAAAATAACACGCTTGCTGTAATCACCTGTTCGAAGCGCGAAGCGCATCACTTGGAATTGAATCGACTCGACTTGTACAAGGACTCCTTGGGAACAACACAACCCCGCGAAAGCGACTACACCACCTACAACCCCACAGCGTTGCCAAAGCGCCTCATAATACGCAACAATGTTCTTCTTCTTCACCTGCGGAACACACAGCACGTCCCCCCCCCCCCTCCCAAATGCATCTCGCCACGCAACTAACGCGAACGAAATAGCCTTCACCTCCCCTCTCAAAGGCGCAGAGAATGTCATTGCGCAATGCCAAAACTGCGGCAACGGTCATCGAACAGCCGTTATGAAGCGCTGGGAGTGGTTTACCTTCTGCTTCATCCCCGTTATCCCCTTCTCGCTTAAACCATACAAGGAGGTCGGCTGCGGTATTTGCCACTTTTGGCAAGACATAAAGTATCGCCCAGATGTGTTGCAGCAGATGGAGCAGGGCTATGGGGGCCAGGGTCAAGGCGGGCCGGCGATTATGATGGGTGGGAATGGTGGGGGGCAGGGACCTCCACCTCAGGGCGTACCGCAGTATAAGTAAGAGGGGTTGGTTGAAGGGAGGGAGGCGTGTGTGAGTTTGAGCATGTTTGGGGGGTGGTTACGTTGGAGCGCGGAGTTACGCATTGATACCCGTTGAGGAGAAATTGTGGGTGAAGAAGAGAGAAGGAACCGTTATGATATCCCAAGATCATTCTTTGGAATGTTTTTGAATTCTGGGACACGGCGTTTAGCATCGTTCACCATCCTGATACCAGTCTTTTTTTCTTTTTTTCAACTTCTCTCTAACAAACACACCTGGATAATAACCCTAATCTTTTCATTTGAGCTTTCTAAGAATCCAGGTCGTATTGTTTCTTTTCTTTTTGTGCTAAAATGTGCTGTTTCACTTTAAACAATGTACAAAATCTCCTCTTCGTCCAAGGGAAGTTCAGATGCATCCATGTGCACCTCTCGCGGCCACACCTCCATATATCCAAACCGCTCGTACGTAGCCCGGTCCCCTTGCCCCGTCTTCCGCAGCAGCAAACAGTAAAAGACGGTGTACTTATATTCTTGGGGGTGATACTGCGCCATGACGACCGTCTTGACACACGTCTCTGGGCGCAGCATCTTGCTCTGCGGCCTCGCCTGGTCAAACTCTGGTACCTTGCAATCGAGATAAACGATGGCCTCGACACGATCTGGGCTCCAAGGCTGATGCTTTAGATCAAGCCACGACGACGTGTTTTCACGTGGATATGTAAGAGGCAGCCACGGCTCTTGCGCTGCGTGGGAGAAACAACGAGCTCTCAGCGTGAGACTGGCAGATGCTAATTCTCCAAAGGCATCAGCGCCCAGTGGCTGTATCTCTGCGGCGATGTACGTGGCCAGCGTGCGGAAAGAGCTTTGGTAGACGTAGTCGTTCCAGCGCACGTCGCCTATAACAGAGGCCCAGGACCAGGATGGCGCACGCCATGTTTGGGGCCGCTGCCATTCTTTCTTACAGCGTATCCATAAAAGACCCAATATCACTGTGTTTTCCCATAGACCGGCTAGATAGCGGGACTTGGTGTAAACAGAGAGCATCTTGCTGATACCTTGCAAGGCCGGGAAAACATCCTTCTCATACGTCAGGCGTTGTTGAGTGTATTGCTCGATGAGCTTGCACCATGTTGTCGAGATGTCTTTGTGGTTGTCGCCGTTGGTGACGTGCAGCTTCTCGGTCAGCCAGGAAAGACTGCACATATTTGAGAGTGGGGTGAAGGGGGGTGGGATGGAGCATTCGCAATCTTGCTTGGTCTTGCAATCCCAGACGAGCTCTTCGTGCGTGAAATACAGGACCCGTCGAGAGAGTAGCCGTTCTTGCAATGTCCATCCGCGAGGTAACAAGGGCGCCCTGCCGTAGATCCAGCTGGCGTTCTTTAATCTTGTCCGGACGCAGAGGCCTAGCTTGGAACCATTTTCGTCCGGATATGAGAGGCAGAAGACAGTGCGTTGGACGCCGCGGCGGAAGCAGCCATTTGATGCATCTCGAGATGCTGTAGCAGCGAGTGTAATGTAAGCCCCAGAATAGATTTGAGCCATTTTGCTTCCTTCGCGGCGCCAGTCATCAACATCGTCTTGGATAATGCACAGCGAGTCGATCCAGAGATACTTTAAGCCAAGGCGATAGGCAAAAGACACGGCATGCCGGAATGTGAGAGGGAGCCTGCCCCACTTGATTTGTTGCTTGTGGAGCGACAGATTAGATGCAGTCGTCCTGATGATATGTTTCTTGCCCCAGCAGTGACTTAGACAGGCATAGGACTCGGTCTCTCCATTACTCTCGCAAAGTTTTATATCCTGTGGTCCTTGGATAAGGATAACACGAGATGGTAGAGGTGAAGCAGTGCGCATGCACGATTGATGTGTCTCGTCACAAGCCCGTAGCCAGGACAGGGTGCGTCTAATGGCATGACTGGATCCAGAGTATGATGCGACTTCAAGTTCGGGGGGGAAAGACGGTATCTTCCAAGGATTTTGCTGCGCTAAAGAAATTAGCATCCGTCACCACGCTACAAGTACGTTTGGACGTACTGTGCGGGGAGTACACATCATAACCATCGCAACAATCCGTTATGGCCAAAATCCGTGAATGCTCCATCTTGAACCGCATCCTATCAAGGGGGAACGACTCTTCAGGAGCCTCTACTGTATATTCAATCAAAGTTGCAATGGAACATAGAACCATGCAGCCAGCACAGCCTCCTTTAGCAGACGACGACAACTCATCGATTCGCAATACTACACCTTCGACCGACCACACAAAGTTCTTGCAGAAGGTGCATTTTTTCGCCTTTGCATATGCATCTTTGATCTTCTGTGCACGCGATGCGTCTTTTATATTGCTATCTGCGGTCCACCACGGGGGTGGCCTCCACAGAGGTTTTCTCCACGGCGGCAGGAGTGGATCCCAGGATGACATGGTGTTACTGATCAAGTGGGAAGTCACTGGCCTTGGTTGTACAGAAATAGAGAGTAACAGAAAGTGAATTGATAAGAATACGCTAAGAAGCCGATAAGGACGGACACAGGGTCATCTCGAGTCGTGAAGCAAGTACGTAGCTGGGGGAAAGAGAATGTGGGGGCGCTGAGAATGTGAAATCTACTGCTTCTGAAAATTGGGGGCCAAAAGCCATGTGTGCTGAGGCAGAGAAATCTCCTGCTCAAAGAAAAGTTGCGTCTCAGGCGGCCTGTGTTAGATGGAGATAGCCCATACCGATGATGAGTAGCAACCGAGGTGTCAGCCTTGCGGTGCATGTTAGTCTGTACTAGGGCTGGAGGCTACTACTGACATCAGAGCGATGTGCATTGCGCCGGGCCTGCATTCAAGTAAACGGGTCACATCTTCACAACTTTCCAAGAGCTGGAGGGGTAATAAAAGAGAAGGCACGAGTTTGCAAGCGACTAGGAATAATCGTAGAGTATAGGATGATGAGTGTTTGTGAGACGAGGGTTGAGGTTACGGCGCACCATCGGAAAGATAGCAGTGTTTGTGGCACGTGCGCCTGCTTTCTCCGTGAGGGGCCCGCAGCCGTGACTACCGTGGAGAAGTCGAAGTGTTTATCGGCCATAAGCCCAAGCTTGTGTGCAGAGACATTTTGGCCGAATCTGAAACAAAGAGTCTCCGGTCTTGAGAGAGGCGCCCGGCCCCGTCGCGCAGGACGGCGCCGGCAGTGTCGATGGGGGCCCCGTTGGGCGGGGACCCGAAGACGAGTGGCAGAGGTCCATGGCCGTTGCAGTGGTGGATGAATATGGAGTAATTGAGATATAAAGACCAAAGAGTGCAAACAAGATGCAAGTACAATATTGAAATCATCACGACAAAGCAATTGAAGCAGAGCCCGGAAGTCATCAGTCATGTTTGAGAAGAAAGAACTCCAGCCTACGTTTGAGGGTATGTCGTGTGTGCAGTCAAGTGAGGGCTATGATGGGCATGGCTAACTGGGAGCAGAGGTCATGGGCTGCCAGTCGGCATGCTACGAATGGGCAGACAGCTACGACAGCAAGGACTGGGATCGTCTGCGCAAGTGCGTTGCTCCGACTCTGAAGATCGACTACCGGTCCTTCTTGGACAAGATGTGGGAGGCGATGCCAGCGGATGAGTTTGTGGCCATGGCCTCTGACCCTGCGGTGCTTGGCAACCCCCTCCTCAAGACACAGCACTTCATCGGTGGGACACGGTGGGAGAAGACGGCCGAGGACGAGATTACGGGATACCACCAGCTGCGGGTGCCTCACCAGCGATACACGGATGAGTCGCGGACGACGGTGGCAGTCAAGGGCCACGCCCACAGCTTCAACACGCACTGGTACAAGAAGATTGACGGCGAGTGGAAGTTTGCCGGGCTGAACCCGGACATTAGGTGGTACGAGTATGACTTTGACAAGGTGTTTGCAGAGGGCCGCGAGCAGTTGGGCGAGGCCAAGGCTGCTGCTGGCATCCCGGAGACGGCGCCTGGCCAGGCCGTGTAGATGGGCGAGGGGTGTGTGGTCTTGGGTGCATGCATACTCGATACGTAGTTACAATACTGTATGTGTAATGGCGAGCGCCATGGTAGACGGGTGGATCCCAATGCGAATCATGATGAAATGCAAGCAATGGGCTGGGCGAGGTGGCTTCTTCCTGTGCTGATGGATGTGGAATGTTGATGTGTACCAGGTGTGTGTATGGAACAAGTGTGTTTGTAGTAGCGAGAGGGGCGTGCGGCATGCCTGGGCCAAGGCCACGAGGTTGCTGGATGCAGAGAGGGCCGGAGCAAATAGGTGTGTTCGTATACGTACTCTACGCACACTTGTGGAGTGCATGGGCTAGATGGGCCCGCCGACATAGGGAGAGGGCGGCTGTGCCATGTCTCTGTCAGCTTGGCTGGGCGAGAGGTGCAGCTGTTAGCCCCGGTGAGCGGTGAGGAGGGGGTGAGGGGCGTCGGCGGTTTGGATTGGCTGGCTGGGCACGAGGCCGAGTAGTATATGTAGTGTGTATGTATGTGTGTATGTATGTGTGTATGTATGTGTGTATGTATGTGTGTATGTATGTGTGTATGTATGTGTGTAGTATGTATGTATGTGTAGGCAGGCAGGTAGCCCAGTAAACAAGCTGGTAGTAGTATCCACCGCACACATGCACCTGTGCATCCCCAAGGACGAGAGCACCGCACCGCGCAGCGCAGCGCCCCGCACTCGGCCATGTCTGTCCCATGGCGCTGCGCGTCATTGAGCAGTGGCAGCGGCGCAGCGGCCAGGGGTGGGCCCAACTGCAACGACCAGCTCAGCTAAAGTCAGCAGTTGACGCACAGGAGATCGTTAATTCCGGCCTTGCGCGGGCGTGCAATGGCGTCGCAGCCAATCTGCGGCCTGGCCGAGGGCGTTGCAGCCGTGCTGAGCCACGGCCGGCCGCCATCCTTGTATCGATCTCCAAAGCTTGTGTCTGCCCGATCGAGCAAATCGTGGCGCCATCCTCTGCCCTCACGCCCCCAGCTTCGTCTCTGCGCGTCGCTACCGAGCGCCGTAAACTTAGCGGGTTCGCTCGGCAGCACATCATCTGCGCTCTTTGCTCTTTTACCCCACCCACCTTTCTTCTCGCACACATCCCCCCCTCCCCGACTCTCGTCGCCGTCCGTCTTCTTCTCTGCTTCCCTTGCGTTCTGGTGTTTGGATTCGACCTGTTTCTCCTCTCCGCCTCCGTCCTCTGTGTCCTTGAGTCTTTGCCGCTGGTAAGCCCATCCCCCCAGGCCAGCACAATTTTCATCTCTCGCCTTGGCGCCCCTCCACCCACCCGCCCCAACTGTGCCTGCTGCATATCGACAATGCACGCAGAATTGTTCACACGCAATTGCCAGCCCGCCATTGTGTGTGCGCATCCAGCCCGCTGACGTCGTCGCCCTGCACGGACTCGTTCGCATCGCAAACCAGCCCGCTGCCCGTCGACGGCCCAGTTGCGAGCGCAATTGTCGAGTCGTCGTCGTTGTCGTTGTCGTCGTCGTCGTTGTCGCCCCCCCGCCCGCTGCCGCCGTTGGGGTCGCGGTCGTGGTCGTGGTGTCGTGACCCAACCAACGAGACGAGCCTCATGCCCGCCCCCGCCCCCCCATGTCATCCATCGCGTCGGGCCATCCTGCACACGGTACTGACTGGCCCGCACAGATTGCACTTCGAGCCTCCTCACGGTCACTCATTCACTGTCGTCACCCGCACAGTCCCTGGTGCTCAATCCCGAGTTACTGTCGCCGCTTGTTCCGAGTGTCTCTTAGCTTACTAGGCTCCTTCCTTGGCCGAGCTGCCTTTGCGCCTGAGCCCGACGTCAGCGCCTACTTCACACCTTCACAGGCTACGTTTCCCTTGCTGCGACACCAGGAGCATCGTTCCCAGTGGTGAGTGTGTCTCTCTGTGTGTGTATGTGTGTGTGTGTGTGTGCGCCCAGGGTGCTTGCCCAACACACCCGACCCTGCCCTACCCTGCCTTGCCCTGCACTCACCTCGCTCCCGCTGCCTGGCTTACTTACCCGCCCATTCACCGACGCTAACCATTGCTTTTCGCGCGCAGACATATAAACGACTCCTACACTTCTCAATCATAATTAGAGCGACTTACCCTTACTCCCCACCTCCGCTAGTCCACCCGACTACCCCGCTTGCTCTATCCAGCATGTCTTTCAACAACGGTTACAACGACCAGTTCCAGGGCCCGCCCCAGGGCGATATGAACAACCCCACCCCACAGCCGGGCGACATGGGTCAGCCCATGGACACCTCCGGCAACGGCTTCCCACCTCAGGGCAACATGGGCCCTCCAGGCAGCGCTGGTGGCGATGGTCAAGGCCAGGGTGCCGGAAAGACGACTCTCTGGTGAGTCGACGCATGCGCGCCCTCCCCCCGACGCTGCGCACACCATGTGCAATGTGGCCAACGCTTGCCTCAGCGTCAAATGGCATGTAGCAAAATAGGTCAATGCTGACAATGGCACAGGATGGGTGAGCTCGAGCCCTGGATTGACGAAAACTTTGTCCGCAGCATCTGGTACAACATGGGTGAGACAGTCAATGTTAAGATGATCCGTGACAAATTCTCCGGGTAAGCACACACAATCCCTCTCTACAAAGCCACCAGGCTAACTACCGCATAGCAGCAATGCTGGATATTGCTTCGTCGACTTTGCGAGCCCTGATGCTGCCGCCAAGGCCCTGAACCTTAACGGACAACTGATCCCAAACTCGAACCGTCCATTCAAGCTCAACTGGGCTTCTGGTGGCGGTCTCGCTGATAGGAGGCAAGTCATGTCTGCTCTCTCACATGCATACTGCAATGACCTCTAACACTAAAAGAATAGCCGCGACGAGCGTGGTCCCGAATTCAGCATCTTCGTCGGAGACTTGGGCCCCGAAGTCACCGAATTCGTCCTTGTCCAGTTGTTCCAGAACAAGTACCCCTCGACCAAGTCGGCAAAGATCATGTCGGACCCCATCAGTGGCATGTCGCGTGGATATGGATTCGTCCGATTTGCCAGCGAGGAAGACCAGCAAAAGGCTCTGACTGAGATGCAAGGCGTTTACTGCGGCAACCGCCCCATGCGTATTTCTACTGCCACGCCAAAGAACAAGAGCGGTGGTCCAGGCGGCCCCGGCGGAATGGGCATGCCCCAAGGTGCGGGTGGCCCAGGCATGGGCATGTATTCGATGGGTGCTCCCCCAATGGGTAATTACTACGGCGCTCCCCAGCCCATGAACCAGTTTACGGATCCCAACAACACTACCGTCTTCGTCGGCGGTCTCTCGGGCTATGTTACCGAGGACGAGCTACGCTCTTTCTTCCAAGGTTTCGGCGAAATCACCTACGTCAAGATTCCTCCAGGCAAGGGATGTGGCTTCGTCCAGTTCGTGCAGCGCCACGCCGCAGAGATGGCTATCAACCAGATGCAAGGTTACCCAATTGGTAACTCTCGCGTGCGTCTCAGTTGGGGTCGCTCTCAGAACAATTCTGGACCCGCCGGTACCCCATACCGCCCTGCGCCACCTCCACCAGTGCCCTTTGGCCCTGGAATGGGCATGCCCCCGCAACACCCCTACGGCGGTGGTGGCGGCGGTTACGGTCCTATGATGAAGGTAAGGCGACATCACGTCTAGAGGGTTGGATAGTGCAAACGCCTCGTCGGCAGTTGAGCATTGTCTCCTACCTCGACCTCCCCCCCCCCTCTTTTTGCCGCTGCCAGTGCTAACTTTGTTACAGTAAGCGCATTCTTTCCCTCTGTATTGCTTGCACGGCGCTTCATTCGTGGTTCATCCCGTTGGCTTTACTGCAACGACCCCTTTCATGACTCGGCAATGACGTTTTCGAGCGATTTGGTCTTTAGTTCTATAACGGGCGGTACTCTAAAAGTTCTCGACTTTCTCTGACGACACCATCTTGCTGGAGGGCCATAGAGGGGAGTCTTTGTATAACAGGCCATCCATTCTCCCACTCGGACTTTTCTTTCAGAGCGTGCTACTCTTCTTTCGGGGAGCATCTATGGGATGTAGCTAGTCATGCATGGGTCGGGTGCTGCTTTCTGTCAAATGCCTTTCTTTTACCGGTTGCGCTCTGTGACCAGCAGATTGGCTATCCTTCCAATCACACGATTCTTCTATTTTTCTGCGTGGTTTGTTGCGTGCTTGCTTACTTGCTTACTTGTTTGATTCATCTAACGGTCTGGTTCCAAGTGCATCATAGTTGGTTTTCTTTGTTCGTGCGCGTATGTAGAGTTTGGCTGGCGTGCGTATGATTTGTTGCCTTGTCAGAGCTCAGGGAGTATTTCACTAACCTTGCTGTGCGCAGTCCTCCTCTCACGCAGGCGTCGCTGCCTCCGCCTTATTCGTCCATCGCGAACAATAACTACGCTGGCTCACAAAACGACAGTCAGAACGCATCTGCTCTTCAGAGCGGCGCAGCAAACGGTCTCCAATCTGGCCTCGGTGGCTTCACTCGTTTCACGCCGCCCCAATCGAACGATCCAAACGGTTCCTTTTCGTAACAGTTCCCTTTCTTCTGCACTGGCCTGCCAGCCAGGCCATATCGGCCAGATGTGCATACAGTAATACTTGATGGTTTAGCAAGGAGTTCAGGGGGGCACTTCATCATAATGTCGGCGTACATTGCTTTCGGATATGGGACTACGTTGTTTTAGCAGGGCGTTTGGCGAATACCAAAACAGCGGATACCCATGTTACGAAAGGAGGAGGTTCCTCCAACAATCTAATGTTTCTCACATCACGAGGTAATTCTACGACCTAGGCGTTTTGTTTTTGAAGATGTATGTTCTATGGACAGCGCATGTGTCGCCTTGCCATGGTTGATCAGCAATCAGACAGCTGCTTGACATCAAACAAGAAGACTGACGGACATTTCTTCGATTGATTAGCGGGATATTACCCCCCCTTTTTTTTTGCTCAGCTCATCACTGTACCCCAATCAAAATTGAGACATGTATGTCTCCTTGGTTCGCATGGTCATATGTTTATCAATATCCGTCATATTCAGAAGTTAATAGGTTATTTGCTACATGACGTGTGATAAAACTGACCATTCGTACCTTCCCATGAGGCTCCTCAGGTGTGCCCGCCATTACCCAGCCGTCAATTTGTCAATCAGGCTCTTCCCCCTGCCTCACACACTCCCGCTCTAGCACAACTACCGGTTGCTCGTTGCTCTCTTGGATCTGAACAGCAGCAATCACACGCCGATCATGCGTTACGATGATTGGGATGTGATCCTCTTTCCTCGAGACTCCCATGTTCCAATTCAGGAGTTCAAGACTGCTTGCTTTGTCTCGCAAGTGGAGTGTGAGTTGCACCGCTACTTAGTCTCTTTTCGGCTGGCTTGCTATCACTTGGGGTCAACTACACTGACACACCACAGACGGGCGCCAACTGCCGACATTAACCTGCTTCATCAGCTCACTGCCACCCTCGACCCCATTTCGTATCTCACTTCATTCCTGGCGTCCCGCTTTGAAAGCCTCAGCGCTCCTCGAGTCCCGACGCAAAAACAATCAAAAGGTAGTTTTCAACGTCCAGGTCATTGTGGGCGAGGCCAGACTCTTGTAAGCCTCGAGTAGTTGCTGCCGGATGAGAGTGACACCTACTGACCAACTTAGTCACGGCTTCTTTGACTTGAATACGAAATGGCCTCAAGAGATTGGTAAGTGATCCAGAGCAAAAATTGGGTAAAACAAGATCTGACTACTGTGGAGCCTACGAGAAAAGGTCGCTCACCTTCAATGATCTACCTACGAGCCAGCGGAAACGGCCTCTTGAGTTCCCTCCCTTCCACAATCTTACGCTCAAGAATAACATTTGGGATGCTCGTGATCCATATGGGCGCATACGAGTCGTTTTGTCAGAACAGCTAGTCAGCAGCATGCCAAGTCCTGGGAGTTTAGACTTTGGCACTGCCAACGAGATCGTTTGCTTCTCATTCCAGCATGCACCAAAAGGTATGTTCCAAAATACTAGAAATCTATGGTGGAATATGCTCAAGCGACGTAGATATCCTCCAGCAGACCGGAATCTCGTGGCCGATCTCGAACCCGCTCTACCTCCCGGATGCGTTTAATCGGGACAGCCAGTGCCCTCAGGCATCTCCAGCAACTTCGTGGACCCCTGATGCGCATCTTTTTAGAGTAAACATGCATATGCTGACTCCACAATTGCATAATGCACAACCCATGTTCGCGAGATCGAATGATAGCAAGCCCAAGCGACTATCCAACGCGCACCTGCCACCTGTTCCACACTTTCCAAAGCATTCTGTTGCCCCCAATAACCACACTCGTCGTGAAACTACATGGGATGATACATTCAGCACGCTCAATTACACTGGCGAAACCGCCAGCACAGATAACTGGTCAGAAAAGAGGAAGACATCCGCGTCGTCTGATCACCCCATGCTGAATCACATGTACGACTCACATACATCGACCAATGGTCTGCCATGGATGGGTGATATATCTCAGCACGTTCAGAGCGAAAGTATAGACTGGGATGATTATTCAAAAACCCGAAAAGAGAAGCCGTTTGTCGTTACGCTTCAGGATACTCAGTTGGGCCAGATAATTGATGCAATCAGCCCACCAAAGCATGATCGTGAGATTTCTCGGACACCTGGTGGACCGTTTCATGAGCCAGTTAGTCACCAAGCCACTTATACTTACTATCCACCGAAATTTGGGACTACTCCGTCGATCAAGCGTCCGTCCTCTGGGGTTCTGGCTCACAAATCATCTTATCAAGATTCCAGCAGTGTCTTACGAAACGCCTCGAACAAGCCTTCATCACATAAACATCACCCCCAAGACGATGGGAAAGACAGAATGCCTACAAGGCCACGCCCGTCTATCCCAAATAACAAGGAAGATATCGTGTCATCGCAATTGCGATTGCCAACGCCGTTTCCCCATGCCAACCGCGTTCCAACGCCGAACCCTTTTGCTCAGGGGCAGCCAGCAACCATTTCGGAATTGTCAATGAGAGATTGGTCCTCAACTCAAACAAGCGCACATCGTGTCAACCGAGGCGAGACGCCACAGTCAGCCACCGGATTCAGCAGTCTCGGCTCGGCTCATGGGCCGTCAAATTTTATTTCAAGGAGCAAAAAGGAGGGCTTGTTAGTGTCTGATTCACCAAAGCTGTTAGATCAAGCAACTCGGCAAGATGAGTGTTCGATGCCGACAGCCAGTCCGGATTCTCAAGTGGAACAAAGCTTTGTTCAAAAAGCACATAGCAATCCTACCCAAACCGATCAAAAATTTATACCTGGAATAGTAGAGATCATCGACATCGATGCTGTCGACCCCAGTTTAGAGACGACTGCGGCAGTAGATACCAGCAAACTCTCGCCGTTCAAACCCAGCCACAAGTCTCGCATCTCGCAATCAAGCATCGATAGTACGGGTCGTCTGGAAAGACAGTTGTTTAGTGCTCTGGGGGAGGAGCTTGGGAGTTTTGATCATCACCATCATCATCAGATGGATACTACGGATAGGGGACCTGAGTTTATGCATGCTCTGACTGGTGATGCGAGGACGAATTCCGAGCTCACCGGTTCTGCAATTCTTGGCTCGACTACGACCGACTTTGAGCCGACAGTCAAACGGAAGAGACAAGGCACGCTGGGTGGAGGCAGTAGCGGCAGTCCGATGAGTAAGAAGGAGAAGGCTGATGGAGCGGAAACCAAGGAAAAGAGGGAGGTAGTAGTGGTCAGTATGAGAGGAGACTGATGGTATTAAAGGTAGTATCATGAACCTTTTTGCTTCAGGGGAATTTTTCTTTTGTGGAAGGGTTGGGGGACTTGTGGCCTTGGCAATTTTTCTGGAATAGGAGATAGGTATTGATTTGGTCGTGATGGGAGATACAAACAATGGAGAGAGAGAGAGAGAGGGAGGGAGAGAGGCTATTGGGGCTAGAAGAGCAAGTTGTTTACGGGTAAGTAGAAGTAAAACCGTAGTGTTTTTTTTTTGGAATGATGCAGCGTTACTTTGAACGTACGTTTTTTTTGTCAAGGACAATACTGGATTGAGGAACAAGTCTGCAAAGGGAAACCGTTTTATCCCTACTCAAAAGGAAAAGGTTCAATCTTTCAATTTATCAATCTTAACGACGCTACCTAAGAAACATATGTAAGAGACAACAAATATCCATTTTTTTTCTGTAAAAGAAAAGAAAGAGATAGTTAACTGAAGAAAAAAAGGACAGAGATCAATAAACAAAATACCCCTGCGTCAAAGGCAACGTCTCCGCCGGCTCTGCCTCACAAACCATGCCATCAGCCTCGACGCGATAACTCTCCGGGTCGACCTTCATCTTAGGCTTCGTATCATTGAACTTCATATCGCGCTTGCCAATGTTCCTGCAATTCTTGACGGCTTCGACGCGCTTGCGCAGGCCGTAGGAGGACACGACGCCCGAGGCAATCGAGGCTTGCGAGACGAAAGTTACGCTGGAAGCGGGGACCAGCGGGGCAAACATGGGGCGCATGATGCGGGGTTCGACCATGGGGATGGAGCCGTTGGGGTCGCCCTTTTAGGCGTGTGTGTTAGTGATGTCGTCTTAGGAAGGAGGAAAGTGGTGAAAAGGGAGAAGGGGGGGGGGGAGTAGTTACCATGACGGCGTAAGAACAGAATCCGCTCTTGATAATCAAGTTCGGTTTTACGCCAAAGTTGCTTGGAGCCCAGAGGACGAGATCGGCGAGTTTGCCTACTTCGACGCTGCCGACGAGATGGCCCATGCCTTGGGCAATGGCTGGGTTGACTGTATACTTGCTGATGTATCGCTTGACGCGGAAGTTGTCTGCGTCAGTGCCCTCATCTTCCTTGAGCGTGCCGCGCTGCACCTTGTTCTTGTGTGCCGTGTTCCAAGTGCGGAGAATGACTTCACCGCATCGACCCATGGCTTGCGAGTCCGACGACATCATGGAGATGGCGCCGAGGTCATGGAGTACGTCTTCTGCGGCAATCGTCTCAGCGCGGATACGCGACTCGGCGAACGCTACGTCCTCGGGGATATTGCGGGACAGATGGTGGCAAACCATGAGCATGTCAAGATGCTCGTCCAGCGTGTTGCGGGTATATGGCCGGGTAGGGTTGGTTGAGGAGGGCAGCACGTTGTCATGCTCAACCACACTAATGATATCTGGAGCATGTCCTCCACCGGCACCCTCGGTATGGTATGTGTGAATCGTTCGGCCCTTGATCGCTGCGATGGTCGACTCAACGAAACCAGATTCGTTCAGTGTGTCGGTGTGAATCAGTGTTTGTATATCGTATTCATCGCAGACTTGTAAGCAAGCATCGATAGCTGCAGGCGTACTGCCCCAATCCTCGTGCAGTTTGAGACCGCAAACACCGGCCTCGGCTTGCTGCTGCAGAGGTCGAATATCGGAATCATTTCCTTTACCCGTAATTCCATAGTTGAGAGGAAGTTCGTCAATGGCCTGAAGCATCTGCTTGATGTGCGTCTTACCAGGCGTGCATGTTGTCGCATTCGAGCCAGTACTAGGACCTGTACCACCTCCAAGCACTGTTGTGATTCCAGATGCTATAGCCTCTTCCGCCTGCTGTGGGCAAATCAAGTGAATGTGTGTGTCAATACCACCTGCTGTCACGATCTTGTGCTCGCCAGCTATGACATCGGTGCAGGCTCCGACTACCAGCTTAGGGTCCACGCTGTCCATGACATCGGGATTGCCTGCTTTGCCAATGCCAACAATCATACCATCTTTGATTCCAATGTCGGCTTTGTAGATACCGGACCAATCGACGATGAGGGCATTAGTGATGACTGTATCCAAAGACTCCTTGTCTGATCGGCCACCAGCCTGACCCATGCCCTCACGCAGCGTCTTGCCTCCTCCGAATGCACACTCGTCACCATATATGGTCATGTCCTTTTCTACCTTGATCCACAGATCTGTAGCACCTAGCCTTACCAAGTCACCAGTTGTTGGACCAAACATTGAGATGTATGCTTGTCGCTCCATGGTACAAATGTCAATATGAGCAGCGTCGCCATAGGGCTCGGGCTCGTGAAGAAAACCTCCAGCCTGTAACTTGTCTACGATGGTGCTAGCAACGGACAGGTCGCCAATGAAGCCTGAAGCAATCTGGTTTCCACCCTTGATGATCTGGTTTCCGCCAATTTGAACAAGGCTGACAGTCTTCGTGTCACCAGGCTCAAAGCGCACCGAGGTGCCGGCAGGAATGTCAAGTCGGTAGCCATGTGCTCGTACGCGGTCAAATTGTAGCTGAGGGTTCGCCTCGATAAAGTGATAGTGCGATCCGACCTGTTGTCATGAGTCACGTGCTCTATATTCTCATGTGGCGGCCTTGACGCACCTGGATTGGCCGGTCTCCCAGGCTCTTCACCTTGAGTTTGATTCTCTTGCGCCCCTCGTTCAGTTTGATGATTCCGCTCTGTCCCTTGACAGCGACTATTGCACCTGGTTGCTTGGTGCCTTCGTACACGCTGGCATCGGGCAGAGGGAACAATTCATTCGAGGGAATAGGAAGAAAGGAGCCATATAGCGCCTTTTCGAGGTCTCCATCTTCAGTAGAGATGGGTTGATGGACGGTAACAAGATAGGTGCCTGTGGGGAAGGTGCCTTCGACCATCAACTCTGCGAGCGATGAGACAACTGCAGGTTGCACATGGCGGCGACCCAGCATGGTCTTGCCAATGGACATGAGATCGGCAACAGTATGATTGCCATCGCGAATAAGCTGTGGGCGGTCAGGATGGAAGTGGGTGCGCGTGCAGTCAGTGGAGGGGCTCGTACTTCGTGGAGATTGTTTGCAATCAATGCCTGCAGCCGTTAGCAGAGAACATGCAAGGACGTCTTGGACGTACAGCAGCTTCAGCGTGATTCAACTTGACACCCCGTGCCAGGCGACGCTGGGCAAGCAGGCCGAGCTGGGATATGACGAGCTTGTCAAGCTGTCACGACATTGTCAGCAAACTTCAGTCAGGTACTGGCACTCATGGCGGGCAGGGACATACCTCCTTGGGACAAAGCTGCATGGTGACTGTTTGCAAGCCAAGAAGTACGGTGACTACGTATGTGTCGTCTGCGTAGCAGGTGAATACAAAGCCCCACCAAATTCCTGTGTCCAGACTCACCTTGCACCCTACTAGCACTTCCCTTTCCCTTGAGCAGCCTCGCAGGCTTCACCGTTTGGGGCAAATTGCGGGGCTTGCGATAAAGATCCGCCCGTTGCCGATCAGCGATAGCGAGCCTTGGTCATGGTCACCTGCACCCGACCACCTCAACCATAGCCCGACAAACACTCACATGGCCATATAAGCATGATGCCATGCCATGTGCCCCGATTCTATGGCCATGACTATCGCGACTCAGGCCAGGCTGATCAAGATCAAGGCACACGAGGTGCTGACCGTGCCAGACGTTGATACAATACCATCCCCGTGCCACACCTCATGCAGTCCGCGCCAGTATCCTTTGCCTTGATCGCACATTGCTCCATCAGTCCCCATGTCCAAAGCCATGGCTGTTATAACATCATGACAGCCCCCGACTGCATATCCTCTATTCCAAGCCTAGTCGACGTGTGTGCATGACCCAGGTACCGCGCCACATAGGACCACCCCTAGCCACCCTTTTACACGCCACCGAGATGCACTCGCTCATCAAGCATCTCAAACCGGACAAGGCAGACGAGGAACCTCGCCAACCACAATCAGATGCACCCGTCAAAAGAAGTAGAGCGCCGGCCAAGCCTCCATCGAACGACCCCAACATCCCGAAGAAGCGCCTTCATGTCAACCAAATATGTCTCTACGAACGCCGTCTACCCGGAAGAGCATATGTCTCTGCTCATGTGAACCGCTTGCAACACGGCTTCTACAGGTCCGATGTCCTCCATGGAGCCGCTATCAACCATGTCTACTTTGTCTCTGTCCGTTTCGTCTTTCATCCACATGATCCGGAATCGCATCGCTTCAGGAGTGCCGAGATTCAAGTAAGCCTATACGGCGAAGACCCCAGCTCTAGCTCCAACAAACGGGCCGGGCGCTCGCAACCGCGCATCCTGAAGCACGCTCCAGAGCTCATGTTTGGTGCCGTATCCCCAGAGAACCTCCAGTGGAATTTTAGCCTTTCGACTTCACTAGGCGTATCTCCGGCATCCCCCATCGGTGCATATATAATACCGCAAGCGTCTGTGCAAAGCAGCTACAAGGTCTATCATATGATGAGTGTCCAAGGTTCAGTGCGGTCAAGGCAAGACGGGTCGGGGCATACCATTGAGGACTCCAAAGCCGTCTGGACGCTCAGCGAGAACGTGCTCCAGAAATCAGGGTTGCCGCGCGAGTTTGATTTTGTGATGCTTGTGCAGAAGCCAAAGGATGTTAGGAACATATACATGACGGTCAATGTAGATGCCAGTGTAGCAACTTGGTATGGTGCATACCCCCAATGGTACAACAATCTCTCCGAGTACATGCCATCGCAAAACTTTGCTGTCAGCTTTGAACACGACGTTGGGCAACGGTTCCTTCCCAACCACCCTGGGTTTGGCTACAACTTTGCAGACCTGATACACTCGCTGGATCAGTATGTAATGATGCCAGGGACCATCTATCCGACCGCTGTAAGTTTGCTTGGCCATACAAAACATGCCATAAGCTGATCGAATCAGGGTACAAATCAAGGAGAGTCCAACCCGAACCAAACTCCCCGGCAGCCACTTGAGGAGAACAAAGTCAACGAGCCCGACCATGCACCCTCTCGCTCCAAGCAGCGTCCTAGGTCCCCGAATGAATATCAATCGCCAATGCAAGACTCGAGCCAACGAGAAAGACGGAATTGGACGCCTGAGCATATTGATGTTCGACTTGTTGTCGACCACCGATTTCCTCGAAGCCCTGATCCACGACGCTTTTCGTATTCGCCTCCGCACGTTGTGGAAACGAGGCGGCATCCATCGATACGACGCAGAAAGTCACGGATACGCCTAAAGGAGTATGGCGAAGTAGAATTTAAAAGGACTTATACGCGATGATGCAGAGACTGGAGGAAGCAGGACACAGGCTGGAGGAGCCGTTAATAAACATCTGGTCACATGGAAAGTACATGTACATGTGCGCATGTGGCCCGATGCACACACAACAATCGCTTCGTCAGCCAACGCTCCATGTGTGCATCTAATATCCGACCAGAAGAAATCAATGGGCCGATATCAGGATAGGGGAATTGTGCGTGACCTTGTGATGATCCGATGCGGGCGAACATGCAGTTTGCAGGTCGCTACTGGCTCGCTTATGTGCCTTGAATAGAAGCAATTCCGTCGGTTGGGTGGCGCCGGCTTGTCGCAGGACGAGGCAACAGGTCGGCAGTAGCTGATTGGATCTGTGACAGCTGTCGGCACCCGGTTGTGCGGGTTCGAAACGAGATGATGGAAACTAGCAAGACTCAGCGCAAGGGATCCAGTGGTTGAGGATGCTCGATGGTCGTGTCTGCGGTCGCGGGGCTGAGGGAGGCTGCGGCGTGTGAGTGGCTGGCGAGTAGGAGGCGCTAGGCCGGGGTCGAGTAGTCGACGACCATCCACGACGCTGCGTTGCTCTCTCTTCGTACCCAACAGCCTTGTGGTTGTGATGAACAATGACACCTACCGTGGACGCAGTGGAAATGCGTCGTCTGCTGAGATGACGAATCCCCGGAGCCCGCCCCTAAGTGTCTAGGGCTGACGGCCCCGTTCTGCAAATGTTTCTCCCAATGATGTTTTGTCGCGTCTTCCTTCCCCAGGTACCCGGTACGACTACCACGCCGTCGTGCCTTCCTCTTCTCTCGCTCGCCAGGTCGTCGTCGTGCAGCGCTCTTTCCTCGTCGCCTTCTTCCGCTTCTCCTCTCTAGCAAACACCTGTAGTCTTTCTTCTTTTCTGTTGATCCTGAATTTAATGCTCCCTTCTTCCCTTGCCTTTGCTGCTGAACATTCGTCCCAAATCGTTGCTTCCTCTGACGTCGCTCAATCCTACAAACATACGCTTCACGTCATCGCAGCGTAACAAGAAAGGCGTAGGCAGAAATAGGCGTTACTGCACTCTCATCTTGGACTAGCCTAACGATAAGTCTCAAAATTTGGTCCTTGTCGGTACGGTGACCAGTTTTACGTTCGAAGGCAGTCGAGGTTAGTCGGACACTACACGTATGATGGAGAATATGCAGGGCTGATAAGATACCCAGAGTCTTCGGTTCCGATTACTGTAGCCCATTGCCATGGCGTAGATTCCGCCATGGGTTCGCTGGCGCTTTCATCAAGTTCGATATCCAAGACAAACAACCGATCAAGAGCCCATAAACCTTCGCGACATCAATAGCAGTGCAAGTTCGTCATCGGGGAAAGTCTACCTAAACAAATTTCATACAAGCTGAATATGGCGGCCTTCTACCCCCATTCACAGTCGCCGTGGGCTTCTGATCGGGCTTCACCGCGGCTGCACACTGGCAATCCTATGACGCCAGTTCACTCCCCGCACCACTCACTCACTTCCACAGTCTCCTCACGGACCCCGATTCACACACTCACTATTCACGAATACCGCAAGCAACAGCACACGCCTACGCTCGCCCGCAAGGAAACGCCACCGCCAGGCAAAACTCTCCGGAGGAAACCTGCAGCGCCTGCACTGAGCGATATTGAGCGCGCTGCTTCAGTGTCGCCCTCGACTTGGCCAGACTCCGGTCTACCACAACGCTCTCTTCACTTTTCCCAGTCAGCCCATCAACTGAAACCGTCTTTGCATGCTTTCCATCAACAAACGCGACCCGAGCTACCATTTCGAGCGCAGTCGACTGAACCTCGCCAACAGACAGGTAGCATATCAAGCTTGTCGACTACCAGCTCCTCTAGCAAGGTACGTTACTTTAACTCGAGAAAGAGGTTACCGAGACCGCCTGCCATTACAGGCTTGGCTCCATTTCCTCCTTCCCCTGTGGATGTAGAACCTTCACAAACACTACAACCGCCTCCGGCTACGCCGAGCCTGTCCATAGATCGCACACGTTGGAGTGACGCACGAACAACAAAAACGCATTCGTCATTTTCGCTATCGCGATTCCCACAGCCACCTCACCGAGCGGACTCATCACCCTCTCCATCGCTAGACGAAAGAGAGCCCGTCCATGTGAACCCACAAAATTTCGCAGCCAACAAGCCTGCAACGCCACCCACAACACCTGCAACCATTCACTACCGGGGTGCCTCGTTCGATTTGGTAAATCCCCGCGACTCCCTATTATTGCACAATATTGTCACTCCCTCGCGGGACTTCGATTCGAGTGACTACTTCCCTGTGCCCACTTCCGACAACGCCTTTTCAGAGGTACGAGATATTCAATCTTTCTTAGGACTTGGCTTACTAGAGCATCAGATGGCTCCCAAGCGAGCTGTGTATGGAGACTTCCATGCAGCGCACGCAGGTATTCTGCGACGTCCCACAGACTCTCCCAATCAGTCAAATACGGATATTCCAGCTCCTCCAACGCCCGCAGCTCTCAGCCCGAATTCCTCTTCGTATACGTCTCCCATGTACAGCCCAGACTCTGCCGATATACCCTCTCCTCTGTTTATGAAAACGCCTGCACGTGATTCGCGCTTCTCTCTCAAAGGTCTGACTCGTAGCTTGACACAGCGATTGAGCAAAGCACCATTAAGGTCCCAAGATGAGGAGCTACAGGAAGTTCACAATCGAAAAGTGAGCACGGAGACAATGAGCATGAACTTGGAATTTCCAGGATCCTTTCGACCACATATCTCCATACCTGAGACCTCTTATGACCCAGTCGATCCAATGTCTCCCATGACACCTCTTGGTCCAATGTCCCCTGAGGGCTTTCCAGCCTTCTCTCCGGGACAGGGTGAGGCAGAGCTGTCACGGAGGTATTCGATAGAACGATATGAGACACAGCCGCTTTCGTCAATGTTACCGGACGATAATGCCAGGCAATTAGAGCCAAGGCCCACTTCAAAGGCACTGCCTTTGGAGGAAAGCGGCTTGACCAAACCCTACTATGATGACATGGACTCGATTTATCCAAGCTCGTCAATCTACACTAGAGATGATCGTCGCGTGTCAAGTTACCAGCAGGGCCTTGTGAACAATCGCAACAACAATGCCAATTCATTGGAACGCGGAACACAACAACCTGCATTGCAAGAAGTCAACAATGGTTTCCAAGAACAATCTGTGTTTGCTCATTCTTCGGGCTTGCCTCCAAACGAGGTACCACCACTCGCGCCAGCTTTCGAGTATTATGAATCTTTCTGCTTCCCTTCTACTTCGGGAATTTCTGGGATAAATTCAAACGAATCAGCCGACTCTTATGGAGATACACGCGATCTTCTAAATGTCTCTGGTGACGAAGATCTTACACAGCCTAATCTGATGCAGACTCTGGAGCATTCTTCGACATTCTCTCAACCAAAAATCAACCCTCTCGGGCCCTCCTCTTCGTACTCACAAGTCGAGGCCGGTAGTCCCAACACTCCCAAGGAAGCTCTTGATCAGGCTGAACAAATCTTCCAAGATACAGTGAACCAACAAAGAATCGACAACAAGATTCCAGCCATCTGGTCCAGACGTAACTCGGGTAGCCAGCTGCTAAACAAAACAGTGATCAACAGATCTTTGGATGATGACGATCCAGCCGCTGTGGAAGAGCAAGATGATTGGGAGACAGTCGGTGGCAACAGTAGAGACTCAAAGGACCACGGGTCGCTCGACAGTATCGCAGACTATAGCAGCGATGGGGGAACGCGTAATAGTCTTGGATTGAATTCGGATGGCTCACTCCCATCTTGGGTAAAACAGCCTCAGTCACCAGCCCGATCAAACTACTATAATCACCCAAGTCCGATCCTTAATCAGCACTCTCACCCTTTCAGGTCTTCGCCTCCTGAATTGAATATCCGCTCAGACATGCGCGCTGCTCCCAACACTTCTTCCTCTCCATTACCCGCTCGGCCGGCGAACCTATATGCCTTCGGTGACAAAGAGACACAAGAACTATTGGCTTCTGGTCCTAATGAGAACATCATCATCGATGAGCAGCCACCAGCGCATGCTCCTCAATCAAATGTGCCTGAAAATCAAGATCCGGCATACATGTCAAGCGCTCCAGGTGGTCCCATCGGTCAAGGACGGCAAACCATGCTTAAGAAACTCTCAATTATCGATTCAAAAGGCAAGCTTACCGAGACTCCTCGCGAAACCAGTCCACGCAAAACAATTAGGAGTGTTACAAGCACTAGCAGTCCCAGTGTGAGACAAAGTTCGACGGTTGGCCGACAAAGCTCCCGTTCGGACTATACTGGGTTTTATGCATCGCCATTTCCTGCTACTGGCAGTGTCACGCGGATAAGCCAGCGTCAATCAACTCATGGGCCAAATCATAGCCGGGCGTCATCTGAGATGACTCTCTTCCCTAGTTCAAAGGCATTGAGACAAGCGCAAGAGGCCTATTCGCCTCTTGATGGTTGTCGGGACCTACGGAACTCGACTACTTTTGTACGAAGTCAACGTCGCACGAGTCGGTCTGCTGTACCAGGTCAGACAAAACTACGAGAAATGTTTCTATCGCCTGAAGCTCGATCAACTTCTTCGACAAAACGCACTCATATCACGCACATTGTGGGTGGCGATCGTCCATCGACTAGTGATACGAACACACCTCTACATCGTTCATTTCCCAGTCTCGAGATTTACCCAGCTAACTCTCGAAGCACTACTGGCTACATACACTCGCCTCACTTGCTCTGTGTAGAACGTAAAATTAACCCTGAAGATGAAGAAAGAAGGCGCAAGCTTTCTTGGATGATATTCGCGGCGTTTTGCGTGCTTCCACCGGCTATCATTCTCTTTCGCTTCATGGGAGACAGTGTCATCGCTTCAATGACGGACGGTCATCTTGGTCACTGCACGCCATATTCGAAGAGGATGGCGCTTATTGCAGGCATCGCAGTTAACATAAGCCTTGTCATTGCGGCAATTGTACCAGTGTTGGTTGTGCATGCGCTGAGCGCTGCATGAGCGGCATTGTTTAAACCAAGAAAGCATAAGGAACATTGGTGCAAGACTGGAACACGAATTGGCATATGAGAACATTCAGGCCAATTGGCAACACACTCCGGAGATCACTTGTAGTAGTCGCAATCGCCATCACATGGCGTGTACCCTTTTTTTCTCAAAAGTCATATCTTTATTTCTTTTCTATCTTTGTATTACATAACCGGGGTTTCATATTCTCTCAAGACATGTCAAACCAGACTCTCACTTTCTCTCTCTCCTATGTTTGGGTTTGATGGTTGCATAATTGATGGGCGGGTAATAGCTTTTAGGGCAATATGGGAGTTCTTCTCTTCTTTTTTTTACAGACTCCGTGTCCGAATGTCATCGGACTTGGCCACTTTGACTTGCTCGGTCCAAGCAGGAACTTCGACTTTAAGTGTACATTTCTCTTTTTCGTTTCTTGGAAAGCGTACATGGAATTGATCGAGCCAATTTGAGGTTAGAAACAAGAGCCGTCTTTTTTTGAACTTGATCCGCCTTGAGAAAGGGGGGCTACCTCATTTTGTCAATAAGCCTTGACCTCTTGTGGTTCTTTGATGGAAGTAATCAAGCACTTGTTTTTTTTTTACGACATTTCCCATACGATGACGTCAAATGAAAGCTATATGTGGCGTCCACTCCATTTCTCTCCATTCACTAGATGACGTCACTTTTCGCGCCCCGCCAAAAAAAGAGACAATGTGGTTACAAACGTTGTGCTTATTAATGTCTTTTGTTTGTTTTTACATTGATTCATTTCATCTCTACAGCCAACGGTCATTCATCTATGATGCCGATAGTATCGCTAACTAAACAAAGAGAAAAAAAAAATGAAGGGTGGGGGGAGGGTGCAGAATCAACCTGAGGAAAGGGAGTTTTAAAAATTTACGACTCCTTTGTCAAATCGGCAATCTGCAGGACTGCCTTTCCAAAGTTCTTTCCCTCGAGCATACCCAGGAAGCCGTCGACGGCATTGTCGATGCCCTCGGTGACGCTGATCTGGGCCTTGAAGGTACCATCGGCGAGCCACGTTTGGAGCTTCTCCTGGTGGTCCTTGGCGTGCTTGGGGCCCATGTTTGCGTCGCCGACGATGAAGCCGCGCATGGTGATGCGCTTGGTGACGATGTTCATGAGGTTGCGGATGGGGTAGAGTTCGTCGGGCTTGGAGTTGTACTGGGAGATCATACCGCAGGCGATGATGCGGCCGAAAGTGTTCATGGCGTTGATGGCGGCCTCGAGTTGCTCGCCACCGACGTTCTCGTAGTAGATGTCGATGCCGTTGGGGGCGAGGCGGGCGAGGGCATCGGCGGGCTTCTCCTTCTTGTAGTTGAAGCCCGAGTCGAACTTGAGGTCGTTGGTGATGAAGTCGAGCTTCTTGTCGTCGCCGACGCTGCCGATGACGGTGAGGCCCTCGTGCTTGGCGAGCTGGCCGACGAGCTGGCCGACGGCGCCCGAGGCGGCGGAGATGAAGATTGTTTCGCCCTTCTTGGGCTGTCCAATCTCGTAGAAGGACGACCAGGCCGTCAGACCGGGCATGCCGAGCGGACCGAGGAAGTACTTGGGATCCAGGTTGTAGGGATTCTCGAGCTTCTTGCAGAGATCGACCGCGGCCTTGTCGAGAACAGAGTACTCCTCAATGGGGGTGACGCTCATGGTAATCAGCGTCTCGCCCTCGCTGAACTTTTGGTTGTTGGACTTGACAACCTTGAAGATGGAGCGGTTGGTCATGGGCTTGCCCAGCTCAAACGGAGGAGAGTATGACTTTGTTCCGGCAGCACGCATGCGTCCACGCTGGTAAGGGTCGAACGAGGCATAAAAGTTCTTGACGAGAATAGAGCCCTCGGGCAGGTCCTGGTTGAGGTCGATTGGGCGGTCTTCAATGGCAATGTCCTCGCCAGGCTTTGGCCAGCCCTCAGGCACCTTCTTGAAAATGAGACCCTTGTTCTGAACCATGGTGAAGTTGTGTAACTACTAAGTCGTGTGATGTAGGTGTTTTTTGTCAAAGTATTTGAATAAAAATATAATCCTAGATTGGGTAGTTATCAAAAAAAAAGAACAGAGGTTGTTGTTGCTGCAAGAGGTTGAAACTGGATTGATGTGATATGAGGTTAAAAAAAAAAGACGGGCAGCAACGAGCACCTATATAGTGGCAGTAGAACGTAATACCAAGCAAACAAATGATTTCACGGCCGAAAAAAAATATCCTTCTTGCATCATCTGTATCTGTAATCTAGGGCCGCTGGTGCCGGGGCATGTCCTTGCACAACAGGGCATTTCGGGCAGTTTCCGGCAAGTGGCGGGGCCTAGTCGTTGCTGTGCAAGGAAGGTGTCTCGATATGGAGGGATGAGACATGTCGAAGTTGCAGAATCTTCAAGACAGCAATGGAAGACACGAAGCCATGACGAGCGTCGCGCCGGGGAGTTACCGGCTACGGAAAGGTGCCCGTCGAGAGGGTAGGGCTGATGAGCCGAGGCAAGTGGGGCAGTGATTGGTAATGGAGGGGTTGAGCAAAAGGACCCTCTCTCTCTCTGTCCACCTCAAGCGGTGAGTCCGGAGTGCGAGTGTCACAACAAAGTTCTGACCATACACAAAGCTTAGCAATAGCTTCTTGTCTCAAACATCCAATAGTCTACACTAGAGTCGGTCAAAGCTGACCGCGCCTGCAGTGAGCCGACGGCGCTTGTTTGGTCCGCGTGGGTACACATGCGGTACAACTCACAATCCGAAATGGGCAAACTATTCGCCCAACATCTAGTCAAGCTTGCAGTACGACGCATATGTGGTATTTGTATTCTGCATACACATGCACGTCCATGATTCTATCATTCATGCCCGGAGTGCTTTAACCCTGGACCAGCCACGGCCCCTTTGCACAAGATGGATACCACAAGAGCATGTCGAGACATGCGACTAGTCATCTTCCTCCTCTTTACTATCAACAAAGAAATCCCCGTCGCTTTCTTCCTCCTCGGGCTGCATGACATTCTCGATAAGCCTAAGAGTAGCCCTAAGCGGCAGTCCCACCACGTTGTCGTATGAGCCCTCTATGCGTTCAATGAGCACCGAACCAGCCGTCTGGATGCCATATCCGCCTGCCTTGTCATTTCCGTCGCGTGTTCTTACATATGCAAGAATAAGCTCATCCGTCACTATCATTTGTCAGCCATGCCGCCTGTACATCTCTCAAGAGAAGGCAACTTACCGTTAGGATCGAATCTGACGGTCGTTTCCTCAATGTGCGTCTTCATAGCATAGCCCGGCACTACGGCCGACTCCAGCGGCTTCATTACCACCACAGCTGTCATGACCTTGTGCTCGCCCTGATCTCTCAGCATCTTCAGCATGCCAATGTGATGTGCCTCGCTCCGTGGCTTTTCCAGTATTCGCCCATCGTGAGAAACTATAATAGTATCGGCTGAAATGACAATTGCCGGCTCGCCGCGTTCTTCATTGTTGAGTTCGGCTTTGTAGACATCGAGCGCTTTGGCGGACGCGGTTTCAAGCACATAGTTCAGCGCGCCCATGGAGTGGTCGAGGTTCTCGGCAAACTGCGAAGGACATACATCGATCTTGGTCAGGCCAAGCTACTTTGATGTCAGCACATTCGTTGCATGCGTGTGAGGCAGCAGGCGTCAGGCTACATACCTGCGCAAGCAGCTGTCTCCTTCTTGGTGATTTGCTTGCAAGGACGACCCTGGATCCCCTCAGTTGGTTCAGCGCGGGTAAGCTGAGTGGTGGCGGAGGGCCGGGGGGCGGTCTTTTGCCTGGCGCTGCGCCCGAGGCTGATCTGTTGTGGGCAAGAGGCGATTTGCGTGCATCTTCGTACGAGGGTGGAGGATCCGATGGGAGTAGTGGTTCCTTGGCGTCCATTGTAGCGATATGACAATCAATAGCGACTGGAGTCCGACACAAAGCGTATGTAGAGTATAAGAGATGATCTAATGGATGGGCGCAGGACAATTATGCGGTGTTGGGTGGCTGGTAATGTCTGTTGTTTGAGTGCTATCAACGAGTCCCGGGAGGTCGACAGGCCCCGGCCCAAGCTTCCTGCCTCAACATTGACGGTAGGTGCAGCGCAGATCTGCTTTACATCTGCTTTTCCTTTGCTAACAGTAGTAGCGTATATTCCATTCGCGATTCCTCAGAACGTACAATAGACTGTCACAGACGCCTGTGTTGTCTTCTAAAGGCTGTTGTTCAGGGGCATCGCAGTCGTGCTTGGCGCAGAGTAGCACTCGCATCATCTCACAACGCCAGAGCTGACAAACATCTTTACGAGCCTTATCTACACCTTGAGATGATGACACCTGCAGCTATCGTACAAAAAGAAAACTCTTTATTTAGCCTCCAACCTTTTGTTGGGGAGCCGACATGATTTGGGTAAAAAAGCACGCGCAATCATTTTTGGCGACTCGGTACCAGTCACTAGTCGTGAGCTTAAAAACCATGGCAACGGTTTTTTGGCTAACCAAATGCTTACACACTGTATCCCTGGTCAAATATATCGTCCTTAGACTAGAATGCCAGCCTGCGCCTTGCAGTCTCTTTGCTAGCGGGTTCTAAAAATTGAAATTATCTCGTGTTCAACCGCGGCCACACGGATATTATTCGTACACAATGTGCTAGACCCGTTTGGGTAAGCATCGTTGCTGGGATAATAGGGGCTTGTATACAAATTTCAAAGTAATACATACTTTCTTTCAGCAACTTGCGATCAACGCGTTCAGCACTCTCTACACGATTCTTTTCTTTTTTTTCTTTTCCGATAGGACCCTTTGCTTTTAAGCGTGAAGTGCAGTTTGCGACGAGTAGCTATCATGGCGAGCAAAAAATACGATGATGACATTGAGATGAACGACGTAGACCGGGACTCGAGTGAGAGGGAGGCCTTCCTACAGAAGCCCGGAACACCTGTCGCGGAAGAAAAAACAGGCAGCCTTATCTCGCAGCTTGAAAATCATTCTGCTGCTGCTGTGCTGGCCTACTGCTTTTCTTCAATCAGCATGACAGTGGTGAATAAGTATGTCGTCTCCGGCTCGTCATGGAACCTCAACTTCCTATATCTAGCCATCCAGGTGTGTAACTCCCGGCCTTCCGGCGGTCAAGTCTTGATGCCACTCCAAGAAGAAGAAAGACAAAGATGCCACATTGCTGACAAACACGTGATCAGGCTGTCATTTGCACGGCTGCAATCCTCGTTCTGAAGCAGATGGGCATGATTCCCAACCTTGTTGCTGTAGAAAGCGACAAGGCCAAGAAATGTACGTGTCTGCAAGCGTGTTAATGTCGAATCTGACAATGACTTGTCCTCTACTAACACGACACCAGGGCTCCCCGTGTCCTTGTTCTTCGTGGGCATGATCTATACCAGCACCAAGGCTCTCCAGTTTCTTTCCGTCCCCGTCTACACAATCTTCAAGAATCTAACCATTGTCGTCATTGCCTATGGGGAAGTCTTGTGGTTCGGCGGCAAAGTAACTCCCTTGCTCCTTCTGTCCTTTGGCCTCATGGTACTCAGCTCCATCATTGCGGCTTGGGCCGATATCCAAGTCGTCCTCCACGGCGGCGCTGGGGACAAGACGCAGACTGCAGATGACGCCATGTCAACCCTAAACGCAGGTTACATCTGGATGGGTCTCAACATCATCTGCAGTGCCTCTTATGTCCTGGGCACACGCAAGTACATTACTTCGCTGCAGTTCAAAGACTGGGATAGTAAGTCCTTACCCCATGCGTCCCTATTCTTGCGCTTAGCTGTTTCTTCTTTTCGTGCTTGTTTTTTTTGGGAACGATCCAATCTAATTGAACGCTCTTCCAACAGCAATGTACTACAACAATCTGCTCTCCCTCCCCATTCTCCTCGCCTGCTCTTTCATCACCGAAGACTACTCTTCGGCCAATCTCTCGCGCAACTTCCCTGTGGAAACGCGCACCAACCTCGTTATTGGCATGATTTACTCTGGTCTGGGCGCAATCTTCATCTCCTACTCGTCTGCATGGTGCATCCGCAAAACGTCATCAACGACGTATTCGTTTGTAGGGTACCTGAACAAGCTGCCGCTTGCGATTAGTGGCATTGTCTTCTTCGGCGCTCCGGTGACATTTGGTAGCGTGACGGCGATCTTGCTGGGCTTCTTTAGTGGCCTCGTGTACGGCTATGGCAAGGTGCAGATGAAGAAGGAGCAACCGACTCTGCCAACGTCGCAAAAATAAGCGTTCGTTTTAGTACTAGGACCACATGCCCCGTTTGCATAAAACGCTCTAATCAAAACATGTGTGCACAACTTGTTTCCAACGGTCGAATCCTTGAATGACCTCATTTATTTGAGTCCGCCCAAGACAAACATTCTTCATGCTCTAAAAACAAAACAGTGGATCCACTTGGTGTAAGTATGAGCGTGGCAATCGGTCCTATCAAAGCCTGCTGACCCTTGTCACTATTATGCGCAGGGCCCCTGACTCGGAAATAAACCAGAGTTCGCAAACGACGTAACGCAGTGGCAACACGTCAGAATCTTGTACTCGATGCGGCACTTTGATGTATGCAGTACTACGTGGATTACACAGAACCAAAACAAGTCGAGTTTGGCACAGTTGGAGCCTGCTGATATTTATAGCAGCTCTTGGTATCTCATGTTTCGGCAGCTACGTATGTAGTTTACGTACTACGTGTCAATGCTAAGTAAAGATATGGTACTGCGCTTGGAAAGGCCAGCCCAAAAAAGCAAGCTGGACAACGTAACCACGTTGACACGTCGATGCATCCCAACCGATGCTGTGCTTCAGGAACGATTGTAAGCCTGCAGTAGAGCCATGAGCTCTCTTGTTTCTTCGGCCGTAAGGGTCTGTCCTTGCTCAGGGGGAGCAGCCGGTGACGACTAATCATCCGACTTCATCTCTACGTCGCGTTTCTCTGTTTCTTGTTCTCCCGCTGCAGTGCCCTCTTTAGACTCTTCACTACCTCCCTTGGCATCGTCATTTTGTGCTCCTCCCTGGCCTGACTCTTTGTCCTTGACGTGTGTATCCATTGATGTCGAGGGCTCTGGGGTTTTGCGGTCAAGACTTGGCCTCCCAACAGCACCCTCAATATCGAGCTTGCCATCTTGCTGGGGCCCTGTGTCTTCCATTCCGATAATCTCTGGACCACGGGCATGCGGAACTTCCTCCTCGCCCTCGACCGTCTCCATGATGGAAAGCCCGCCTTGCACGTCGCCAAAGGTAGTCTTTGCCGAGTTGGACGTTATAGTGTGGGGATTGTTGAGCACGATTCCGGCCTCTTGTTCCTGACGTAGCAGTTCGCCCTGGGTGACTGGGCCAGTAGACGGCAGGGTTTCGCCATCGGGGTGTGACAAGGCAATCTGGGCTGCGCTTGCAGGATTCTCTGGTTGCGCAGTGTTAGCCAGCATGCCTACAGTCACCGTCTCTATCCGGCCTGCACCATTGGGCCCGTCGACCATCTCTGTGCTCTCTGAGATCAACTCGTTCTGCCCTCGGTTCTGCAGCCAGGGAATGGGGGTCAGCAAGGCGCCGCCGAGCGATTCGTCAGAACCGAGGGGCGCTGGCTGGGGCGTAGTGCTGGATGTGGCTCCATTGAGCACGCCGCTTGCAGTAGGCAGAACGGCTTGTGGGAGTGGGAACACGGTGAGGGGCGAGGACACGGAGACGACACGGTCGAGGGCGCGCAGGTAAGGTGGGAGGAACCGGTAGCGCTTCTTGGGCTCGAGGATGAGTTCGGCGAGCCGCTGGATGGTATGCGGGGGGTGCTTTGGAAAGTTCTTGGAGAGGGTGGTGCGTATTGCCGAGTAGAAGGTGTTGATGTCTGCTGGAATGCCTTGAGGCTCGGCTGGTGCGGAGAAGGAGGGCACGGGCGGGCGGGGAGGAGTGGCAGGTGGGGCGTTTTCTTTGTCGGTGGCATGCGAGTCTTGACTGGAGAGAGCGTTGGAGGTGCCTGGGCGCGAGGGCAGGTCTGTGATTGCAGAGGCGGGCGGGTTTGGGGTGGCATCCGTAGGCGGCTTTGGGAATTCGGCGACAATCTGTGGGAGCGGGTTAGCGGCAGCTGCCCTTGGTGGCAGTGGCAGTGGTGGTGGTGGTGGTACCTCGTCTAGGCGCTGGAGGATGTACTGCAGCGTGGCAGGCCACTCTGCTCTGTAGTCGGGCGGGCGTTAGCTGGGCCAATGCGCCGGCCGCGACGGGGACGAGGACTTACGAGTCGAGCGAGCCATGTTCGGCCGCGTGCTGGAGGATGGACTCGGCTGTGGGAGGGTGAGCGGGTCGAGTGCTGGGTGCTGCGGTGGGCGTACAGCGTATGGACTCACCGGAGGGCATGCCGGGCAGGGCGCGATGGCTTCGGAAGGCTGTCGAGCGGCAGTGGAGTGTTCTCTGGACGCGACGACGCGGCTGTTCTCGCGGCGGTTTGTCGGCGATGCCGAGACGCAGGCCGTGGGCAGTGCGCGTCGTGGAGTCGTGGATGATGCAAACGCTCCTGGGGCAACTGGCCAGCGCCGGGCTCAACGCCTATCTTGGCTGTGCATGTTGGGGAGGCAGAGTGACGGCAGATTGCAGGCTATTCTTGTCTGCGGCCGGCCAATGGCAGGTGTGGCTGGAGCAGCGCCAAGCCACGGGCGGTGCAGCAAGCGGGCGGCGCAGTCCGTGTGCTTGTGCTGTGCAGGCCAGGCTGAGGCCGTGTGCGTGTGCGTGTGCATGTGCCGTGTGCGTGTCCAGTCGCGCAGAGCACTTACTACACAGCAGTATCTAGGCCAGCGCCAAAAAGGGCCCTTCTCCTCTGCTCCCTCCTGCCCACCATCTCCGTGCGGCATTAGAGACGCAAAGTCAAATGCGCACGCCCAAGCCGCCACTCGCCAGGTCCTAGCAGCGCTGCACCGTCGCCAACAACCCGCTCCCGGCTAGCGGCGGCCACGGCGACCAGACCCCGTCAGCCTTCCCAGTCGTCGTCTCCACATCGACCTGCGCATACGCCTGGCCGGCCTACCCAGCGCTACTTTCGCTCTGCTGCACCACCCCATCATCTCCATTGCCTAGTCCATCTCCATCTCCCTCCCACTCCATCCTTTCTTATCCCGCCCTTCGCTCCGCGTCTCTGCCACCTCCCCTCGCCCTCGCAGCCCACCCCAGCCCGTCGCTTATTTACCCTCTCCTCCTCCTGCTGCTGCCGCCAGCTGCCACTGCCAGCACCTGCTCGTCGTCTTCGGCCTCTCCGCACAGCCAAGCCCTGCCTAGTTTCAGCAACGCGCGCCCGCCCCGTCCACACCCAGACGCCCCCCCAACCTAAAGCGACTCGTCTGGTTTCACCTCTTCTTTCGGTGCGCACGCAGCGTCTCACCTGTGCCCGGCAGCCCTACAAACCGCCTGCCGCCTCTGTCCTCGCCTGCCACAGTTCGTCTGTGCCCGAAAAGCAACCCTCTCCCCGCCAAACACGCCTATATCCACACGCTTTCAGCCGCCGCCAGCGGCTGACACGACGGCCAAAATTACTCACCACGAAGCCCGCACATCCCTCCTAGGAGGCCAGCCTCTCAGCCGCAAATACCCACCCTACGCTAACACCACCTACCAACAACCTTATCAACAACCGCCCACCCTGGATACCCAGCCTGGAGGCTACCACCATCGTGAGGGCTTCCCCACGACTCTTCCGCCCCCCGTCCGGCGTCCACCCAGAATGTACATTCCCAACACGCGCTGGACCTGGGCTTTCATGCTCACGGCCATTGCCCAGGTCTCCATCGCCCTTGCCCTAGAATCGTGCGCCTTTTCCCCCTTGCCCCCATCCTCGACCGACACTCGACTAACACACCCTCAGCTATGTCTTTGGTAAATTCCAATCCCAGATCCACTTCGCTGCCGAAGGCGCAGGCGCAACCGAAACACACACCATCCCCACGTTCCTTGCCGTCTTCATGTTTGGTTACATCTACCAACTCTTCCTCACATGGGACGCCTTGCGCCTCAAGAACACTATCCAAGTCATCGGCCTCGTGCTCTACAACATCGGTATCCTCGTCTACGCCGGTATCCAGTACGACCAGATCAAGGACGCGGCCGACGACCTCAACAACAACGCCTTCATTCCCGCCTTCTTCTGGGCAGATGTCAAGCCTATGCTGATTGCTCTTCCCTGCCTCATGGCTCTCGCTACCGTCGTCTTTGCCTTTGAAGCCTGGAAGTTGTATGACGAGTTTGCCTGGACAATCTACAAGCGCATCAGCGCTGATACGCGTCTGAAAAAGCGCTATCTGACCTACCAGGTATTTAATTCCCCGACGCACGAACTCTGTCCGAGCGCACCCCCGCTGACCGTTGCAGATTTATATTGCTCTTTTGAAGTTTGATTTCTTCTTTTTCCTGGCCTTCACCGTACAGTTTCTCGTCGTGGTTGAAAACACAACGAAGCTAGAGCAAGCCCTTACCGCCGCCGCCCTCGTCGTCACTTTCTTCCTTTTGTTCCTCGCTGCTTGGTGGGTCCGCCGCGAGTCTTTTGCCGGCATGATTAGCATCATCATTGTCTATTTTATCTGCATGGGCTACTTCCTGTTCAAGCTCATTCGAATGTATGTTGCCGACATCAACCGCCAGGAGGACTACAAGCCAGCCCGCAAGTCTCTAACTGCGTTTGCCATCCTCACCATTCTACTACTGATTTGCACCATTGTAACGGCATGTCTGTGCACACACAACTTCAACAAGGGCCTCAAGCCGCACATCAACAACAAGGTTGTGCAAAACGACAAGCCATACAGCACAGAAATGCCATCACTGAGTGGACCAGCCCCGTCGCAACGGATGGAGATTGATTAAGTCGCCTTTTCTACATACCCAATTTACGCACACAAAAAATATTAAATTACGACATGAATTCTTGGATACCCGCGTTTCCTGAGCACAGCTCTGATCATACCCGGACGAGATCAGCTGGCCTGGCGTTATTTCATCTTGGAATCTGCTTTGGGCGATAGGCGGTGAGATCGAGACACAGATGGACCTGGATGGGATCTGATGTCGTATCCAAGCACCACGTGTAATACTATATCCGCGCCACTTTTGTTTTGTTTTCCTTTTCCTTCTTCCTATTCTCTTTTTCCTTGTATGCAAGAACCGTTGTACAACACAGGTCTCGCATTTTGTAACTAGTTGTCTGCTCATACTATACCCCACCATGAACAGACGAGTCGCGAAACTGAATTGAGTTATGATCTTTTTCCAAACTTTACCCTGTGGCTTGAGGCCTAGACCGTGACAAAGTAGGGCCTTTTTGTAGTCGGTTGCGTAAGGAATTGTTTGCACTGGAGAAGGGGGGTGGGAATCAGGGGTCAAGCTAAGTTCCCCGACCGCCATGTGCGGCGCGGACCCTGCTGCACTACCGACATCATCGGTCCCGCAACCTGACCAAACTATCTTTCTCAATTGTCCGACTTTCTTTTTCACACCCAACACAGCCATCTCCACTCTTCCAACTCTTGCGGTGTGTCGCCCTTGACCGCTTATATATCCTCTGCATCTCCTCTTCTAAGCAAATACATTGCACACCTTTCTCAAAATGGCGTTCCGCTGGTATGTCGCACTGAAATAATCGGTCAAGAGTCAAGAGAGTCGACGCTGATCGAGATGCCAGGTACCAATCGAAGCTGAAGACATCACCGCTCCTGACGCAGAGTATCACCACTGCGGTACGCATTCTCTTACCCCTTTTGACCTCTCGATCCTCAATCCATCTCCTTTTGCGTCCACGCACAATACGACAACGATAAGGCTAGAACATGTGTTGAAAAGCCCTGTTCTCAGGAACCAAGCATGGGAATGGACTAAGGGGGAGGAGGGGGCGCAATAGATCAAGGCATTGAACAATGCTGACATACAATAGGTGCTCTTTGCAACGGGTGACACAATGGCACAGCAGGGTGTAGAAAGGAGAGGTCTTGACAAACACGATCTGATGCGGACAGGTCGTATGGCCGCCTACGGAGGATGTAAGTCGCCCAGAATTGCTTTGTCGAGAACAGGACGTTTCTTTTCTCAACACAAGCTCCGTCTATCGTGTTTGCTAATAGTCTTTCTGCAGGCATCTTCGGCCCCGCAGCCACAACATGGTTCGGTTTCCTTGTGCGCCGTGTAAATCTGCCATCCAAGAACGGTACCATTGTTGCGCGTGTCGCCTGCGATCAGTTCCTCTTTGCACCCGTCAACATGACGGTCTTCTTGTCCAGCATGGCCTACATGGAGGGCAACTCGCCCACGCAGCGCCTCAAGGATGCTTTCGTGCCTGGATACCAAAAGAACTTGATGATCTGGCCCTGGGTCCAGTTTGTAAACTTCAAGTATGTCCCTGCTGACATGAGGGTCTTGGTTGTCAACATCATCTCGCTCGGTAAGTCACGCACACAGACCCCCCTATTCACCCCTATTGTTTTTTAATAAGTGGCTGGACTCGAGGCTAACACAAAGGGGTCTCAATAGGATGGAACTGCTACCTCAGCTTCCTCAACTCTGCTGGTGGCACCAAGCCCGCTCTGCCGGTTGGTGAGACCAAGGAAGGTGGTCAATTGCCTCCTTCATAAACAAAAATAAAAGAGGCAACCCTTTGAGAAGTTGGGTCATACTGCAAACATAGATTTTAGTGGGGTTTGGGAAAATTGTAATTATCTTCTGTGGTAGGGAAGACAAAACGCGAGTTAGGGCAATTCTGTACAGGGATGATACCCGGTTTTTATAGAATCGTGTCATTTTTGAGTAGAGTGTGAATTCAAGAATCCCAAGTCGAATTTTCTGTGCGCTGTTTGTTCCGTGAGGCCTGTGTGATTCAAGTCTTGTTCTCGTGCATCCTCATGTGTGACTGCTTTGATGAAATATGTGTATGAATGCTTTTTGCTTCTATTTACACGGGACTGTGTAACATCTTGGTTATGTATGTGTGTGACTATTAATCTCAATCATTCACAATCTTCCCTTTCCCAGAAAATCCAGCGTCATTTTTGTTTAATAAAAAAAAAACTAACTTGTCATGTGGTACTGATTAAAATGTGTTGACAGCGTACATGCAACCATCCTCTTCTTTTTCTTTTTTATTTTCCACCTAAGAGGACATTTACTCACGCATGCGTACCTGGACTAAAATCCCACCATGCATGCAATTTTCCCAATTACAGTTCCAGATCACATGAAAACTACTCATGTATATGAGTTTAAAGGGATACTACAGATTGATGTCTTTTTCAATGTCTAAAAATCTTCCGTGCTGATTTGCATATAACAAGACAAACACGATAAATAGCCCCTTTTTGCGTTGAAGAAAAAAAAAAGCCACGCAAAAGATGATTCGAGTAACCCACGTGGTTTGCCCGTCCCCCCTCCCCCAAGACTCGGTTATACACATGACTTGATGTATGTGTTATGCGTTTAGTTTGTAGCGTATCAGGTTTGAAAAAAAAGGATTAGTAGAAGAATTGCACACCAATGTGCTAAAGCTGCGGGAATCGGGAATTTCTCATGGAAAAAATAAGGAAACAGAACCATATACGTCTAAATAAATTACAGTGCCAAAGCAGCATGAATACAGAATAAAAAAAAAAGGTATAATTAAGTCACGTAAGCAAAGAAACTCTGTCTCTCAAACCACTTGTGTATCTGAATAGTGGAAAAAATTAAAAAAGAGCCCGATGATATTGATTGTATACACACTACACTACACTACATATTTTCTTCTTATTCTTCAACTTTCGCATCAAAGATGGAAAACCCCGCCTCAACCTCTCTCTCTCTCTCTTAATGCATCTAGCATAGTCACGAGAGAGGAAGAAAAAAAAGATGGAAGCCAAAAAGAGTAAAAAAAAAAAAAGATTAAACTAACAACATACTCAACACTTGGACATGGACGGGGTTGGTCTCAGACTTTGACACATAGAGATGTAAGTAGAGAGAGAGGGAGATAAAAGAGGCAGCCCCCGCCCCTACGAAAAAAAAGTCTCCCTCATTTACTACTAAAATAAAGAACAAGAAACCAAAAAAAGGTTATTTAAATCGAACTAAAGTAGTTATGGACCAGAGGAGGTTTGCGTAGTAGTAGTAGTAGTAGTAATAGTAGTAGAACAAACAACAACAACAACAACAACAAAAAAAAAACGCCTGATTCTTATGCAAGAAAGAAACGATAAATTAGCCCTCTGGCATTTGCCCATCCACAGCACAGCAAGATATGTTAGCCAAAGATGAAAAAAAAAATGCGCTGATGAATGTTGCAAGAAAAAAAACAAACAAACCGGCATTGCGTATGCGTACGCGTCGAGCGCGCTGACGCGTGGGATGATGGGTGTGGTATCCAGCAAACACGAGAGAGAGAGAGAGAGAGAGAGAGGGGAAACATTTGAACAAGAGAAGAAAGAAGAAAGAAGAAGAAGAGAAAAAAAAAACCCCCCACAGTAGTCCAAACAAGAGTGGTGTGAGAACAAGTAGAGCCCAAAAAAAAAAGACAAGAGAAGAAAAGAAAAGAAAAGAAGAACCCCCTCTCCCCCAAAGTCCAGCCCTTTGCCTTTGCTCCTCCACCCCAATTGCGCCCTTGGTTTGAACGCTCTCAAAGAAACATACAGACACACACACACACACAACCCTCAAAAAAACCCGTCTTTCTTGGGGGACCGAACGAACCCGCTTTTGTCCAGCAAGCGTTGCGAAAAAAAAAGCGACTGTCCCCGCACACACACACACACACACACACACATGATTTCTTTGCTCTTACTCTCAGAAAAGGGGGCAAAACCCAAAAAATCTTTATCCAACCCACTTTGCCCCCCCCCCCCCCCGTCTCACCAGATGCCCCCCAAATCAAGGTATTGCTGTGTTTCTGCTGCACACAATCGTTGACAACCAAAAAAAAACTTGACCTCAATTTCTCAATCAACGGCTACTCGTCCTCTGCTTGCCCATGCGCCTAAAGAAATCCATAACCTTCTTAGAGCTGCCAGAGCTTCCCTTGTTCGCAGAGCCTTGCTCGTCGTAAGCATCAGCAAAGCGTCTGCTCTTTTGTAGCACGCCCTTTCTCTGCTGTTGCTGGCTGACTTCGTCTCCTCCCATTCCTGCAGGGTAAGGATTGGATGTGTTCCTTTGGCTAAATTGCTGCGATGTTGACATGCGACCACGGCCGTTGGTTTCGCTACCATCTGAATCATCGCCAGGTTGCTGGTATGGACGATTGACCTTTGCAGCTGGATGGGCCTCCTGGGGGTTGGGAAACTTCTCGTCAAACTCGGGAGCCGACTGGTTGTAGCCGTTGAAATGTGTCTGGTTTGGTGGTGCAGATGATGGACCAGCTGCATTTAGATGCGGGTTCCTCCTGTCCTGGTGGCCATCGTAAAAGCCGGGCATGTTACTTCCCTGAGTACTCTGACTAGGAGACCTGGACAAACCGCCACGACCAAAGCCCATGCCTCCTGGGCGCGAGCTAGCACGAGGGCGAGAGCTCGAGGGGCGGCGCTCGTGCGAGGATTGTGAGGGTACACTCTCTCGCTGAGACGTAAAGGTCCTGGACAAGGACGACGGGATGAGAGAGAAGCGTCGGGACGGTTTCGGGTTGTCGCCATTGTTCGCGTTGTTATTGCTGCTGCTGCTGTTGTTCTTCCTGGAAAAGCCAAAAGAGGTACGACGACTCGACTCCATGCTCGGCCTGGCGTTTGTGGTTGTACCTGTAATTGCACTGATGTTGTCATTAGAAATGGGCCCTGCCATGGATGTTGGGGGATAGCTCTTTTGCTTCCTATCGTCAGGGTAACCATAGGAACCTTGAGATGTCAGAGACGCTTTGGGGTCCTGAGTGTATGAATTCTGGCGACCAGAGAACATGGACGTCATACGTCCAAGAGTCTCGGTCACAGTGTTGGAACGCCTGTGTGTGCCCTTTGCGCCATGTGGTCCCATTTGCACCGACTGTGTTCGTTGCGCGCTTGGCTGGCCAATGTTGGGCGCCTCTGCAGCTTCCGAAGCATCGTGCTGTGGCTGTGAATAAGGTGTGGATATCGAGTATTGCTTGCCCTTGGGTTGCGAGAAGCGACCTTCGGCATTTGTCTGAGCCACAGTCGCAACAGATGGCTGTCCGTACGAGTTTCCACGCGAGGGCAGCCTTGAAGCGCCGAGAGCACCACTTGTAGACGGACGAGTAGCAGACGTGGGCGCGTTTCCAAACGCCGTATAATCTGACACGGATCGCTGAGGTTCTTGCTTCCGGCTTGACGTTTGGACAGCGCCTGACGAGCGAGAAGGCCTAGCGCCTGTGGCCGACTGGTATCCATCTGTGGGCGGTACCTCGGTTTCTTTTCCGCGTGGCTTGGGCACTGCTTCCGCAGGAGGAGAGGCCTCGCCGCGTGCAGTTTGCGAAGACGGCGCAACGTATTCGACTTGGACGGTTCGCCGCTTGGTATCGCGAGTGGCTTTGGGTTTGTCGGCGGGCTGGTTGATCGCATCGCGTTTTGTCTGGAGTCCACCGTGGGCGGACGAGGAGGTAGCGTGTGATTTTGCTGGTTCGCGAACGGAAGCGCTTCTCGCGAGGGCGGGCTGTGGTTCGAATGTGTCTTCTAGTACAATGTCAACTAATGTGTCTTTGACCAAATCCAAGCATGGAAATATTTACTTGAGTAGACAGATGCTTGTTGGGCCTCGGCGGCAGGAGTGTTGCTCGAGGTAATGAAGCCGACCACATGGGCATAGTCGGCTAACCAGCTATGACGCGCGACTTCGAACAGATCTGCTCGTTTGCGTGGGTCGGGTACAAGAATGCGCTTGAGGAGATCCCTTGCGTGGGGTGTTACGTATTCGGGAAATGTCAATGGAGTGGATACAATGTACTTGTAGAGCAGATTGATGTTGTCACCCTCGGGGTTCGCTGGGTCGTCGTCGAAGGGAAGGTAGCCAGCCAACATGGCATACTGCATATTGTTAGTACTTGCATCTGTTGCATTTTGGGGAGGGGGAATAGTCGAAACGTACCAGAATGACACCACAACTCCATACATCCACCTTGCGGCCGGTGTAGAGAGAGTCGCTGACGACGAGTTCTGGCGCTGCGTAACAGGGACTTCCGCAGCTGGTCTGCATGAGATCACCGCGTCGTGATGCGTCGCTGCCATCCAAGCCCAGTGACTTCATAAAGTCCTTATCCCCAAGCCTGTACTCAATCTCCTCGCTAAGTTCATCGTTGGGATCGAAGGTGTTTGCGAAACCAAAGTCGGTGATGATGATGTTCTTGTTGCGGTCAAGTAAAAGGTTCTCGAGCTTGAGATCTCGGTGGACAATGCCCTTGCGGTGTAGGTAGCCGACACCGGAGATGAGCTGGGAGAAGAGCTTCCGTGCCGGGCCATCCTTGAGGTAACGATGGTTTAGAATGTAGTCGAATAATTCTCCGCCTGACGCATATTCTAGGATAATGCCAATATGGCGCTCAGTCTCGACCATCTCGTGAAGGCGGACAATGTTGGGGTGGTCGAGGCCTCTGAGAATGTGGATTTCGCGGTAAATCTTCTGCAGTCGGTTGGAGTTGCTGCCCAGGGTTTCGCGCCGTATGAGCTTAATGGCAACCTCGATGGGGCTGTCTCGCTTCCATCCCATCTTGACCTTGCCAAACTCACCCTCGCCGAGCGTCTGACCGAGAATGTAGTTGCCAAACTTGGACCGCTTCGCGTTTTCCGACTTGGAGTGGTCCTGCCGGCTTTTGCCGCCGGCTCCACGACCGCCGTCGTCGACACCCTCGCTGCCGACCAGACTCAGACCGGTTATGGGGGTGAGGTCGGCAGGTGAAGTGACGTGGGGGCCGTCGCCCTGGCGGGCCTGTGCGCGGGCAATGTCTTCTTGCGTGTCTGAGACGACGATGCGGTTTATGACGGCACTCTCCTCGCGAGGCAGACTTGTGTTGACGGGCGGCTGGCCAATTGCCGTTGCGGAGCGGCTATGAGCGGGCTGGGACCTGGCAGAGCTTCCTTGCTGCCGGGGGCTGTCTTTTGCTCGGCGACGCGACTGTGAAGCATCGTCGCGTTGCTGCGACGAGGCGGCGGCCCCGTTGGAGGTGCTGCGGTGCGACGAGGTCCTGGGAGGAGCCATGGGGCCGCCGGCGGTGGTGGCAGTGGCCGACATGTTTTTGGTGGCGGGCGAGGAGTGCGAGGAGTGGGACGTCGGTTGCGCGCGGGACGTGTTCAGGCCGGAGTCGTGAGTCTGGGGCGTGGAAGGCGTGTTGGGGGACGCGCCATTACTGGACCGTCGCGAGGGGCGGCGAGCGGTGGCCGGCGAGGCAGCTGCGGCGGCGGCAGACGATTGTTGTTGTTGCTGCTGCTGCTGTTGTTGATGGTACTGCTGACCGTAGGGCGGCTGCGATGCTACGGCGGCCATTATCTGGGGCGCAGGAGTCTGGGGGGTGGCGATGGCGTGTATGCAGCAGCGCAGGCGGACTGGCGGGCTACGTTATCGGGCCCAGGAATGGGCGGAGGGCCAAGTGTGGGTGGGCGTGAACTGGCGGTGTTGAGCTGTCGAATGGGCGATGGCGGGGAGACAGGCGGGTTTAGTTTGCAGCACCGACTGACTGTGCAGCGGGCCTGCACACAGTGGCAGTCTGGGGAGCACAGACTGGGCGAGGAATGGGCAGCGGTGAAACGTGAAGCTGGCTGCTGGGGGGCGCGCGTGTTGGGGACAGGAGGAGGGCTGGAGGGTCGACTGGCTGGCAATGCCGTCGTGGTGGTCGAGGGCGCCGTGTCGAGGGCGTCTGCTGGCGCGGTAGCCCCTTCACGTGCGCGTGCGTGGGCTGGGGCAGGTTGTGGGTGCGGGCGCGGGCGCGGTGTGGTGCGGTGCGGTGCGGTGCGGTGCGGTGCAGTGCAGTGCAGTGCAGCTTGCGATGCGGCCTCGGGCTAGGCGTCGCTAATGGCTGACGGGGCGTGGGCTGGCGGTTGACGTTGACTTGAGCCTTTTGACGTCTTGGGCTCTGGCCGGGGCGCTGGCGCTGCTGGCTCTGGCGCGCACCTGAGGCTCTGACTCTGCCGTGTGCGCGCTCCCTCTCCACGCTCGACTCAACTCGCGACTCGCGGCCTTGGGCGGTGCACAACTCACTCGTTCGCAGTCGACAGCGCGACGGCGATTGGCGGGCGGCGGCGGCTGCTGACTGCTCTGGTGCTGGGCGGCGTGGGTGCAGAGGGAGAGGAGGCGCGCCGGAGGTTGGTCTCGCTGGCAATTTCGGTAAAGGGCCATGGGCGTGGGAAAGGAGGCACCGCAGATGCACATCATTGACAGGGGGCCCTCATCAAACCAGCCCGCCAAAAGCATCGGCTGGTGGGCTGCTAGATGCTGCGACCTGGAGTGGGAATCGACCATGGCTGTTCATTGCGAGTGCGCTGCAACACGCCATCCATGGACATGCTGTACATGGTGCGTCGTCTGCTACATAGTAGTATGTAGTATGTATGAATGTATGAATGTATGAATGTGTGAATGTACCAATGGGTGCATGTACTCTACTTAGTGCACTGCACTGCACTGCACCGAACATGTAAATCATCCTCCCATGTATACACTGCATGTACAGGTACACATACATACATACATGTACATGTACACTTGTATACATACAAAGTACATAGTCACGGCCATCAACCTACCCTCTCCCAGAACACCTCTGCCTTTCTCTCTCTTCCCCTTTCTCCTTCTCCAAGCGCCGTCTAACAACCCACTCCCTCGATGCGCCCCAGGGCCGGCGGCGGCGGCTGCTGGTCCTGCTGGTCCTGCTGCTGGCCGGCGCCATGGTGGCCCACTGTGTATTTCCTCTCATGGCCAAGCTGGTCGGATGTGGGCAGTACCGGGGGGGCCCATGGCTTGTTTCATCCACCCACCCCGGCGCGCGTAAATTGCCCGTTATGCGCTCGCCCGGCCGCCATGGTCGGCCTAGTCGCGAACTGCCACCCCTTCGGCGCAGCTGCCATTCTTCTGCATGGCTATAGCCCTCAGCTGCTGCTCCTGCTCCTTGAATGCCTCAAATGTCCCTAGTCTCGACCTGCCGCTGGCAAGATGCTGCATCTCATCCGGCCACCCATTCACCCTTTGCATCCATCTGGCCGAAGCCTATCTGCTCTCCTCGCACATGCATCCGTGGTTGGCTGCTGACCGTTGGGCCCCCATTTTGTTTCTTCTTGGTGTGCATGGCCGAGGGGAGGCGTCTGAGTCGGGGCCGCAAAAGCAAACTGTCGCGAAAAAAACATGCATCTGAACATCAACAACAAACTGCCTGCCAGCCGCCGCGCCAGTCACATGACCGGCATCGGAATCGGATTCCCGCCGCGCCTCCATGGCCATGATGCTGTCTGTAAGTAGGGTCGAGTATTTGGACTGCTCGAGTAGGCCATGCAATGTGCCCTACCAACAGTTGCATCCTTCAGCCCTAGACGTGGTTCCCCGGGCTCATGTGATATGATTCTCTCAGCCTGGCCCTCCTTTGCTGTGACATTACTTGCTCACAACCGCCGGCAGCCAGCCAGACAGGCAGACGGGTGACGGAACTGGGTGACATGCTCGTAGTCATCTCATCCGCTCCACCCTGACACACCTGTCACCGTGTCTCAGCCCACGCCCCAAGCGAGCGACGAAGCACCCTGCATACTTACTAGTGCCATGCACCCAATGCAGGACAAACCCACGCCTCCCTGCATTTGTTCCCTTTTGTGTACTTAGATACCCACATCCATGGACTGGATGGAGTCAATTTCTACATGTTACCAAATAGCATGTCGACCCATGTACACATATACCGTGGATAAGGAGCAAATTGAATCCAGCCCTTCCTACCTCCTACCATCCATACCCGTTTAGGCCCGTCCTCGGAAATGAGGTTGCCCTGGCACGCGCCCTCTCCATCGCCCTTGCCATGGCAGAAAGAGAGAGACCCACCTTCCCGCTCCCACCGTTGCTCGACCTTTTGCGCCATTCCCAACCTTTGCCGTCCCTGTGCCTGTGCCTGTGCCTGTGCCGACTTAACTACTTCGCTTGGTTCAACCCGAGGCTCCTGCCGCTTGCCCTCGACGTCACCATCCCAAAATCCCATCTCGCCTTCCAATCTCCCTCTTCTCATCGCCCCTCATTTCCCCTCTCTCTCTACCCGCCCCAGTCCCTTTTGCCCTTCTCTTGCATGGTTTTACCCCCCATTCTTTGAAACAACTTGCCCCGGATTCCATCATCAGACGTCATTCCAATTTCCGCTTCACATCTAATACTAGACTTTGCACCCTGGACCACTTGATTCCACTAACTTACCCACTATGTACTTTCGCTGTAATCTCAAACAATGGATTCCACTACACATTCCCACTCTACAATCACTTGATCCATCATCCTACTCCCATCTAAATCTTCACCTCACTTGGAAGACTAATCTCCAGAATATCAACCCCCTTCTGCAATTCACTCTTGCTCGGCATCTTGTTCCTCCGCATCAGTTCGGCCGCCTGCGTCATGTACGGGTCCTTCATCATGGATGCTACCGCCACGACAGTCTCCCCTTGGGTGTAGTAGGCAACAAACGATGGCTTCTCCAACTCTCCCTGCACTACCACATCATCGTACCCGCTCGCCATCGTGTTACCACAGTACCGCAGCTGAGAACCAAGTGCCGACCAAAACACTGGAATAAACGGCTTGGCCTTGCTTCCCGGCCTGTTGATTGTGTTGGCCACTGACCGACCCGCGTTCTGCGCCACGTTCCAGTGCTCGATGCGCACCAGTGATCCATTACCTCCAGGTCCATGGTAAGGGTACGTTGCAATGTCACCAATCGCGTACACGTCACTGAGCCCCTCGACCGCAAATGACTCATCTGTCTTCAATGACCCGTCCTTCAGAAGCGTGATGCTCGAGTTGCCCTTGAGGTACTCGGTAGCCGGCGCAACACCCACTCCCTCAATCACCAAGTCTGCCTCCAATACGCTGCCATCCTTGAGATGGACTGCGCCCACCTTGGACCCATCCGCTGCTGACGGCGTCGCCTTGTCCACGCCCGCGCTCATTTTGAACTTGACACCGTTCTTCTCAAGCAGGCCCTGGAAGATGGCCCCCACTTTCTTGCCCATTACTCGCTCCATTGGCACTACCGTCTCGTCAGTGTGTCGCTCAAGTCTAGGCGCTTACATTACTTGCCTTCTTCCATTCCAATAATGGTAACATCGTTCTTCATGCCTGCCAGGCAGTTGCCAACTTCCATGCCGATGAATGAGCTGCCGATCACGACAATCTTCTTTCCATTGTCTCCAACAGCCTGGAGGATGTTTTGCGCATCTGGCAGAGTCCGGAGAAGGAAGACGTTGCCCAAATCGCCCTTGAGCCCTTCAAGCGGCAGCCACCTCGGCGTGCCTCCAGTTGCCAGCACAAGCTTGGTGTACTCGTACTCCTTGCCCGACTTTGTTGACACCTTCTTGCCCGAAAAGTCGATGCTCTTTGCTTCGTCTTCGATCATGTCAATGGACCCGTCCTTGTAGAAATCCTTTGGTCTCCACGCCAGTTTCGAAATGTCGGCCAGTAATGCCTTGGACAGCTTGGTTCGGTCAATGGGCTGATAGCCTTCCTTTGAGATGACGGTAATCTTGCCAGTGTAGCCCCCACCTCGGAGACCCTCAATCGCACCCAGTGTACCAGAACCACCACCAATGACAAGCACTTTATCGTCGCTGACTGATGAGCACTTGAGGTTCAAATGTCTCCGTTTTGCCTTGAGTGCCTCTTCCGTCGTCTTGACGTACACGGCACCATCCTTCTCAATTACCTCATACTTGTCAATTGGGTCGAGGGCAGGCGCATCCTCAACGTCTCCGGTCGAAACCTTGAAGCAAGCTGTCTCATGTTAGCTCTGCTCGTATAGCGTTTGCCGCAACAGCCACCTACCCCCGTGCCATGGGCATGTCAGACGGCCTTCGGGCGTCAGTACGCCCTTGACCAATGGAGCTCCATAGTGCGTGCAGTTCGGGCTGGTGGCGTGAACTTGATCCTGGACCTTCAACAAGAGCACCTTTCCACCCTCAATACCCTCAACTTCGGCTTCTTTCTTCTCCCCATTCTTCATCTGCAGGGAGGTGACATCCTTGAGCTTGAACTCTTGCGCCATCGCTGTGGTTGATGACGTGAACGTGGATCTTTGTGATCGGGACGTTGGGCTGAAGTGTAGTTTGAGTGAGGTTCGGAGAGGCTGCAATGCCCGGAATAACTGCATCAACGGCTACAACTAGATCGTGTTGAAAGTAAGAGCGTTGTCCATGGGGACACGTCGGGAGCATTGAGGCCAATAGCGGGGAGCTCATTATTCATGATGTCACCGAATACGATGCGCTAAGCAGGTGTAGCAGGGGGGGCTCTTAGGACTCGTTACCCCGCTTCAATAATACATTCACCTTCATTCGCGTCCAGAAGCTCAACAGTCGGGTTCTTGGCAAGAAGATCCTACCTACTATGTACATTCGGGTACCTAACTGGCCATGGCTGGATGGTATCGCTTCTCATAGTAGCGCCAGGCGCGTCTCCGCCGGGTGGCTGTCGGGTCATCTCCTCCCCACATCACGCGCTTCATTGCATTATCGATTATCGCTTTTCGGCAGGCCTCGTTAACCCGCCCTTCAATAGGTATTCCGTGGCTTTTGAACTGTTGAAGATAAGGTATCGGGATAGAGAAAAGAAAAGAAAAGTGGAAGCATCGAAATGGAAGATGTGCAAGGGGCTTGCGCGGTGAGAATCAACAGCCTTGCCTCTGATCGCGTGACCTGGATAATCAAGGTCTTTTTTTTACCCTATATTTGTCATTTAGACTCTTGCTTTTAGGCCACGAGCGAATGAGCGCGGTAATGCGCCGGAAAATGGTGTCGGGACGATGGTCACTGGTTGTTTTCCAACACCTCGCCGTCTTACGAAACACGATCACACCCTCACGCATTCCACGTGCAAAAGAAACTCTCCCGCTAAACCACTAGGTTCAGCCGTACCCGTTTCTTTTCTTCACTCGCTTTACTCTTTCTATACTGCGATCAGTCCTTCATCTCAGACAACAAAGCAATACTCGCTATTGGATCTAATGCACTCTGTGTGTTTTATCATTCCACCCCACCACCACCCGGATCCTAGTGGAAAGCAAGGCGACCCTTCGAACTTGAACTTATGAAAGGTAGTGCTTCAGGCTTCTTTTGTAATTCTGCTCATCGATCGCCGATTCACATTGAGACTTGGTGGTGCAGAAACAGGCAAGTAGCAGTACCCAATGGTGATAACATTAATCCTGCCTCTAGCGTAGCCATTGTAGCCAGCGTTGCCAGTGTATACACACTCTATGCATAGCGTGCTCGTCCACTGAGGCACATCCCTCGGCGACTGTAACAGCGGGAAGAGGGCAAGCGAACCAAATTCTGACCATATCAATGACCGCACGACTACCACAGCTCGTCGATTGCACAGACACTCTGAACTTCCGAGGCGTGATCACTGACCAGCACAGACGTAACCTTGTCTTTGACGCTACCCACCTCAGAACCACACTTGGCCGCAACAGCGCTTACTCATGCAACATTGTCTACGCTGACATGAAGTTTTTTTTCGACCTAATCGTCGTCTTCTATTCACTGCAGACCGGTGCGTCTATTGAAACAACCACAGACGGGCCGGGCACCATAGACGGAGCTCAGCACTATACACCTCGAGAACCCGTAGCTCTCGCCGTGGAAGCAAAAGCTTCTGCAAGCTTCGCTTAATGCGCGTATTTCAATTCTTAGCTCTGCAGGCCGGTTGCTCTGTAAGGAGACGCTGAGATCCACCTGCCCCATGCCCACATCCTGCTATCGATCAGATGAGAAGGGTTCGAGTTTGAGCTTTCAACGACGCTAAGCGTGCTCTTCAGCTAGGAAGACTGAATCTCCAATAAACGATGCAGCCTCGCTACCATGGATGAGACGGTTATAAACCGGTATCCAGTTTTTCGCCCGTTCCTGAGCCATAAACAGAATGTCGAGTGGCTTGTAGGCAGAAAATAGTACGAATGTGTACCTTTCCGTCCCCCTGAAACAACATGGGTGCCGCATTCGGAGGGGTAGCCGTCAATTCCATGACTCAAGTTCTGTAGCGTTGTGGCGGCAGTTGCGTAGAGCCGTGTTTAGCCAGAGGAACAGCCAGCAATGCCATCGTCTACAGATAAGACAAGTCATCGCAAACTAGCCAGAAGGGTTGCATTGTTATCGAGATCAAGAAAAAAACAACAAACGAGATTTCTGCCCTTTGCCATTGTCTGCCCTAAGTCATGGGGAAAGCAAAATCGGGGGTTAGAAGGTTTGACGAGTGCGACGTTGGTTCAAACACTAGGGATCTTCAGACACCAACCGGAGGTGGGCCTAAGCACCGTGCGCTAATCGTCAATAAACTTTAGTCTCTCTCGCCGGGCCCTACAAGATATGGACTAACCCGCGTCGCCCTGCATCGCGGTCTGCGTCGCAAAGGCCTCCTTCGACTGAGGATCTTCGTCCCTTCGTGCACAGCGATCTTGTCCAAGATTACATTCGTTCATGGCCTTGCTTTTCCAGCGTCAGTGTTCTTGACATAAAGACGCTTTCGTACCAACCGTATCTAACGGAAGTATTGGCGTGGCGCCCCATTCATTTACACAGTGTATATCCTTTTTTGTTCCCTCCTCTAATAGTAATGTCTACCACACTCGTTACCAGTCGAACACGACAATCGACTACTACGCCCACTTCAACGCAAAGAAGTATTGCTACATCTAGCACCAGCTCAACACCAAGACCATCCGGATCCACCACACCCACTACACCTACAACATCTTCATCACCAACAAGCACATCACAAAGCAGCCTGGCATCCGAATTCGCCACCAGTCAACTTGAAACCGATGATCGGAGTCCCAGCCCTACCGAAGCTTCACTTCAATCCACTTCTCTTTACACCAACACCCCAGCCATCGCAACATGTTCTACAAACAGTGATTGTGCAAACGACAGGATATGCTCCAACGAGAGATGCATCACCATGGACAGTGCGGCTCCGTTTGGAGGAGCTGATTCCACCTCACGGCTAACCACCGGATCCGCTATTGTAATGGGAACAGGACTTGTTGCCCTTTTGATGTTACTAACAGGATTCGCGGTCTGGATATTGAAGCGCCGGACACAAAGGCCTGGCAACCAGTCAATTGAAGCGCCCATGCAATCTCGGAGCAGAACCACCTCCAATGCGACGGATCAAAAGACCTTGGTGGCGTCAATGCCGAACAGTCCCCAGTATCCAGCCTTCAACTCTCAGAGTGCTATGAGTCCGGGACTTTTCGCCAGGATGGTAGCGCCTCAGGAAATCAAGGAGGTTGCCAGCAGCAGGCATGGGTCAATGGACAAAAAAGCACTACCGCTCCTTCCCCTTCCACAACTCCCCCTTCCGCCCATTCCAAAGGAGACCAAGATCTACGCACTCAACGTCAGTATCAACAAGAGCATGATCATGGACGAAGACATGATGCAAGCTGTTAGTCCTATGCGAGGCAACGATACTCCACGCGGCGGTGCAACGCCGCGTGACCGCGCACCACGGTACAAGTTCGAAGAATATGTTCCACCTGTTGCCAACGCTCCTCCGCCCATTGCGATTTCGAGAGCACCTGCTCCTGGATCCCAAAGTTCCGAGTACGAACTCGGGCAGTATCCGAAGAAGGAACAGGAGAGTAAGGTTGTCCCGTTGTCAGATCGGGGTCCAAACGGCGGCCTAGAGCCGTTAAGTCCTGTCGTTGAGACGGTTGCAAGCTTGGACGGCAAGGCGCGCCAACTCTCCTTGCCGGATCTTCCACCCCCGAGCCCAAGCTTCAGCTTCCGTTCATACGACTGGTACCAGGATATCATAGAAGAGCCGTCAAACGGAAATGGTGCACGAACACCAACACAGGTCAAGTTTCCTCCGACGCTTTCACTTTTCCCTCAGAGTACGAGCAGAAACATGGACCTCGGTGTATTACCAGAACCTTCTTCACCTGGTGCATCTTCGATTGCATCAGGCACGTTTTTACATCCAAGCTCGGCGGCCTTGTTGAGCCCCACAAGCCCCAACTTTCGTTTATCACCAACTGTTTATACCCCGCCACCCCGGCAATCATCACAACCACAACAACATGTACAAAAACAAAAGACGGAAACAAAGAGCTCATCACGAACTTCGGCAGCCAGTACTGCAAGTCACAAGACGCGTGAATCTAGAAGCTGGCTCCCTGCTGAGGGACTTTATCTTGCCGACGAGGGCGGCCTTACCCGATATTTGACTTTTCGCCGAGGGAATGAAGACAACAGACCAACGAGCTATTCACCCTTAGCCTGAACTAGCGAGTATGCCGAGCGCATACACGCTAGGTTCTGTCCCTCCATTCCTCAAGGTCCGCAAGAAGACCTTGGTCGGCCTTGTTGGGTGATGAACCTCGGGCGATACTCTACCACCGCGACATTGACCAGCTGCTTGGAGAGCGAAAACGGTTCTCTCCCCAGCGCGTCTAACGCATGTGCAACGCCGCACGCGCTTGTGTCCGACTTTGGGCCAACGAGGTCACGGGAGAGCGTCGCGGCGCGGCAAGGAAGCGGGTCGCAAGTCGGCTGAAAAGCATACCTTGTGCCCCAGGCGCGTACAGACCAGGGATCGTACATACGCAAAACATACCCCCTGTTGTAGAGCATTCAATAATCCGTGCCCACGCACACTTATGTAATCATAGTAATACCCAAAATGAATAAAGATATCATTTTCCAGTGCAATACATACACTCCCCCTGGTGAAGAAATGTCTCGACGACGTGCTGTGTGACAAGCTCTCTAAGCTTTGCACTTGGGACACTAGGAGGCCCCGATGTGGGGAAGCGATACGATACCCCACAGTATTGGGGAGCCCCGACTACAGAATGGTCGGCTGCCATGGTGGTGCCATGCAACGGGAACGATGGCTGAACCGATAATTCTTCCGAGAACTCCACCCATTCGTATTCCAGAAGACACAAAGCTGCGCGGATTGCAAAATGTCATTTGCAGCAGCGGAATTCTACTGGAGCACGTCACGTGAGCCCTTGGCATCGGGACAAGATTTACTTGCAACCTATCGGCAAGCATTCTGCATCTTTGGAGACACTTTCAAAAGAACGCAAATGCATAGCACTATATCATCCGTGTCCTTCTACCTCAACATATCCATTTTGTATGCACGTATCCGAGTGGCGTCCTGGGTTTTCTCCTATGTAGGCCACATCGAGCAGGTGCTGCGTATATTCACCAATGAGCCCGCACGGTTGCCTTTTCACACCCAGCCACTCGCCACAAGCTTCTTACCCGGAAGCTTCTCAAGACCATAGGCGTTGCGTCATGCTACACTCACACAAGTATTTCCATCTCCGCACTTGTGCTGTCTCCGCGAAAAAAACCACGCCTGGTGGAATCCTATTCGTTCAATGTCGGGGCGGCACTCCATGTTTTTCCCCGCACGCGCCTCGCTTATGCAAGCCCCATGCGCTTGCATCCGGCTTGCATTCCCATGTTGCCCATCGTCACTCCAGACTACCTCATTGTAGAAAATCGCTCCATGCTCATTTGATACATAGTAGCTCGTATGGCCCAGCAGATCCTTCACCAACCAGACAGCGATGACTATAAAGCAACGACGTGGCCGCCATGGGCCACTGGGAATCTTCAGGCAGCTCTTGACCGGTTCAGCACCGCCATCATGACGCACACAAGTTTCGTCCAGGCTTCTACTGTGCTGTCCTCTCTTCTCGCACTCACAGCTGGCCAAGCGCCCACCACTTCTTCAAATGGTGGATGGAGTACTACGCTCGCTGGCACGCCCACCTACTTCAATCCCATCTTTACCATCCCTCCATCTGCGGATGAGGGCGTTCAACAGATTCCCAACATCTATGACCCACAAGCCGTGGATGCGCAAGACGTTTGCCCTGGTTACACAGCATCAAACCCTCAGCAGAGTGATCGTGGCCTGACCGCCACGTTGACCCTGGCTGGAAAGCCATGCAATGTTTACGGCACCGATATCCAGGAACTAGACTTGAAAGTCGAGTACCAGGCCAAGGGAAGACTGTCAGTCAACATTGTACCAAAGTACACTGGTGCAAGCAACCAGTCGCATTGGATTGTTCCCGAAGATCTGATTCCGCGTCCTCAGGTCGAGGAATCATCCGAGCAGACCGATCTCAAGTTCAACTGTGAGTTGCTCGGAATTCATTTTATCATTTTACCAATATTGATCTTGTTGATACTGTATTGTTGATGCCCAAGAGAATGAGCTGACAAGCATGCAGGGGGAAATGAGCCATCTTTTTGGTTCAATGTCGAGCGCTCCTCGACTGGAGACATCATCTTCACAACTCAAGGCACCCATCTCATTTACGAAAATCAATTTGTTGAATTTGTAAACAGCCTGCCAGAGGACTACAACCTTTACGGTCTGGGTGAACGAATTCACGGTCTTCGTCTTAACAACAACTTCACTGCGACCATCTACGCTGCTGACGTAGGTGATCCTATCGACCGCAACCTGTACGGTAGCCACCCTTTTTACCTAGAGACCCGGTACTTTGAGAAGGGCGAAAACTGTAGCACCAAGCCCTTGACGCAGTCCGAGATCGGCCAGAAGAAGGATACCAAAACAAATGGTTCGCCCTACGAGTCGCGTTCCCACGGCGTTTATTACCGCAACACTCATGGTATGGACGTGGTGCTGAAACCTGATCACCTAACTTGGAGGACCCTGGGAGGTGCTATTGATCTGTACTTCTTCGATGGACCTTCACAGCCGGACGTTACTAAAGCGTATCAAAAGGCGGCTATTGGCCTGCCAGCAATGCAGCAATACTGGACCTTTGGCTTTCATCAATGCCGTTGGGGCTACCGCAACTGGACCGAGACTCGAGAAATTGTTGAGACCATGAGAGCTTTCAACATCCCAATGGGTAAGTTCGCCCCTGGCGAACGTTTGACGAATATTGTTGTAAAATTGCTAATCATTTTGCAGAAACCATCTGGCTCGACATTGACTACATGGACCAGTACCGTGACTTTACGCTGGATCCCGTGGCTTTCCCTCCCTCTGAAGTGGCCGACTTCTTCGGATGGCTGCATGGAAACAACCAGCATTTTGTACCCATCGTTGATGCAGCTATTTACATCCCCAACCCGCAAAACGCAAGCGATGCATATGACACATATACGCGCGGCAATGAATCTGGTGTGTTCTTGTCCAACCCAGACGGCAGCCAATATATCGGTGCTGTCTGGCCTGGGTACACCGTTTTCCCTGATTGGTTGTCGCCCAACGGTGTATCTTGGTGGGTAAAGGAGATGGTCGAGTGGTACAAAGAGGTACCATATAGCGGTTTCTGGGTTGACATGACTGAAGTCTCTTCTTTCTGCGTTGGATCCTGTGGTACTGGCAACGTCACCCTGAACCCGGCTCACCCGCCCTTCTCGCTTCCCGGTGAGGTGAACAACGTCATCTATGATTACCCAGAGAGCTTCAACATCACAAATGGTACCGAGGCGGCGTCCGCTTCTGCAGCAGCTTCCGCCCAAGCATCCAGGAAGGCAACTGCGACGGCGACGGTGACCGACGAAGTGACTTCTACTTCGACAAGCTACTTCCGCTCGACCCCTACCGCTGGAGAGCGAAACATCAACTATCCTCCTTATGTCATCAACCACGTACAAGATGGCGCTGATCTTGCTGTTCATGCTGTCAGCCCCAATGCAACTCATGCAAATGGTGTGGAGGAATACGATGTCCACAACCTCTTTGGTCACCAGATCATTAACGCTACTTATCACGGTCTCCTTTCGGTGTTCCCTGGAAAGCGGCCCTTTATCATTGGACGCTCCACATTTGCTGGCAGCGGCAAGTGGGCTGGTCATTGGGGTGGCGACAACGCTTCTAAATGGGCCTACATGTTCTTCTCGATTCCACAAGCACTTTCCTTTTCACTATTTGGTATTCCGATGTTTGGTGTCGATACCTGCGGATTCAACGGAAACACTGACATGGAGCTTTGCTCTCGATGGATGCAGCTTTCGGCCTTTTTCCCCTTTTACCGCAACCACAACGTACTCTCCGCCATTCCCCAAGAGCCCTACCGATGGGAGGCCGTGGCTTCTGCTTCGAGGACCGCAATGCACATCCGATACTCTCTGTTGCCATACATGTACACGCTATTCAATGACGCTCACAAGACTGGGTCAACTGTGATGCGGGCGCTGGCATGGGAATTCCCCAACGAGCCCCAACTCGCTGGTGTAGATACACAATTCTTGCTTGGGCCAAACATCCTAGTCACGCCTGTCCTCGAGCCTCAAGTTGATACTGTCAAGGGAGTGTTCCCTGGTATTGTCGACGGCGAGACATGGTTTGATTGGTATTCTGGCGAGCGTGTCCAAGCCGAGGCTGGCGTAAACACGACCATCTCAGCACCTTTGGGCCACATCCCGGTATACATTCGCGGAGGTTCGGTCCTACCTATTCAGGAGCCTGGATACACGACTACCGAGTCCCGCCGGAACCCCTGGGGTCTCATTGTCGCACTCTCCAGTGAAGGCACTGCATCGGGTCACCTATACGTTGATGATGGTGAGTCCATCGAGCCAGACTCGTGCCTGAATGTTGCATTTGCTGCTACGAGCGGAAAGTTGGAGGTTGATGTTCAGGGCGAGTTCAAGGACACGAACGCACTTGCCAACGTGACAGTTTTGGGAGCTCCTGCGGTCCAAAACGTCAAGCTGAATGGTGAGGCGATTGATGCTAGCAATGTTGATTACAACAAGACCAGTAGCGTTTTGAAGCTGACGGGACTCAATGAACTGACAAGTTCTGGAGCTTGGCAGGGTAGCTGGACGCTGACTTGGGAATAAGCAATAAGTGAGCAATTAGCACATACATTAATGCGACCATGGCATGTTCATAGTTGATGCTCGGTCCGCAAATCTAATACAACTGTATCGAAGCATATGCCTCGTTTACATCGTCATTCAGTCCATGTGATAACATTATATTTGTTTTGCTGTCGTAGTAGTACGCGTATTCCAAGTTTTGAACCGCGGAGACGTGACGGATGACGTCAGAGCAGACATCGCACTTTATGATGGCACCTCTTGCCAGTTCGCATGCAATTCCTACTATGGCATTTCAGTAATATCTGTATTAAAAAAACATCTCACACATTTTAAGAGACTGCATCTTTCCCGAAACAGCGTGCACACCTGACGATGCCACCCAAGAAGCTGAACCAGCAGACTCCCTCTGTCCCCGAAGATGAGCTCAAGAACATTGCCGCCAAATCAGACAGTCCCGAAGACAAATTAAAACAAGCGGCCGCGAGCGCCGAATCCGCCCTTGCATCCGCCAAAACTGCATCTTCTCTGCGCGCCGCCGCCGAAACCATCAAGGATCCTGCCAAGCGGGAAAAGTACCTGCGAGATGCGTACGAGAAGGAGATTGAGGCCCATGGAAATAGCAAGAAGGCGCGGATGCTGAGCTCGGGTGCGTTCCAAGGCAGTGTGGGGGGTGGGGGGATTGGTATGGCTGTTGGAGCCGGACTAGGCACCGTCGTAGGGACGCTTGTGGGGACTGTCGCTACGATACCTACGACGGCAGTGGGCACGCTTGTAGGAGCTGGTGTGGGCGGTGTACATGGGCCGTGGATAAAACTTGGGGGTAAGAAAGGGGAAGAAAAGAATGGTGATGGTAGTGATGCCAAGAAAGCGGAAGGGGAGGATGGAGATGAGTCTGCAAGTGAAAAGAAAGTAGATGAAGAGATGGAGGAGCACATTGGAGGGGAGGAAGATGGCATACCAGATCCTGAGGCGCTGAGACGGGCTGCGGACGAGATTTCGAGGCAACGGAAGGAGAAGGAGGGTGGGGAGGGGGGAGATGCTGGGGTGAGGGAGAAGAAGAAACCGAGGAAGTTGGAGGTGAGGAGTAAAGCTGCTGCGTAGCATATGGTCTGAAGTATGCAAGAAGAAAAAGATGGAAACGGTACTACTGATACTTTGCAAAACTCGATTTCGAACTCGCCTTCTTGCGTAAGGCTGTTTTCCAAACACTTTTGACTGCGGGTGTGCAGCTTATCGATATCGACGGAACACTACACCACCCTCTTCCCAGTGGCGGTCAGCAGATATGCCTACCTCTACCTTTTGGACGATGTCTTTGGCGTTATGGAGGAATAAGGAGCGCGTGATAGAGTATGCATCTGGGCTTTGAGTATTGACCCCAGATCGTCCAAGAGAGCCAGAAAAGCTCTGAGTAGGGGCCTCATCTGAAGACTATTGTCCAATTTCTGTTAGATCTTACACTGCGTGTGGTAAAGACAGGCGAGGCTTACCGGAGCTAATCCGAGTGTATTAATGAAGGATGAGGCTGAGTACGCGATGTTCCGGGCTAAGACGGAATACCGGCACGACTACTTTCTCTTTCAAGCCAAGGCAAAACGCCCTGAATCCTCAACTTACAAACTAACATTCCGCCAAGTTTAGGGACTCCAAGCTCTTATGAGATGGTGAGAATGTTTGGCATACAACGCTCAATCTCTTCTGGATGGTTAACAGCATACAAATGCTTAATCGATTCTAATGAAGCTCACGTTTGATTTCTAGAATTGACGCTGAAGTTTTCAAGCTCGAAAAGCATACTTTCCTGTCATCTAGCAGACTCTTTTTGCCAAGAACATCAATGCACCTTGTTCCTACCAACAGGCTGACCGGATCCATAAGCAGTAACTGAAAAGGTAGACGACAGGGCAATGTGACCTTTTTTTTCTACCATGAATATCGGGGCATGACACCTCTTTCGTACAAACTTGTGTCGACTCAATATCGGGGCCAAAATGCTAGTTTAACATCCTCAGCGAAGACAAAACGATAACACTATAGAAAGGTGTATCCGTAGCGTGTCAGAAGAAAAGAGAAACCGGACATATCAAGCTCTAAATACCTTCCCTCTCGTACTTGCTTTTACGAATCTATCTCTCTCTCTCTCTCAAAACTACACCATCGACCACCCCTTGGCAAACCTCTCCTTATATTACCAACCATGAAGCCCACTGCCCTTCTTTTCCTGCTAGCCGGCACATCTTCTGCTTGGATTGTCAGAAACTGCAGAGGAAATCTCCAGCACAACTGGCAAGCCGGACGCTGCTACAACTACGATGTCGGAACGAGCCTCATGTACCAGAGCAACAATGGATGCCAGATTACGTTTTACGAAAGAGAGGATTGTACTGGTGTGGGATGGGGGTCCAAGAGCCAGGAAAAGTGTCTTGCGTTGCCGAATAACTTGAGGATTAGGGGCGTTAGGTGTGATGAGTAGTCGGATAAGGGGGAGCTGGGAGTATAGATTGGGTTTGGGGGATCGAGGTGGACGAGGTGTAGTGAGATTCGGTGGGATACGACAATCAACTCTTTGGAAATTCTCCATCTATGTCAGCGTGATACAGGTGATGAATAGGGATACCTTGATCTTCATGCATAGTGTTGAGCGACTTTCATGTCTGTCGAAATACATGGTACGGAATTCCAAAGTTGTACCGCGTCATCTTGTCATTGAGTTGCAATAAAATGGACTGGGAATGAGATGCGGAAGATGAAAGAACAGCGGCTCGCTCTTCTGAACGCGAGTCTTCGTATGGTCTCAGCAAACTAGAATAATTCCGACGGACTTGGGTCCCAAGTACCAATGCAAGAGTGACTTGTGCCTTCCTACTTACTCATGTCCCAATGGGTCCAACACAATCTTGGCATGGTCTGCTCGCATTCGCACCAGGGACCTGCGGAATATCAGCCGTCAGCACAAGACAATAGGCTTCAAGGGATGGAATAGTCTAGACTGACATTGAAAACGATAGCGTAAGGATCCCACGAAGAATCAAGATGTGGAGCATACTCGATACCATTCGTTTGCTGATTGACAGCCCCTTCAGCCCCATAAACATGTGACAGCCAGGCATATGTCATGTCTAAGCTGGCCATCATGCCTGAAGCGGTCCAGAACTTGCCATCGACAACCCACCGAGCCTGTGGCACCCACTTGACCCCTGGACCATAGTTCACGATCCACTGGTAGCCGCTCTTGCTGGTCGTGGCGCGTTTGGCGTTGAGGAGGCCCGGCCGCGCCAGGTGCGTTACTCCAAACGAGAGCCCGAGGATATATTCGGCCTGGTCCACACGACGAACAAGAAACTCCTCGATCTCGGTCCTATTGCTCAATGTAGCGTTGATGACGCCCATGCCACAGGGAACCAGAATGACATCGAGAGCTGGTGCGTCGGCAAACGTATGCGTAACTGCTATTTCTGCACCGAGCGTGCTGCTGAAATCGCCCCCCAAGATGTGGCTGGAGTCGGGCACTGACGGTACCCTTTTGGTATGAAATGATGGAAAGGGTCATTTTGTAGAACGCCGACAACTTTGTATGCTGTCAGTGGTGAGGGCAGCCTGCACAAGGGCGGTCAAACTCACCGATGTTAGGTATTCAAGCTGTCCCCAGACCTCAATGGGCTCAAAGCCATCGAACATGACCTTGAAGAAAAAAGTCAGTCGCAGTGGTTTTAAGTTTTGAAGAAGAGGGACGGGAGGCGCGCGACGTACGATTCCAATACTCAGGGTTCTTCTCTTGTTAAACTCACACTCCGAGGTATTCTGACCGATGGTAAAAGGTGCTAGGAGGAGAGACAAGAGGGAAAGAGCCTTGAGAAACTGTGTGAACATCATAGTCGGACAATGATACTGAGGCCCACGTATGTGTACAGAGTGGGATAATGGAAGACCCAGAGGACGCGTTGATTGCCGTGAACTTTGTGTTCAGTGAGATTCGACCTCATCTCATCATGTCGCCAGCTTCAGCCTAGCTGCAGGAACCGAAGGATGCAGAAGCAATCCCGTCAACCAGGCAGCGAGATGTGGCGCTGGCAACGAAGGGCAATCTAGCCCACGTTACTTCGTAACGGGCCAATGCTACGCGGTGTTGTACGTGTGGATATATATTATGTGGGTTTACCCACCAGAATTGAGCTTTTGGAGAAGGCGTATTCCTGGACGAAATCAGGCGCATGCATGTGTGAGGCAGTTTGAGCAAGTTGCCCATCACAGGCTAGTTCGTGCCACGGCGGTGTTTTGGCCCCCTGCAGTCTCGCCTCCTACAAAGATCCCACAGCCGAAGCGATCCAACCATTTGCGCAGGGACATTGTTAGTCCATAGAGTAGCCGTGTCTGGTGTTGCTGTTTTGTATTTTCATACATGTCCTTACTTACGATTGCCGGTTTTCGCATAGATGCTCCCGGTACGTGGCACGTAGTAGACTAGTCTATATACCTAGTACTACTAGTATTACTACTACCCGGAGTCCCTGCTTACTACTACTAGTATTAGTATGCAGCGAACTCGCGTAATCGTCCCTCACTAGACATCAGCCACGCAACCTCACCAGACGTCTTAATCTTAAACTGAATCTCCCTATGATCTCACGATGATCTTAAGAACTACCTATACTACCACTATGAGAGCCATGGAAAAGCCGTAAAACAACCCGATAGTCAGGGTTGGACGATGGTAAGGCGTGCAAGCGACATGTTTGGAGTATGCGCCACTTCATTAAAATAAATTGTCTTATGTACAAAGAACAAATGAAACATCCTGGGCCACTACCGCATCAAAATCACGTTCAAGAAGGGCGCTCCAGTTTTGTAAGCACTTGATTCACATACGGTATGCTGCATCTCCTTATCACCACCATGTGTCCTTGTGGCCAATCTGACCCAGACAGTAGATGAAAAGTAAATGTCAACTCATCTACTTTTGATTGTAAAAAAGCATTTTCACCATTCACTGAAACGGTGAACGCACGTACTTAGTGTGACGGAAGACTGTGAAGATGAAGTCCCCACAGGAACAAAGAAAACACTTCCCACATAAAAGCCATGGCAGCACATCCTCCGCTCGGATACCAATATGAGCAACAGATCAAGTTCCACGCCATGGACTCCATCGTAAATCACTGCAAGTCGAGCGCCTTCACATTGCCCATCGTCTATGGCGCCGAGTTCCAGAACATTGCGGCTTCGCTAGTTGAGAATCACTCAACCTTCGTGCCGTACTCCAACAATCCAAACTCTGGCGATGTCGATGCACAAAACCTGCAGTTCTGTAACGTCACCATCACCCATACGCATCCAGGCACCAACGACAAGATTACGACCAAGGTTTTCCTGCCTATAAAACCGACCTGGAATCACCGCCTTCAAGGTATCGGCGGCGGAGGCTGGGTAGCGGGTCTTCACCCAGTCATTGATGAGCGCATGTATGCAGGCCTAGCGGGAGGGTACGCAACAGTGGCTACGGATGCTGGGGTTCCAATATCAAACATTGCCGATGACTGGGCATTGTTGAGTCCTGGAAATGTCAATCTCTATGCTCTCCAAAACTTTGCATCCGTTTCTATCAGCGACGCCACGCTGGCTGCGAAAAGTATCATCAAAGACTTCTATGGCACAGCCCCAAAGTACTCGTACTTTAGCGGGTGTTCGCAAGGAGGACGGCAAGGTATCATGGCTGCGCAACGGTATCCGGACTTGTATGATGGGATCGCGGCTGCTGCACCTGCGATATACTACTCGCAACTGTTCATTTCGGCATACTATCCACAACAGGTCATGAGCGAGATGGGCAAATATCCTCGTCCATGTGAGCTCGATGCACTTACTACGGCTGCTATCAAGGCCTGCGATGGCCAAGACGGCGTCCTGGACGGACTCATCTCCAACCCAGACGCTTGCCAGTTCAACCCTTACTCCATGGTCGGAAAGACGATTGACTGTCCAGGTGCTACCGAGTCCACAGCAAGTGTTTCAGAAACCGCAGCCAAAGTCGCCGAAGCAGCATGGAGCGGCACCCGCGCAAGCGACGGCTCGCAGCTCTGGTACTCGCACGGCTTCGAGACCAATCTCACCGCCGAGGAATGTCCTGCGCAAACAACCTGCTCGGCAAATGGAACTTGCACCGCTGTACCGAGGACCACGTGGACCGACTGGATCAGGCTGTTTGTTAAAAAAGACGCCAAGTTCAATGCGAGTGCAATGTCGAGAGAAGACTACGAGCAAGTCTTTCTCCAGGGAATTCGAGAGTTCGACTCCATCATCGGCACTGGCGACCCGGACTTGCGGGATTTTCATCGCGCTGGCGGGAAAATGATTACGTATCATGGAATGGTTAGTTGATTGATATCTTTAGGAGAATTTTTTTTTTTAAAAAAAATGTCCTAGTACTAAAGTTGAGAAACAGGCTGACAACGGTATCCCATTCCGCAACACAAGACATTACTACGACGCTGTGAAGGAAATCTCGCCTAATGTACACGACTTCTTCCGACTGTTCGAAGCGCCAGGATTGAGCCATTGTACTGGAGGAGCTGGTGGGCAGCCTTTGGGTGTTATGGACGCGCTTGTGAAATGGGTGGAGCAAGGTGTCGCTCCTGATTCTTTGGATGCTGTCAACACGGTCAACAAGACAAACTTGCTATGTCCTTATCCTCAAAGGGCGGTAGGTAATGCTTCTTTTGGAGTTTCGGTTAGTGGAGGTCAAAGCTGTAAGTAGAGAGGTGTGGGCATGTACGACAACTCTAGAATCTCTCCGTTTCTCCAAATTTTCCATGTCTCACGACTATGGTTTTTTTTTTAACGCATTGCACCCCATACGCAGGTAGTACGAGAACAATTGGGCTTGTCCAAAATTACGCGTATCGTTATTTTTAATTCATCGATGAACCATTCGGTTTTCTAAATTCAATCCTCCGAATGTCGATTTCACCCGATTTACTCATTCACGTTTGTCCCCCCCCCCAAAAAAGAGATCTAGTTTTCGCACCTAAAAATAACCAAATGTTAGCTCACCGTTTCACATGATTTGGAACCAGAAAGGAAAACATACAAGTGTCGCTTGTTACCAACAAGAGTGCTAATGCACTCTGGTTCCCAATTAGCCGAAGCTCCATCGTCCCTTGCTACTGTGGATAACCTATTTGGAATGAGTAGTTGGCCAAGTAGACAAGAGAGGGGTTTTGTTTTGGAGAGCCACAAACGTACATAGCAGTGGGATCCATCGGTGTTCTTGCACTGGAAGTAACCGTGGCATGCCTCCGTCGAGACGACAAGGGCGAGAAAACCAGCAGCGAGGGAGATGATGCGGACCATTTTGAACTTGTTTGCAAAGTGCTGATAGTATGAATGTTGTAGAAAGGAGCTCAGTGTGCTTTGTTCAAGTTACGATGTTGGAGGCAGATGTTTTTAGTCATTTATCGCTGAAACTAAATTACTTTTATCACATTTCGAGTTGAATGATTGAGATTTCCCTTGTGGAAATAGCTACGAATATAGCTCAAGGCCTTGTAATTTATGCTTATATTTACTCATTCTTATGCGCCGTTACTTTTACAACCGATTTGTTTTAGTTCTCGACTCGAGGATATTATTTTCATCTTTCTTCTGTAGAAACATCAACATCTTTATGTGCTTTTCCTAAAAGTATCGGATATATATACTATACCAGGAAAAATGTATGTAGTAGAACAACAACGATTACGTATTACGTTATAAGTGCATTAAAGTAGCATGTATGTGAACGACGATATAAAATCTTTGATTGCTGCTCTAAAGTTCTTGTAAAGGATGTGCAACGAGATACATGCATCGCTTGCTGGGTATTAACCACATGATGAAATTTCCTAATCGCAATGACCCTTGGACCGTCAATGTGCTTCGATTGCATTCTCACGCCTTCAGGCAAAGCCTCGAGTAACCCACTCGTCTGCTTCCAGCACCTCAGCTTGCATAGGAAACACTTTCTCGACCAGCAGGTTGTGAACATCTTCGTCTTTGTCCATACACAAGTCCTTGAGGACGGTAAGCTTGTAATCCAGATCCGCAGCCTCGCGGACGGTTGACAACACAGCGCCCGCAGTAGCTACGCCACACAGCACGAGATGGCCGACCCCGCGCCCGCGCAGGATAGTGGCTAGGTCTGTGCCAGACAAGGCAGAGACGCGACGCTTGGTAACAAAGACGTCGTCTTGGCTTGCATGACCAGCGGCGTCGGCTCCGTCTGGCTTAGAGGAAAGGGTAAGCTCGTCGAAGAGGGCGACAGACTGGTCACCCTCTACAAAGACGTTGGCGGGCACGTTTTTGAGCCGCTCACCCATGTTGCTCGTTGGGTTAAGCTCTGGTCGGCCGGGCCGGAAAGCAACTTTCACATGTACAATAGTGATGGATGGCTTGTTGCCAGACTTGTTGGCGGAGCGCACGGCCTCGAGCAACTTGGTTGCTCGGCTAATGTATGCCGGTGTCTTGTCGGGAAAATTGCCCATCATGATGCCCTTTTGTATGTCGAGCAGGATGAGGGCGGTATTTGAAGTTGAAAAGGAAGCCATGATTGAAAGTGTTTGATGAGAGATGATGCGGCACAAGCACCGTAGACTGATGGTTTTGTGGGTGCGTATCAAATCAGGAGGACGTGAAAAAGCAATTGATGATAGCTCAAGTGGTGTAGTCTTGGGTTTTATTTACATGGTGTCATCTGAGAGCCACGACATGATGGGGTTAAGGGCGGAGTTTGGGGTGGAGCATTCGGAGCCGACTCGGCTGACGGGTAGTTTGGCGATCACAGTGCGCCCGAGTACCAGCCCCCGGGTTTAGGGCTATTAGAAATATTCAACGGAAAACGGGGCCATCTAGTATGTGCAGAGGAGCTGAAAAATAATGCTTGGTCACATAAGGATGATGCTGGTGGTTGGGGTATCTGGGAATGATGAACGTCGTCAACTATGCTAGTTGTGTAGGAAAGCAAGTAGGTGTTAGAAGAGGGCCTACATAGATGATGCGTGTGTCTAAATATGAAGTCATTTTCACGAACATAGACACATAAAGTAGTATGCGTACTTCACATCATTGTGCGTACGTCGCCAGAGGCCTGAGCGCTAGATGCCGGCGTCTAGCGTGGAGTTATGAGGGCCCGGACACCAGCTCAGCCGTCAGCCGAGCCGAGATGCTCTCAGCCGACAACGCCTCTTGTATACCCATCCACATACGCGCGCATACCGATCTCCAGCCCCGACTCAGTGAATGACATCGGCGGCCATGGCAGAGGGAGCAAGCAGCTCGCCCGGCCGGAGCACGCGCATGTCGCGCAACGCGGCCTGCACCCATTGCCGCACCTCCAAGGTGCGATGCAACCCCAGCTCCATCGCCGGCCGGCCATGCCAGCGCTGCACCAAGCTCAACCTCTCATGTGTCGTCAATCCCACATGCCGTCGCATCACACGCAAGAGGTTAGTTCCTTTCTTGTATAGAGAGTAATCTGTTCTTGTCCGGCTTGGTCCTCATTAACTGACATGGCACCTCGACAGCCAACTTGACCAGCTTGCCCGCGAGGTACAGGCCATCAAAGAGACGGTGGTGGTGGACAATAGCAGCAATACTATTAGACAGCCAGCACTACACACACCCTCGAGTCCAAGTACCTGGTCACCGAGAGTACAGGGCGCCAACGGGGCTTCGTCATCCAGTGCTACGCCGGCTTTCTCTGCCAATGCATCAGACCACCATACTCGTCATGGCGACAACGTTGTCGTTGTCGTAGACGACGATGCACGAGCCGACTCAACGGCAGTGCCCAGCCTACATAGGGCGCTCGACTCACAACCCTTCACTGGGCCAGAGATTGATGAGCATTTCAACATGTACGCATGTCTCGTCATGTTGCATTGCTGTGAACAAGGCTAATGATGCCGTGCAGCTACTTTCACCATTTCCACCCCCACTTCCCCATCCTCAGTCAACGTGACCCAAACAAATGTTATGATACAAGTCCCTTTCTCTTCTGGGTCATTGTCCTCATCTCTTGCCGCCGTCAACCCACACACACTATCTCTGCCACAATCCGCCTTCTCACAGAGTATGTCAAGCACGAGACAGATGCCGCCGTACCCAAGGTGCCTCAGCCTCTCGCCCAATTACACGCCATACTCCTCGTCGCCGCCTGGGGATTATACCCGGGTGTCCGCTTCATCAATGATCCAGCCTACTGGCTGAGTGGCATTGCCATCAATTCGTGCCTGCTGCTCGGCTTCCACACGGCTTCTGGCAGACACCCGGAGTATAACCATGTTACTCTTGGCACCATTTCATCCAATACCGAAGCTGCTGTCACATGGGCAGCGTCTAGTATTGTAAATCGAAGGTGCATTCCAAGTCTGCGTTACCAATGAGTCTCTTTTTTTTTAGCTGACTTACTTTGACAGGTTATCAACCAACCTTGGCCTCCCATGCATGGCTCCAGTGAACAAGGCCACGATGAATTTGATCCATGACGAAGATAGTGTTCTACCCGTCAGCTTTCGCGTACAGCTCGAATGTCAGGTCTTTATGGACAGAGTCAATAAGACGCTAGGTTCTTCTCTTGAAGAGTCCAACGGAGTACCACGTGAGTTGGTTCACATGTTTGAGGATGAATGGGTCGCAGCTCGAGCACGAATCATCGCCAAACACACTGGTAAATACTCTTGTTTCTTGTTACTCATGCCTTTTTTGGTCCCTTTGCAGTATTATGTAGCTAACTACCTACTGCATGCAGATCCAGTATTATCCCTCTACACCCTTTTTGTTCTCCTCGAGGTCCAGATGTACTATTTCCTCCCAATGCCAACCTGCAACAGTCGATCATCCACCACCGTTAGCTCACTCAGCGGCCGAGATAATCTCCCTCCCTCGATCGAAGCTGACATTTTGCGGTGCTACACTACGGCATCAACCGTCATCACCAGAGCAATGGACCTCGACGAGACGACTGATCTCCTGTACTACCTTCCGCACTACACCATCCGCCCTATTGCGCATGCCATCGCCGTGGTCTTCCGTGTCATCCGCTCCGATCTGCCTCTGAGACACCTGCAGATAGTCGTTCCCGAAGAAGCCACCAAGTTGTCCGCTCACACAGTCACAATCTCACGCCGCATCTCAGCTGTTGAGGGGGATCTGGCGTGGAGGCTCGCACGGTGCGTCGAGTTGTGGGACGCAACAAGTGCACCGTACCTCGCCGCCGCCGCTGCCGCCGCCGCTGCCGCCAATCCTTTCAATACAGTAACGGGTGGTGATGACCAGAACAACAACGATAGCGAACAAGCCGCTTCGGCTGGAGCTAGTCTAGACTATGAGCCTGTACTCGTCGAGATGTTCCGCCAGCGCATGGTAGCAGCTTTGGGGTGGGATTTTATGATCCGCTGGAAAAGCAAGCATGGCCCCGTGCATATGGGACCGTACAAGCCACAGCCTCAGACACAGCACCTGGGAATGCAAGTTGGTGTGGATGAGGCTGGTGGTCACACGCAACATCAGCAGCAGACACCATCGGCAAGTTCGACCGGAAGTAGTGATTGTGTCAACAACAGGTACCAGGGTACGTCAACAGGTCCTGAAGGTGGTCCTGCTAGGTTTCAAGCGGCCCAGCAGGACCAGCAGCGCTTTCAATCACAGCAACAGCACCGGACCGGTATGCCAGCGAACGCTAGTAGCGCAATAGCGCCGCTAAGCGAGACGGAGCTCTCTCTCCCTTCTACCGGAACTATGGGTACAGAATGTCTGCTTGGAACCGACTGGGGATTTCTCGACGACTTCATCTGGGGGTTCGATAGTCAGGATGCGTAAGCCGACTTCATCCAGAGCGGTGAATGCGACCATTCGCCAAATTCCAATTTGTTGACGTTGTCCAACCTTCGGTCAGCAGCCCTGGTGTTGTAAGACGGGTCGGCCCGTAATAAAGTTTGTTGGGTTTGGGAACTGGGATGCTGCATGCTAGTAGTAATCGGAGAGTGGGGAAGCTCATCGGCGCCTTGGCCAAGCACTGACCTACTAGTATTGTGGGGGATTGCGACATATCTCGCTGCGAGCAAAGGAGCATGTTGCAGCAAATCAAGCGGTTTGTATGAGTGGTTGGGTAAAACGAAGAGAACAATGAGCAGAGTCAATACAGTACAAAGCTTGATGTGGGCCAGGTAGGCGGCGGCTGCATGGGCTTGGATGTGGATCTGTACATTTCTCTAGTCTACGTGCGTTCAAGCCAATCAATGGCGCTCAAAATCGAAAGCAAGTGTTGGTTCAGTCTGCGTGCATAGACATTCACAAGTTCTTTTCTCCACTTTCCGGGGCAGTCTCCTCCCGTTTGGTCTTTTCCAAAGCCTCAGCCCGCTGCTTCCTCTTCTCCTCCCGCTCCTTCCGCCACCCCATGCCCTTCTTCAACAACGTCCAAAGAGTCAGCGGAGACGCAACCATAGTAATTCCTGCAAGAATCGTAAAAGCCCATCCAGTGCCCACCCCGTCAATCATGGGCTGAATGGCGGCACTCGCGCCAGCACCCACCAGGCAGCGCGTGAAGTTATTGCTCGCAGTCGCCGCGCTTGCGGCCGTGGGATTCATGTCCACAATGAGCGTGCTGACGACGTTGCTGAACCCAGTCAGCCCTAGGCCGGCGAGGAACAGCATCACGCAAGGAACTGCGAGGTGCGTCCGAGCGTGGAGAACCCAGCCCCAGACCAGGACCACGCAGGTAGCCAAGATGAGGGCAGGAACACCAACCTCGAGTCGTGCGCGCTCGATCGGGAACGAAGAGAGGTCCTGCTGCCTTTTGCGCTCATAAGGGAGGCCGAGCAGGTTGCAGTGTCGCCGGAAGTTCCAGTCCAGGCTGCGCCCAGCAACCTGTGAGCCCACTATCGTGCCCAGGCCGAGCGGGAGGTAGATAAGCCCGGTCTGGAGGTCGGTCAGGTGGTAGATCGAGGTGAACTGGGCGGGGATCGAGGTCATGATGCAGTAGAAGTTTGCGAAGATGAGGCTGCTGTAGAGCAGCAGGAAGGCCATGTTGGGCTGTAGAAGCAGCATTAGAGCGTGTAGGGCCTTGAATTTGTGCTTGGTAACGGCTTGCTGCCCAGAAGGCCGTGGTCCGGTAGCCGAGTGCTCTTCGTCCTGTCTATTGGTTTGCGCCTGTTGTTTGCGACTCGATCGCGTCGCCAGCACGTCCTTGCCGACCCGCCAAAGCGACCTGTGGACGATATGCTGGGGCCGAACAGACCCGTCACCCACAATCCCCCGACATGTTTCGGGCATCCACGTCACAAAGACTACAGTCAACGTCCCGCACATGATGGTCAGGATCCAGAAAATCCACCGCCACCCGAGATACTGTGCCAGTGTACCGCCCAGAACGGGGCCCAGCGAGGGGCCCAGCAAGACCGGCGTCGACATGTAGCTCACGTATCTACCGCGCTCGGCTGATGTGATGATATCAGACACGACGCCCTGCGCCAGAGCAACAGTCGTGCTAGAACCTGCGGATTGCAGCATGCGCAAGACGAGCAGCGCCGGGTAGTTGGGTGCGAGGGCGCACCCGATATTGGCTGCCATGTACACGATAAAGCAGAACATGTAGGCTGGCCGCCGGCCTGCCGAGTCGGCATATGCGCCAACGAACATTGGCGTGATGCCCTGGAATATCTTTGGTCTATGAGTTAGCAGCGGACTTGTGTGTATCTTTGAGCATAGCAGGCCGGTACTGACCATGTACGTTGTAACTGTCAGGTTGATAGCGGAATACGAGACGCCGAAATCTTTGGCGATGGCAGGCAGTGCTGGCAGATAGACTGAGGCTGTCAAAGGCGAGAAGAAGGCTGCGGCCGCTGAGGCCATGACGATACCGAGCTTTTGACGATGGGTGAAAATGGAGAATGGTTTGCTCTGAGTCTCGACTTTTGACACTGCGTTCGCTCTAGCTTCGACGTCTGTTGGTTGCTGACCTCCATTTTCGGTGTTTGAATGTGTATCTTCAAGGCCACCATCTGGTGGTGGTGGCGTAGGTTCGGTTTTGGCGTGTGTAGTTGCTGAGTCGATGCTTGCTCTCGGTACTAGATGACTGCCAGGTCGCACTGTGTCTGGTGGTTGTGCCATGGTAGCTACGCGTGTTGAATCGAGCTTGCTTGCACTGGTTCCTCCAAGATGCAGCGATTTGCTTCTGGAGCGGTTCCATCTGGGCATTCAAGTACCATCTCGATGTCGAGCTTGGCGGGCAAAAAGATCGTGATGCGGCTCTTGTTCGCGTTGCAGCGTCGGAAGCGAGATCGGCTGAGGGTGCCACCTTTCGGCTCAGTCAACCGACGAGGCAAACACCGATGCTGGACTTGTCGGCTCACGGTGGTAACCGCGGACTTTGGGAACCGCGGACTTTAGTGGCCGATGAAACCGGTGTTTCTTCTATCGAGTGCGGTTTGTTAATTTTACAACAAGTGAAAAATGATTTGAGTTTCGAAGAGAATGTGATGGCTAGCAACAGACCACATGGAGAATAGCTGTCTCATGGAAAAAACTTATTACTGCACAGTTTTAAAACTCTACAAGTTCAAAGAAAGTTATATAGATTGTTTCTATACTACTAAAAAAAATCAAATGAACATCTGTACTACTTCTACAAGTCTACTACATAACAAGAGCTACGCGGATGCTGTAGCCGCAGCTCCGCGTGACTTGATCTCAACTGGCACTAATTTCGAGCGCGAAGCAATATCCACGCTCAGTTGCGACAACGGGTGGTTTGCAAGTAGCTCCAAAAGTGGTATGGAACTTTCCAACTCTCGTGCAATCCAGTTTCGCACGTCGACTGCAACAATGGAATCTACGCCACATTCTGTAAGAGACATTTCGGAACTGAAGTTCTCCACAGATACGCCGGATCTGCTTGCTAGGTACCCAAGCAGTCCATTGCAGATAACACCAGCTGCATCATCTACGGATTCTGAAGATCGCAGAGCGTCTTTGACAGATATCTTGCCGTTTGACGTCTGCTCTTTCTCCGCAATGACTTCGGCTTCTTTCGAATGCCGACGATAATGCGAAAACATGGAATTCTCCAACGCAGATAAGGATCGGCCGCTTCTCCACGTGCCCAGTCCGGTTACAGTCTGTGTTTTGCCTCCTCGTCCGAAAGGCTCTACAATTGCGGATCGTATGAGCGCGAGGAGTAGCTTTTCGCCCGTCATACTGAAGCCTTGATCTTGCATGGACTTGGACAATTGTTTGTTTTCTTCCGAAGCGAGGTATCCGATTCCTGAGATTGCACCCAAGTCCAAAGTAACAGCAGGGAGCCCTTGGGCATTGCGGAATCCGGAAAAGGCATCCAAAAAGGTGTTCCCTGCAGCATAAGCAGCTTGCGTAGTGTTTCCGATGATACCACTGATGGAGGATAGCATAATGAAGAAATCCATGTCTTTCGGCAGATGATTATGCAGGTTCCATGTTCCATGTACTTTGGGACGAACAACAGCATTCCAATCGTCCACAGTGAGTTTTTCTAATAGCATATCCTGTCTTGATTTAGTACGAGCAGCCAGGCGAAGAAATAAACACTTGTAATACCATTGCACCTTGAATCACACCACGAATGGGTGGCATTTGACTCCCACACTCTTCAACCAGTTGGCGGACATGCTCGGCGTCGCTTACATCGCATTTCTGAACATGCACTCGAGCGCCCATAGATTTCAAAGCATGAACCGTAGCTCTGGCTTCCTGTTTAGACATACCGCTTCGGTTTGCAAAGATGAGGTTCTTAGCCCCATGCTCAACCATCCACGACGCCGTTGCCCGTCCTATGCCACCTAGTCCACCGACAAGTAGATAAGACGCGTCAGCGCGGAATAGTTGATCTTTGCTAGTGGTAGGAAGGACCTGATAATGTAAGCTCCAGAAAAAAAAGCAGTTTCATCTCAATGCGCACTAACCATGACTCGATCACTGGGGTTAAAGGTAAGAACCACATGGTCGGTATTCTCTTCGTCCATCAAGCGTTCAAATGCCTGGCTTATCCCCTCGCCATTGAAAAGCTGCAGATTGGGCACCGTACTGCTAAATGAGTCTTTCGATATGAGTTCCATAGTCTGCCCCCATATCTCGTCCGCCAAGGCTGGTCGTTCTTCCTGGAGGCGAGAAAGGTTCAGCGCGCTAAAACTCGTATTCTTCCTAAAGTTTGCCATCTCCAAGCGTGAATTTTCGATGAGGTCCTGAGTACCGAGCTCGATAAACCGACCGTATGGTGCTATGCAGTTCCAACACGTTTGCAGGATCTCTCCAGCAAGCGAATTGAAAATCACATCCATTCCATGGCCTTGCGTGTTTGCAATCAACGCTGCAACCGAGCGCTCTTCATTGTTGTAAATGATTTGATCCTTGGGGAAGTGGAGGGCAGATTCCATGAAAAACGCCTCTTTGTCAGTACTCACTCCAACATACACTTTGGCACCAATTCTGCCACAGAGGTCTATCAAGGCTCGACCAACAGGGGTCGCAGCTGATGAAACGAAAACGTTGTCGGCCTTGGAAACATGGGCGAGGCGGTACATTGCATAATATGCTGTGCTGTAAGCAGTTGGGTATGAGGCTGCAATTTCGAAAGGTACTCCGTCGGGTATCTTCTGGAAAGCGCTTGCTCTTCCTTTGTATGAGTTTGAGACGCGATTAGATACGGAGCCGAAGACACGATCACCCGGCAACAAGCCTGATACTTGGTCGCCGACTTTTACAACCACTCCGCTAATGTCTTGGGTGAGAATGTTCACTCTGTTTCCAGAGACCAGCGTCATTGCCTTTACCTCGATCCGAATCTCATTCTCTTCCAGTTCATCGTCAAAGGCAATCTCCTGGAAAGAAAACGGCTTACGAGAATCAGAGCGATCAAGAAGACTAAAGACGATACCCTTGTGATGCAGTAGTTGGACCTCTTTGGCTGTGGGATTGAGATAGGAGTCAAGCGCCTGATTCAGTGTGTCGTCCACCGAGAGCCGAGGAATAGTGATGATGCCTTTCCTCTCAACATACTCGCTCTCAGCCATATGCTGTTGTTCATTTCCTAAGAATGAACGTTTGAGAATGGCAGAGATAACGTTTGTGGCATCATTCCGCGACAGCTTGTCTTCGTCGTCAAGGTCCAAAGTGACCAGTTTTGCTGCACCATTCTCAGTCCTTGCCGTCCTAGCTAGTCCAGTGATCATGTTGGATTCTGGGCGACGAGAGCCTTGACCCCTGCCTGAAGTCACCCAGAGTAACTTGTTGCTCTGAGTGAAAATCCGCTTGATAGCCTCAAACTGCTCAATTGAAGGACTGCTCAGCAGTTCTCCAGAAGCATCCCACACAATGAGTATTTTCTCGGTAGGTGCGACATCATATATGGAACTTTGCTCAATATTTCCGGGCTCTAAGCCTAAGAGACTGGCCAGATGACTCGTGTCAATAGTTTGATTGTGGTCTTCGGCCATGACTATGATTTCGGGAGTAGCAGGGTTGGATTCTTGATTTGGATGAGCCACGAAGAGCGAGCCTTGGTCTACCCTTTCACCCGAATCATCTGATTCAATGAGCTTGTGATCCATAAAGCCAGCTTGCTGTAAGGATGTTTTCCATTGTAGGAAGACTGGATCTTGGTCCATTGTACCCTCATGAAGCACGATAAGCCTGCCATCCGGTCTTAATAAACTTTTGATATGACCTAAAGCTTTATGCGGGTTGTTGAAATCTGCTAATGAAGCGGACACAATGATGACGTCAAATGACTTCAACTCAAAATCCGGCGTCTGAGGACCAATCTCTAGATCTAGCGCTTTCTTGGTGACCAAGTCGTAAGGGAGATCTGGCACATCGCTGACGAGGGCCGCTTTGTTTCTTTGAGGATGTGCTACTGTGTAAGCTCTGCATCTTTGTTTTGCAGCGCTGTTTCCAATCTCTAACGCCTTCAAGAAAGAAAGTATGGAGCTGCTAGATGCAGATACATCCAATACAGAGATTTCGGGATTCTTAAAACCCAGTAGGCGTAAGTAATCTGCAGCAGAATGAGGTATTTGTTGAGTATTTTTTAGGTCTAGGAATTCGACGTCTGCTTCCCAATCGAGTGTGTAGGCGACGTGATGGTTGTCAGCAATGTCTTCTTGTTCGATCGGTCTTGGGAGAAACCTCCAATCCAGCTCGGAAAATTGTACCACTGGCGCATTTTTGCTATCATCTATAACTATAATATCTGTTTTCATCGTTTGGTTGTCTCGTGCTGAGATGATAGCATTGGCCTTAAGAAGATGGCCGGCTTGGAAAGGCATGTCCGCGGAGATGAACAAATTCGACACGAAAACCGGGATAGCAGAGTCCTGGAGCCAGTTGTCGGCAGAAAGAGCACCAAATACCGTATGCAGGATAGCGTCTAGAGTAGCTGGGTGTATCACATAAGTGTGTTCTTGATCCAAAGGCATGGCAGTCGCCGTTGCAGGTAGCTTCAGGACTCCAGTCAGTTTATCTGGAGAAGAGCGAGCCTCAATTAGATTTTGGAAAACCTCGCCATACTCAAGACCAATACTAGACAGATGCTCATAAAACTCTGGCATTGGAAGGGTGGTCCGAAACTCCTCTACTGCTGGCTGAATAGTGAGGTGAGTTTCTCTGCTACTCTCTTGCTGTTTCTGGTGCTGCACGTAAATCAGTCCGTGACAATGTTCCGTCCAGTGGTTGTCGTTTGTTACTGAATATATGTGAAACTCACTCCAGGTATCGGAGTGGCGTTTGGAACTATCTCGAATCGGCTTCAAGGTCAGTATTGTCTCTACGGATTCTTGCTCAGGCAAAAGAAGCGCAGTTCCAATGTTGACTTCACGAAGCTGGTAGCCGGAAATTTTCTTGGCGAATCTTTCCTTTGACCGCTGAGCAGCCGCTTCGATAGCCATAGCAATGAAACCTGCTGCTGGAAAGACTACGCTGGACTGAATCTTGTGTTGCAAGAGCCATGGTATCTCTGAAGTGCGAAGATGGTTGCGCCAGCTCAACTGCAAAGGATCTGAGTTCTCGTCGCGCACTCCCAGTATGTCTACCCTTGGGAAAATCCTGTTCCGAAATGCTTTGCTGCGGCGCGGCTCGGCCCAGTATGATGTGGAGTGATTCCAAGTGTAAGACGGTAGATCAACCAAGACGCTGGCATTATGATCTGCTGTGGGCCGATTCATCGCCGCATAGTTGACCTGATATCCTATCGCTGACAGTTTCCCAGCCAAATCGAGAACAGTCCGTACAGCATCCACCTTTCGCACTAGGGCTGAAGCGTACATGATGTCTGCAACTCTCAACTTTGGATCGCTCTGGATTATCTCCTTGATAGGCCCAGCGAGAGCTGAATGAGGCCCAATCTCCACCAAGAAGTCTACGTTATGTCTCTTGGCTTGTCGTCTTTTACTTTGAATAGCAGGAGCTAAGCATAGTTGACGCATCGCATCCGTAAACTTTACTTGGCAGAGCAAATTCTTCACCCAGTAGCTTGGACCAAGGTCATCCGCACCGATCTCTCGGCCGTATACCGACGAGTAGAATTTCACTCCGTTACCCTGTCGTGTTCGTATGCCCGCAATAGCTTTTGCATAATCTTCTGCGACAAGCTCCATATGGTGCGAATGGTAAGCAACTTCGACAGCAAGCATTCGCGCGAATATGCCTTTGGACTCCAAGATTTTTTGTAATTCGCTAACTGCGGATACATCTCCAGAGATAGTGACGCTAGAGGGGCTGTTTGAGCATGCCACGACAGCCTTACCAGACTTGAGTTCGGCAAGGAATCTTGTTGCGTCTTCCTCGGATAGTCCGGCTGCCATCATTGCCCCGTTAGCTTTATGCTCTTCTTGCATCCTAGTAGAAGAAACGCCGCGATAATATGCAGCAGTCATTGCATCTTCTAGACTCAGCGCACCTATTGCATATGCCGACGCTATCTCTCCACTCGAATGACCGGTCACTGATGTAGGTCTGATGTTCCAAGAAGCGAGCAGCTCAACCAAAGCTATCTGAACTGCAGAACACATTGGTTGACTGTACAGCGCTTTGTTAATCTTAGATACCTTTGGGTCCATCTTGATCTCCTCTTCGACGTCGAAAGGTGCCCCAATCGAATGCAGGTATTTTCCAATTCTGCGAATTGTGGTTTTGAACACTGGATACACTTCTAGAAGCTCTTTGGCCATCCCACACCATTGAGCTCCCTGTCCGGTGAAGACGAACCCTAAAGTGGCAGATTTTATAGAGCGTGAAAACTTTATAGGCTTGGAAAGAGCGTCGATTAATTCCTTGGGAGATGCTGCAACCACTGCAGCTTTCCAAATAAATTTTGTTCTTCTTTCATTCAAAGTGAAGGCAAGATCGTCCAGGAAGCCAGAGTGGTTGTATATGCCGCGCTCGTGAAGATGTTTGACTAAAGTCTGGATTTGTTGTTGAGCCGTAGGCTCATCAAAGACACTCAGTGTGAAAAGCTTCGGATGACTGTAATTTGGCACCGGAGAATCAATAGGCGAAGCTCCATTCTCATGAATGAATTCATTAACTGGCTTGGGAGTAGTATTTACTGCTCCATACTTGTAACGCAGAAAATGTGTTGAGTGTTTTTGGGCGTTGGAAAGACCTCGTGAAGTCAGATATGTTCGTGTCGACTCCAGAATAACATGAGCATTGGAACCACCGTATCCGAAACTATTAATCGATACGCGTAGTGGTCCTGACGAATCCCACGGTTGTACATTTGTAGCGACACGCAGTTTCCAATCCACAAAGGGAATCCTAGGGTTTGGTTTTTCGAAATTTTGGTTTGGTAATATGACTTCCTGTTCCAGCATTAAGACAGCCTTGACTACAGCAGCAATACCACTAGCTCCTTCTAGATGACCAAGGTTGGATTTGATAGATCCTATTATGAGAGGACGATCCTCAGGACGATTGGCGCCGCAGAACGAATTAGTCAAGGCCCGCAGTTCTAGAGGGTCTCCAGCAGCGGTACCAGTACCGTGCGCTTCCACAATGCTAGTGTCAATTGGATTAAGGTCGGCGACATGATACACATCTTTGATCAGAGCTTCTTGGGCTACTGGGTTGGGTAGTGTGATACCAGATGTTTTACCATCCTGATTCGAAGCCGATCCTCGAATGACAGCTCGGATCGGATCGCCATCCTTCAAAGCATCAGCAAGTGGTTTTAGGAAGACAGTTCCTACACCTTCACCGCGCCCATAACCGTTCCCACGCTCGTCGAATGCATAGCAGCGGCCATCAGGCGACAGGAATCTATCCTTATGAGTATGTGTATGGACGTTAAAATTACTTTTCCAGCTGGACTTACTTCATCATGCTCATTGTGGTCATGAATTCATGGTTCAAGACTACATTTACACCAGCAGCAATTGCTGACTTGGCCTCTCCTGCCCGGAGACTCTGGCAAGCCAAATGTAGCGCTACCAAACTTCCAGAACATGCTGTATCAACTGTGACGCTTGGGCCGTGAAGGTCAAAGAAGTAAGACAACCTATTGGAAATCATTGCACGAGATTGTCCACTATTGGTGCACTGGTACATTGGCACAGATTCTGGATCTCGAGTTAAAAGGTCCGTGTAATCTGTAGCGAAGGAGCCGACGAAGACAGACGTTTTCGTTCCCACAATCTTCTCCAAAGGTATGCCACCTATGAACTAAGTCAAATTTGCTTTCCACTTATGATTGCATTGCTCTTACCGTTCTCCAGTGCTTCATACGTGCTTTCTAGAAGCAGTCGTTGTGCTGGATCGAGTGCAGCAGCCTCTTCCTTTGTCATGTTGAAGAACGGGGCGTCAAACTTAGAGATATCATCATGAAAAAAATGCCCATACTCAACATTGTGGGACCCATGACGTTGGAAATTGGGGTGATAGAATGCCTTGTTGTTCCATCTGGACTTGGGAATCGCTGTTCGTGATTCCCTTTTCTCGCAGATCATTTTGAAGAGGTTCTCTATGTTGTTTGCTGATCCAGGGCCTCGAAATGACATGCCCACGATCGCTATGGGCATTGATCCATCTTCTTTGCCATTGTGATTGATGCCGCTGCTAGCGCCCAGGTTATCATCTAGAAAGGGTGCCATTATAGCAATGAAAGAGCAAAAGTCTGATTCCGAATTATGAGAAAGGTTCTATCCTAGTCGTCTTAGTAGCAATACATATACGGGTTTGAACACTTGGCAGGAATGACTAAATTCATGATTATATGTTTGTATATTAGTATCTCCATAGGTAAAAACTCCCGGGACATTTTCCCTGAGTTGCGCTTAACTCGGTGTGTGTATAGAAGATCTTTGAATCACAGTACAGTTGTTGACATGCCGAGATGAGAAAGGCATTTCAAGGGTCACTCCGGACATTTGAAAAATCCCCCGGTTAGTGGCTTTGGGTTTCATTATTTATCAAGTGAGGGCAAATTCCGGTTCCACTTCAGAATTCAAATTACGATACACATAATTATCAGCCCATTTCCACGAACACAATCAACCACCCTTCATCGGAAATCAGTCACAAACTTTAAAATGTTTTTCAAACTCGCAATTCTGTCTACTCTCTCTGCTTTCCAAGCTGCAGCTTTGGTAACGGACAGGTCCGGTAATGACCAGAGGCCTCTTAAACCTGAAGCGGCTACCACTAAGAATCAACCTTTCCAACTCTTGGTTGACGATGGCTTCTACTTCGGCAATCCAAGTACGGATTGCAAGCATTCCTCGCAGCCTTACATTTATCAACAGTATACTCGTTTCACGGACGACTATACCTACCTTTCGACAATGCTAGCACCAGATGTTGATTTCACAGTCGTCGGTCATCATGCGCTTTCGGGCCACTATCACGACTTCAAACATTTCTATGTCAATGCCTTTTACAGACTTGGTAGCTGCATTACAGAAGTTTATCCTGAGCTTTTCAAACTTACTTTGTTGACTATCCACGGAGGATGCAATGAAGAGTGGAGCGTACAAGAGATACGAGGTCAAGGACGAGCAAACAATGGTGAGTTGGATATTTGCCGTTGTTATCTCTTTAACTGTATTGTCGCTAACATCCAAGTCTAAAAGGCCGCGATTTCGATATTATTAACGTGTGGGTCACGAAGTGGCATAATGGCCGAATTGTAAAGGTCCGCACGTACATTGATGCTGTTGAGAGCATGATCATGCTCAAGGAAAATGAGGTCTGGACGAACTCCTCTACCGAAACTGAACATACAAACTTCCTGCCTGGTCCAAGAGGAATGCCAGATATGGCTGCTCTTGGAGAGTTCTTAGCAAAGGGTGGACACTACTAAGCCCTTGTAAAGCCTTCTGATGAGCGCTATAGAATAGTGGACAAGGGCAACATCATTTGGGAGGCTTGGAAGAGATCATAAACGGAGAGTGGTGTGCAATCTTAGTGTAGAAGCCAAGTAAAGATTGACTTTGCCAATACCTTTAAGTATGAAGGTTGAATAAGTTAACTGATTCCTTCACTAGAATTTGCATTTATTACATTCAAGGTGACATATTTGTATTAAATCAGACGATAAGATATAAATAGCATACTTCCAGTTCATCTAGCTTGGCCAATATTAGGGCAAGTAAAGCTATCTACAGGCCCATTATGTAGCTGTCTTTGACTTATATTTAAAACTGACCTATCACTTTTATCACTACAGGGTTATTCTAGTAGTGATTCAATGCCCAAAAGTTCAAGAACTCTTAGCGTATGTGATTTGATGGTTAGTGGAGCTCATAGGGCGGGATGCCTCAAGGCCTGGCATGCGTAGAACTAACCGGCGGACTTTATAATTTTACCGGTACTTCTGTATCACCGGGATGATTTAATATTTACCATTTTAAGAACTTTGGGTCTTTCTTGATATCCCGAGGCACTTGTCCGCTTGTACTAAATGTACTCTAACTTAGCCAGTTATTTTCATAAAATCCAGCCACTCGAAAGTCCCCCATCTCAACGATCCAGACATTGATACTACAGTTCAGCCTCAAAACCAGAAATCCTTACAAAGAAAAACTTTCACTACGTCACACCATGTCATGCCCTGATTGTTTTCGAGGAAGTTTGCATACCAATCTGGGTCAGCCGACCGACAAGAGTCAGGTGCTGGATGTTCACGGCCTTACATGTTACGTTGCTTTGCCTCCAATACCGATGGCCAATAAACCACAGTCTACGATTATCTACCTTCCGGACGCTTTTGGCTGGCAATTCATCAACAACCAGCTCCTAGCAGATGCCTACGCTAAAGAAACTGGCTTTCGGGTCATTATACCAGACATCATAAATGGGGGCCCTTTGAATCCAATTGCGATGCAGCTTATGGATGCGGTTTCAGAGCCTGTAAAAGGGTTCAATGTTTGGGCATATTTCAAGAAAGGATATACGCTCGTCAAGTTGCTAGCTATTGTTCTCCCATTCATGATGCGCTCTAGTGCATACAAGACTTATCCAAAGCTGTTGGAATTCGCTCGCAGAGTCAAAGCCGATTTGCCACCTGGGGCGAAATTGGGTGTATGCGGATTCTGCTGGGGGGGTCTTCCATCAACATTGTTATGCGCAGAACCACTGGCTAGTTGGTCACAAGATAGGCTTATCGATGCGCATTTCGCAGCCCATCCCAGCCGCCTAGGTGCACCAAAGATGGTTGTCGATGCCATCGAAAAGTTCAAGGTTCCATATTCGTTGGCTGCTGCTGAGGAAGATCCAATACTTACGCCTGACAAAATTGAGAATCTGAGCTCTACTTTAGAATCTTCATTTGGACCTGGAGATGGCGGGAACGGGTTTAATTATGAAATCGTCGTTTATCCTAGATGCCAGCATGGTTTTGCGATACGTGCGAAGGAAGGAGACGAAGATGCTGCTATATGCGCGAAAGAAGCTCAGGCTCAGGCTGTTCGATGGTTTCAGCGATGGCTGTAGCCCGAAACCTCCATCACGTATCACATGTCATCTCCTCGAGATTAAATAGCTGTAGGGAAGTTACCACAGCAGATGATATGGAGTAGGGCGCATGTCAGGGTTAATGCTCCTACTGTCGAACTTTATCGGCCTTACTCTGCCTGAACTCTACTTCTGAAGATATTGAAGCGGATTTGCTTCTACAACATATCCATAATTTGAATCAAGGGTTGGGATAGCCTCAAACGGACTGTTTCAGGCGTCCATACTAGGCTACGATGATAAAACTTGGTTCACACTAGGTTTGGCGAACCTTCTTAAGGCCCACGCTTGCCTACTCACTCCGTTTCGCCCCTCACACATCCGTATCTGTCCGATCTGCTTTGCTCTGGCCTTGTTATTGGCCCACTTCTGCTATCGGGTTGACAAGAGATGAAACTTGAAGTTTTGTTCCCTTATTTCGAAAAGATACGTTCGTATTGACCATAACAAATATCTAAATTTTTACCTGCGCCACTAGCAGAATTAACCTTTCCATCGTCTCTACCAGCGATGATTCGCATGCAACTAGAGTATTATCCTTATTATTTGTGTTGTTGTCACCAAATGCCAAACAAGTATAGTTCTCCAGTAGTTCTCCAAGTCTGACCAAGCTGCGGCTCAAAAGAACATGCGCTAATAAACTTGCATCATCCCCTTCTAAAGAAAGTTTCCCAAACTTCATCATACTATGCGCACACACAGGGGACGCTGTATCCGTCTGTGTCGTGGCCGTGGAACCTTTTGCTGACGAAGTGCTTTCATGAGGGTGTGTATCAAGTCCTTTGTCGGTAGGATCGAGCTGCTTTTCTGAAAGCCCGTAAGCCTTGCATATGGCTGTATACAAGGTAAGCAGTCGCTCCGCAGCTGTTGTTATTATTATCAGGGTGGTAAAATCGGTGCGACAGCGTTCACAGCCGATAATTTCAGCCCACTGGTCAAAGACACGTGCGCTAACACGCAATATGCTTTCGAAGTCGATTTGCGTTTGTTTTTGCAACTCAGGGACTGCTTCAAAAGCAGAAAAGGAGCAAGTGCAGGGTTGGTTCATATTTGCGTTTCGGGTTGACATATAACTTGTTGATTCACGTAAGTAACTTACTAAGTCTGAATGAAAATGTAAAAATCATATAAAACCATACCTAGTTGATCGCTCAGTTTGTTAGTGATTTGAACGAAAGAAAGGTCTTGCTGACATTGTTCGGAATACTTGAACCAAAACTATGTGCAGCCGGGAACTAAATGTTGCCGGGAACTATACGGCCGAGCAAAGAAGTGTTGATTCAGATTGTTGTCTCCAGCTAATCCACTTAACTTCCTATCCCTGGTCTTTTGGACCATGACTCTTCAATGGGAAGCTTGACCGAGCTCTTAATCGCCTTAAGCATTTAGCCCTTGGCTAGCCTCAGTGCTTATCCTGATCTAAAAACATATCCCACACGATTTCTGAGAAGATGATTTCATTCGGATAAATTTCTGAAGAATTTGCAAACGTGACCGAGCAATTTAGGCAAGAATGATAAGATGTGGATACCATGATATCGCACAAGACAGTATTGGTAACTATGCGTTTCTGCATAAGCTTCTCTGTTTTCATATAAGTTTCTCAACCCGCTATCTCCATCAAGTAAGTCACGCCACGATACCTGACCATCAAAAAGTATATGCCGAGAATACCGAAATTACACGGTATGCTGTATTTGGTATTGGTTTGATACGAAATGAAGCTATCTAAACCTAATGTTCACTGGTGAAAACAATACCATGCTGGAAGGATATCAAGGGCTAACAACCATGGCATTCACGGTAGCTATGTCTTGAGGCCATCTAATAGCCAATAATAATCGATTGAAGAGCAACTTGTTGTATCGAGGCGTCCTTCCTACTAGTAAAAGCCCTTCAGACCGTGTCTAGAGAGGCCTATATAACCGCTCGAGCCATCTGTTGCTCGAGTAATTGTGTTTGGGCCTCTATATGCATGTGTTTGAGTTGGTGAGGATCCTAATTTGCAAGTACTTGCAGATGTACAGGGCTAGATGGGCCGATCTTTTTTGTATCCGTAAGCCTCGTCGGCGATCAGCAAGGCCTATACAATGAATAAAACCGTTAACGAGGTGGTGTCAGGTTGTTTTTGTAAATGATATCGAAGTTAGGGATTACCACGCTAATCGATAGCTTCTAACACCCACCCAGGCTGCAGGCTGTCCAAATGAGGTTTTCCAGAGCGATTATACAGGATTCATGGATTCATTGGATTCCAGATTCTTTTTGAATACATAGTAATGTAGCAAAGTGATACAACAACAACGATTTTATCTGAATTGGGGGGTTAGCTCTGACAATCAGGCCCCATGTAACCACCAGTGGCATGTTGATTAATGAGGGGGTGTCACCAAACATTCCACACTTACTCCGGCCTTCAGCATCGCTCATCGATACCACTCGCGATGCTTGATCCATGTTCACCTTCTAATACGTTCGAAGTGGGTCTATTGCAGCGCAGTTTGATAGACAAGCTCATGCTCTACCCAGTGAAGAGATAAAGTAGAGTTGTGGGGCAAATGCAGTAAAAAAATGATTACCGAAGATTATGCGAGATACGCCACTCATCAAGGCGGCGCTTCCGTTCGCTTGCCTAAAAACAACAGCTTATTACGGAGGTGCCCTTCAAAAGTTCTGTCACGCAAAAAGTGTCTCAGCCGAAGTCTAGCCGCTGCTTCAACTTCGTACAGCGTTTTTGGCTGCGGTTAAAAAACGCGGTCTAGATCGGGCTTAGTAAAACGCAACCGCGCAACTAATTAGGCCCTTAGCAGTAGGAGTTAAAGTAGATAGATAAATACGACTGATTAACAGCTTAGCTTAAAGGTAGGGGTTCTGCTAAGAAAAGTTTTGCCGAAGAGCCAAAATTAGCGTTAGACAGAACTTTTAAAAGGCACATCCGTAGAAGGTGATGGATTAAACACCGCAATTATGGAGTGCCATGACTAGCCATGGCGGGGAAGCGGCTTACGCTCGGTTGCCCGCTGTTCCGCCCAGTTCCGCTTATAGCGTTATTGGCCGATACGCAGTTATCCAGCCATAGCTCGGAAGTCACCCACGCAACTCACACAATCCCGCGTTTAGCGTCACGAATTGAGAATACCGTGCTGAATAATGATACAGAAGTGGTGGTAGATCGCTTCCTGTGGCAGAGAATCCCGTATCAGCTTGCGTAAGCTTTGTTAAAGATTAGACTAGTGGGTTTCATACCAGGGGTCCAGCCTTAGGGCGTGTTCAGTTGCTCCATTCTACTTCTCTACCTACAGCCTTATCTCAAACTTTCTTATCGATAAACCTTAGCTGCTCTACTACTAATATCTCTTTTTAATTAAATTTTTCCTTCTATATATTTATTTATCTTTGTAATATTATAGATAAAAAAACATAAGATTATTATTTATTATTTTGATTCCTTTATGTAAACGGACTAGTTATAGAAATTATATAAGAATATTTACATAATAATATATAGTTCGGTATTTATATCAATATATATCTTATTAATAGGTCTATAAGAATGATTAGATTTAAATTACAAACTAGAATTAAAGACTATAGAGTATAACTAGATAAAAGGTGTAAATAATATTAAAGTAGAAAACTATCTCTTATAATTAAGCTGGCTAATAGAGATACTAAGTCGAGTTACTAAATATCTTAGCGCTTAATTGTCCTATATAAGCGAGTAGTAGCTCATTTTAAAGCTCTTTCTAAGGGCTATAACTTAGTTATGAAACATTTATTTCTATCTCTTAAAATTAGAAATTTAAAGTTAAAAAAGGAAAAGATTTATTAGATAATATTACTGGTAACTCAACCCTAGGCGTTATAACGTTAGGTTACTAAATAACTTTTCAAATATTAGAGATACGGCTTACTATGATATATATAATTTAATAGAATGCGTTTAGTTAGCGCTCTAAAATAAGCTGCTTTTAACTTATTTAGATTAGCGTAGAATTTACTATAGATTTTTCTCTAAAAAAGTAGATCGTAACCCGTTTGCCAGCCTACTTATAATATTACATTTAGAAAGTCATATAATTCTGAAGTTAAAGCGACGAAAAAGCTAAATTACTCTATAAAATAAGGAGGTAGAAAAAGCGCTACGTGTAAAGGTAGTAGTATTACTATAGTAGTTCATTATACAGGGTTTTTAAAAAGTGGGTATGGGAAAAAGATTGTCTATTGTGTCTACAAATTGCGCCTACGTAGTATTGAGCCGGAGTCCTAGTCATCCACTAACGGGCCGTCGGGCTGTGCCGAAAATCGAATCAAGGCCTAGCACATGATATAAACTATTGGGTTCGGTCCGACGCGACGGCATGGATCATAGCGGTTGAGATACATGCCTTATCTTTTGGCCCTCAACGGGATAACTCTCAGCACGCAATCGGACCTTTAGGCACACAAGTGATTTCTAAAGAACTTAAGTTTTGTCGCTGTCTATCGGAATAGAAAATGATATCTGTCTTCAAAACTTAGAGCCAATTTTTCATAGCAGTTACTTGCGAGAACTATCTTTTTCTCGTATAAAATACTTTGTGCACAAATGAACTTTCAACCCCCTGACTCTACGAACGCTACGCCTGTAGAGGCTAAGAAGCGCTCGAAACTCCGCGCAACGTGCGATGCCTGCATTGCGGCTAGAATCCGATGCAGCCGTAATATTCCTCAATGCGTCCGTTGCCAAGTATACAAGATTGAATGCGTGTATGGCGTTTCAAAGCGCATGGGCCGACCTCGTAAATCAGGTACAGCAAGGAAGGCAAGGGTAGAGCAAAGGGAAGCCTCTATCGAGGATGATGACAGGTCACAAATAGAGAACCAACATGCTCCAACACAGTCGGCCGATCAAGATACTGCACATTCAACCGATGATGTTCAGCAGATATCAACCTCCAAAGGACGGAACGGATCAACATCAGCGACTCCATCTCCAAGGACTTACTCATCTGAAGCTACAATACCCACTGTTGATAGCGACTTGGTCTCAACATCGGAGTACTCATTCAACATCACAACTACTTCTATGCACGACAACATGTTTGCCATGGATCAATTGTCAAATGTTGGTCTATCGAGCTCATATGAGACACTCGACAGTTTGGACAGCCCACTCAACGCTATTTATGGTAGCAAACTTGCAGCACAAGAAATCGATATACACGATATCCAGGATCAACACCATTTGGTAGAAGCTTGCAGTGATCTTGGTGATCGATCATCCATGTGGGCGAACAGCAAACCGCAGGATGTTTTCAACATTTTGAATGATCCACCGGATCTTAATAATTCCGCGAATATCGATGCATTCTCTGTTCGCCCAACAATGGATATGACGCTCTCCAGAGACAATCGAGCTCCCATTCTGGACCCCGCGACTCCAGAGCTATTCCGCCAACTCCCATTATCACCGGTAAACCAAATTGGCTTTCAAGCTTTTGAACCGATCAGAGCGGAGTATTCAGGCTGTGAATGTTACAAACTGATATTGCGTTTGCTTCTCCAATTAGATGAGGCTCTTCATCACGCAAACGCAATGAAGCTTGACACAGCCCTCCAGATGAACAAGGACGTTTTTGCCCATAGTAAGAATATGTTGGATTGCTATTCTTGTACCGGAACACAGCCAAGTCAACATCTCCTTCAGGTCATGCTTGTCGACCGCGGTATCGGGGTGCTGGAATCAAAACTCAAAAATAAATCACCTAGTATCCCTTTACGGCGGCTCTCTCCTCTTCACCATTTGACTAACAAGTACTCTGATAAGAAAGCTTCTATCCTATTTTCATTCGATGAACTTTCCAACTTTTGGAGAAAAGATGTTCTAGAGTCGGCCGAAGACTGTTCTTTGCTTGTTGGTGGCTATGAAATTTCACTAGAGAAAAACATATTTATCAAAAAGCTGCTTCAAAGGCGATTGGATAATTGGGCAACTGTGCTGGAGGATCTCCAAAAGATTACTCTCGGAACGATTGCGAATTCTAGATCTTAGGTAGTTTAAGTGATGTTAGCTGAGACCAGTCTAAAGCTTAGAAGGTTGGTTGGAAGATTGGAACTTTGGGACGTGTAAATGCAAGTTAGAATTTCACATAACGTGGTTCACAAGCGAGCTGATCACCCAAGCGAGCTGATCACGCCCTACTAACGCGTTAACATTAA